TGTGAGTCTGTTGCCAAACTTATTTGAATGGTCACTAAACGAACTGTTGTAGAACAACAAAGATGATTAGGGGACTGGAGGCTAAAACATATAAGGAACGGTTGCTGGATTTGGGTATGTCTAGTTCACTGGTGGCGAACCTATGGCATGGGTACCAGAGGCGACACTCAAGAGCCCTCTCTGTGGGCACGCGCACTGTTGCCCCAGTCCTAGGCCTTTAGCTGGGTTTTATAAAACCTTTTTGCTTTAGGCCTCTGCCGTGAGCAAAAAAAAAAAAAAGGTTCAATCAATTTCAACTTCTTGCGGGGGAAAAAAAAAGATCTTGCAAAGTTGGAATTGATTGATTGAACTTTTTAGTCCCACCCAGTCTGCCATTACCACTGCAGCCACGCCCACCCAATAGGCCACACCCAGCCAATGGCCACACCCACCGGCACCTGGCGATGCATAAATGGGTTTTGGGTTGCAGTTTGGGCATTCGGCCTCTAAAAGATTCACCATCACTGGTCTAGTTTAATCAAGAGAAGGATGAAGGTGGACATGATAGCAGTGTTCCAATATCTCAGGGGCTGCCACAAAGAAGAGGGAGTCAAGCTATTCTCCAAAGCACCTGAAAGCAGGACAAGAAGCAACAGATGGAAACTAATCAAGGAGAGAAGCAACCTAGTAGTAGTACAGTGAAACTTCCTGACAGTTAGAACAATTAACCAGTGGAACAACCTGCCTCCAGAAGCGGTGAATACTCCAACACTGGAAGTTTTTAAAAAGAGACTGGACAGCCATTTGTCCGAAATGGTGTAGGGTTTCCTGCCTGAGCAGGGGGTTGGATTCAATGACCTCCAAGGTCCCTTCCAACTTTATTATTACTACTATTACTATTATTATTACTATTATTATGTCAAGGACTACATGTACTAACTAGAAGATGGGCTTTCCAGGTCAGAAGGTGTCCCAAAAGGTACAGTGGAAGAGAAGGGAGCAAGTGTGAGTAGCACTGATATTTATGACATGGCAAGATTAAAACTGAAATGATGTCTTCTTGCTGATCTGTCCAGAGACAATTGGGAAGTTCAGTGCTGCAAATCTATGTGTACTGTGGACACCTGAAATGTCAGAACCCAAACTAAGGCAAAGTTGCTACTGTTGGAGCAGATGTGTCAAGACTGTGAACCAGCAAACTGAAATGGACTGAAATGGGTCATTTCACATCTGAAAAACCATTAGATCCTCTGTCATTATAGGAGTAATAGAGTAGCAATTGTTAAGAAACAAATGCCAACAGCAGGGCTTGGATGAAATCCTAAAAGTGATATCATAATCTCAATTCAGAAGTAATCTGTTCGGTACTATAATGATCTAATCCAGTGATTCTCAACCTTTCTAATGCCGTGACCCCATAATACAGTTCCCCATGTTGTGGTGACCCCCAAGTGGGTGTGGCCACCAATAAGAGGGAGTAGGACAGCTAGGGAAAAGGGAAAAAAATGGCGGACAGCATGGTTTGGCGACCCCCGTGAAATGGTCATTTGACCCCAAATGGGGTCCCGACCCACAGGTTGAGAACCACTGATCTAATCTATGTTTCAATCTCAAAGGCAGAAGAAGGAGAAAAACACCATTTGTCTGGCAACTTATTACATCTTGGCAATACAACAGTCCCCCCCCCCCATTTTTTCCCCCTGCCTTCGTGTCAGTGTTGGTTCTCGGCAATTGCCTGGACAAGCCCCTGCAGTTTTATTGACAAGGTTTTTAGAAATGGTTTGTCCTGCCTCCTACCAAGTTTCATTCCTTGCACTGCCTATGGCAGAGAGATGTTTCCTTAGTAGCTGTTCCATTAAATCTCGGGTGTATAATGACTTTTGCTTGAAAATTCTCCAAAGGTGTGGTAATTAAAAGCCATCAGCAAAAAACCAAGGTCCATTTGCCCTGTTCTTGCTTTGGGGAGCCTTCTCTAATTCCCAGCTGTAGCTGCAAATGTTGATAGGGATGGCCAAAGTCACAGTGCCATCTTTTGGAAGCTTTGTTTCCAAAACATTTAAAACTGGATTTTAAATCAATTATAGTTACTTCCCTTTTTATGGGACTACAATTGGGTAATGTAATAAATTATATTTACCCCTGACAGATCTTCAATGACATACCATGTTCCTGTCAAGGTAATCACTTATGGGTAAACTGATATACAGTATCATGGAACAAATGTGACAATTAGTTCAGAATAATAACTAAAAGTTACAAATGTGGTGCTCCATGTGTGGCAGATTCAACTTCATCATTATGTTCACATTTGCATCAGAAGTAGAGCAAATGGGAGCTTGGCCCATCATGCAGCATCACTTGGATCTTGAATGTGGGCTTGTTGTCAACCCAAAGTTGTAACCATGTGAGCCACCGTGTTTTAAACATCATCATGAGAGACCAAAACTATCAAACAAATAATATGGACTGTTACTATCCATTTCAGAATCATAGAAACAATTTGGAATTTTGTTCATGCCAAATTGTAACAATATCAAAACCACCTATTCCTCCAAACCCAGAATCAGTCTTGCTAAGTCTAACAAAGATAACTATATGTTTGTGGTTTATTGTATTACAGCAGAGGTGTCAAACTGCCAGCCCATGGGCCAGATATGTCATACCGAAACCACACCCTCCCCATTGCCGGCCATGGAAAAAACATGATATGTCAGGACACATCACATGACATTGCGAGTTTGACACCTCTGTATTACAGGAATCCAGTCACTGTCTTCATGTCATATAAACCAAACCGCACATTAATTGTTTTACAACTTGTTTCCTTACAACCATTAATTGTCATACAATTGTTTTACAACTTGTTTCCTTATAACCATTCATTTAGCGACCATTTAAAGTTATAATGGTGCTGAAAAAAGTTACTTATGATCAATGCTTCCAACCATCACAGCACTCCTACATCCATGTGACAAAAATTCTCCCAGCAGGTCAAGTTATCATTCATGCTGTATTTATGTTTTACATATCCAACATATTTTAAGCCAACATTTAATAAAAAATAACACTGGAGAACCTGAGATATCCCAGATTTCTTTAAATGACAGGATTAATGTGTGACTTTTATTTTTCTTGGCACTTATTCCTCTAATTAATTTATAATTTAAAAAAGGACAATAGTGTACAAAAATTAAATGATATGCATTAATGAGAGATTTCATAAAATAAAATATGTAAATTAAAAACCAGTTAAGATAGTTACAATTTCCAGGGTATCATTATAATACCAACCATACTGTTGGATCTACCTTTTTTGTATTTCAACTTTTTAAAGGCTTTCATAGGACTGCTACACTACAAACAACTATCATTGAGAAGTTACCATCTTGCTGCATGAAGAGAATAAACTAAACTAAAAACCCGCTCTATTTGCAATACTTCGGAGCAGTTTTTCTCAACTTTGGCAGCTTGAAGACATATGTAGACTTCACACAGCCATGCTGACCGGGGAATTCTGCAAACTGAAGTCTGCACATCCTCAAGTTGCCAAGGTTGAGAGGCACTGCTTTGGAGGGACTAATGCAAGGAGGTTTAATCTTGGCAGTAAATATAGGGCAATATTTGAAGCACAAGCAAGATAACTTTCCATTCTTTTCCACAATTTCCTGCAAGTCTATAAGCTGTGGCCCAGATTTCATATGCTTACTGTATCTTATAGATTGTGGGATTCGACAACTGCTTTCAAATAGCTATCTATTGAGACACTACATTGTAGTGACAATATGGAAGACCATTGTTATTTCAATGAGTTTAGTGATATATTTTGTTTTCACTCTAACTTGCTAAACCAAGGAGAAGGGGGGGGGGTAAGAGAGAGAATTTCCAAATAGCTTCAAAGCTCCTCCCTTCCCCCCCCCCCAAAGTCTGACTTTCAATTCCCATCCCAGAGTCAGGTGCCATCCATCAAATTCAGGTCTTGCAGTCTCCTTACCATAGCAGAATCATGAAGTCATGGTGCCAGGTTTTTATAAAAACTTCAGGCTTGTTGTTATTAATGGGGAGTTTACGAATGGAACCTAGTATTAGGTACTGTGAAAATTGGCTGCCCTTGGGGTACCTCTTCTATTATTAAGGAGCTCCTGGCAGCCTGTAAGAGATTTAGCTATTATCTTGCTTAGTATGTATGCTTTTTGTTATGCTTTTAAATTTGTTTGCTTGAGCTAATAATAAAGCTTAAAATCCCTTTATTTACTGGAGAGTTCAATTGTCTCTGGATCCAAAAGAACCAACTGCCTGGACACCTAATCACTTGGCAAAACATCTCCATTAAACTAGAAACCAACATAGACTACCCGTCTGCTTCTTGCTTTTCTCCCTTTTGATTTTTTGTGAAGTTCACAATATTTTGCAACCTACCTATGGACAGGTATTAATTACAGCATGCTTTTAAGTCAGGCCTTAATTAAAATTGGATGTGGTGGATAAAGGTCATCTTGGTTTTCTGCCAGGTAGCATCAATTCAGGTTGTTTCGGGTAGAAACATCTCTAAACTGTTTGGAGAACAGCAATGAACGTAACTCTTTGTTTAATGTATCATTCTGCCAAAAAAACTACTATTATATTTCACTCCACTCAACAGAGCCAACTTGGATAAACCCACTGAATTCGCGCAATTCTGTAAATCCCCCAAGTTCTGACTCGGGAAATCTCGTATTTCTGTGCAAGAACTACAGGATAATAAATGACGGCCGGACTTGAAACTGCGGACACGAAATGCTTTGAACACGCTCGAGCCATACATCAAAGCAGGCTTTCTTCTTTCTCTGAAAATCAAATCCCACTTTTATCAGGGCGTTCAAAACTAAAGGGAAGTTAGATTCCCATCGCACGTTTAGATTTTCTACCTGGCTCCTTTTCTCTGTCGGAGCCCACTTTCCTCTGGGGGGAAAAACGGGCAACCGGCTTCCGCTGCCCCCCCCCCTGCACCGGCTCCTCGAGGGAGAAGCTCCCCCGCCACGGCGCCGGCACCCAATTACCACCACCCTCCTCAAGGCTTCCCTCCAGCAACTTGGTTCCCGGCACCGGGCAAAGTTCCAGCCCGCGAGGACGCGGCCACCCGAGCAAGCGCCCCTTCTCGGCTCTCGAGCCAGCGCGCAAAGCCTGGCGATTTGCGGCGGCAGATTCGCGGCAGACCCTCCCGGCGCTTTGCTCTTGCGGGCGCTTCCTCGCCAAGGGGGAGCTCAGGCGGAGCGCTGTGGGGCTTTTGTCGAAGCGAGCCCGCCAAATCGAAGCCGGGCTGGGAAGGCTGAGGAGCCGAGCGCTGGGCCCAGCCGCCTCTGTGGCGAAAGTGCGGTTGCCAGGACGCCGCTTTACCCAGCGGCCTCCCCACGCAGGAGCCGCTGCTGCCGCTTCTCCAGCCGCCGCCGCCGCCGCCGGAGCCTTCACCTCCATTGTCCGGGCCGGGTTGGGCCCATGGGCCCCGCCGCCGCGGGAGTCGCCCTGCAGCCGCAGCGCCTCAGCCGGCCCGGGGCTTGAGACGCGCTCGGTGAGAGAGCCGCGCCGGGGGGACCGGGAAGGGGGGGGAGGCGGCGTCGGGCGGCAGGAGCTACACGGACAGCCTGGGGCCGAAGGCAGCTTCCCTCCCCAGAAAGGACCGGCAGCCACCCCCACCCCCACCCGGAGGCTGCGTTACCGCAGCGGGGCTGGGCGCGTGGAGCATATGAGCCGCGACTGCCCGTTAGGGAGGTCGAGGTGGCGGCGGCAGGTGGCCGGGAGGCTGGCACGGGCTTTCCCCCCTCCGCAGTTCCGCCTGGCCGCCGCACGTGCAGGGGGGTGGCAAGAGGGAGGCGGGAAGGCGGCGGGCCGCTCGGGGCTAAGCGTGACAGTCCCCCCCCCCGCCGCCCCATCTGGACCCTCGTTGCTTCACCATATGGGGCGAGCGAGGTTGGCAGGAGCCCGGGAGGCAACCTGCGGAGGGGAAACCCCCTGCGCCCCCTCCTTGCCCATCTGCAGGGAGGAGGGAGGCAGCGGTGTGTGTGTGTGTGTGTGTGTGTGTGGGAGGTAGATGAGAAGAGGGTAGCTTGGGGGTGGTGGCGGGAGCCGCAGCCCGTTTGGGAAGTCAGGGGAGTGGGATGCTGGCCGCCTCTGCTCAGGCCAGCCTGCAGTGTTAGCTGAACTTTTGTCGTTTTCGCCCATTCTGGGGGAGTCACGGAAGCTGCATGCCAGCACGTGTGAAGGCCTCTGATTGGGAAAAGCTGCTGTAGGCCCCCAGCTCTTTTAGTAGAGGGGAAACAGGATGCAGCAAACGGGCTTAAAGAAGGGATAGTCTGGTACAATCTCTTGTTTCTGTCTTCTCTCTTGTACTTCCCCCCCTCCATGAGTTCTCTTAAAATGGGGGGGGGAAGGGCCTGAGTATGGGCCTGTGTTTTGACAGCTAACTTTTCTGTTAGTTGTCATTCCCTCTTAAAGGTGCAGGTATGGGAAGGCAGTGGAAGGTTTGCTTCAACCTCGACTCAGTTGTCAAAAGAGAGGTGCCACAGGCATTGGGAAGACTGTGTGCGAACTGGCATAGGCAGTGGATGGTTGTCGTTCTTTGCACTCTCTTTAATTATTTTCTCCTATTTATCCCAGCTGCCAGGAGTGTTGCCTGACATCCACTGCCTTAGCCGTCATCTTTTCCTGCTGGTAGCGAGATTACAGAGAAAGACTGAACTGTCAGTAGTACCAACTGTTGCGTTCCTCCACTTCCCCATTTTTCCCCCCTTCACCCTCTCTTTTTACCTTGTGCATAGCTGTGGCTAACCATGCAGTGGGTGAGCCTCTTCCGCTATAGTGAGTGTGGCATTGTTAAAGGTGAGAGGGAAAACATAGGATTAGCAAGAAGTGTCAGTAAAGGGGAATCTTTAGCAGGTTGCCAGATTGTCTTCAGTCAGTTCCCTTCCTTGCATGTTAGGGAAAATGACCAGGATGGGAATCGGCATGATGAGATAGTGTGATTTCTCCTCAGAGTAATGGGGTTGTATGGCAATGGTAGTAAGTTAGCTTTGGAGCAGCACTAGTACTACCCTTGCCGAATTTAAATGCCCATTTGGTTTAGGTTGCTCCAGGCTGGGGTATTGGTGTATATAAGTGAATTATGAAGTGATTCATTCATCCTCCCACCATCCTTCCATAGCCTGCATAGTGAAATGGCTCCCTGCGGACGGAAGAAAGCAGTGTGAGAGAGCAAGGTAGGCTTGGGGCTGGGCAGAGAGCCTCTTTCCTTCCTCCTCATTTGTGAACATGACTCCTGATCAGAGTCTCCCAGAGGCTTGGAATTAAAAAAACAGAGAACATCATTAATAATATAAAAGTGTTAGCTTTTGCAGTCCCAATAAAGCCAGTAAGGCCCCAGCATAAAAACAAATAGAAGAATTTACTTTTGAAAAGCAAGACAAATGAAATGTTTCCTTTAAAACGTGGCAGCACTGGGTAAATCTTTCTTGGAATCATTTTCTCATAATATAGTTTAGTTCAGTAGAAATAACATGATGCTAGCATTTGTATAACCATAGCTACTCTCTTCCTTATGCAACTGAGAATGGGATTAATTTCACATTTGTATCCTTTTCACACCTTTGATTGGTGGTTAAAAATAAAATCTTCTTTGAGTAGAGTTTAACTTCTGGTGACCTCATAAGTATGTCCATGTAGGACGGGCTTTTCCTTTTTCTTTTTTTGGCAACAACACAGAACTGATTTACCATTGCCTTCTTAAATGTTTCTTGACTTCCAACCCCAATCTACAGCTCTAGGATTTCCTGTGGTCTCCCATATAGATACTGGTTAGGTCCAGACCTGCTTAGCTTTTTGCAATCAGCCAAGTTTAGCAAAGTGCTGCCACTGATACTAAATGTTTAGTGCAGATTTCTACACACCGGTGTTTTCAAGATGTGCTGAATTTTAAGCTGGTAGAATTTATTTCCAGTATAAACAGTAATTTAGTGACAGTAACATTCCACGCTTAGAAATTAGCATTGCTATCTGAAGCAGAAAGGAAAACACAGGAATTAGTCAACGTTTGAAACAATAGTTCCAAGCGTCACAAGTGCATTGATAAGTGTGATAGTCCCTCAAAACAAGTAATAAGCTGCTCGGAGTCACTTGTAAGTTAGTTGGGCGGCTATATAAATTTTCTCAATAAATTAACTGAGGGCAAGATACAACAACTCTCAACTTGGAAATTTGACAGGCTGTAGCAGGATATTTCTGTTTGGAATTCTTTTGCACGTCCTAATTCACAGTTGTGCGTTGACCACAATTATTAATGTATCTTCATTGCTGTGTAGATTGATGACGGCGAGGCTGGTGTAAAATAGGATATGCAAGTATTCAGATAAGGCAAGAAGATATAAGGAAAGCTTTGTTGGGATTGTGGTTTTTTTTAAAAGATTGGCAGGTAGCTCTTCTGGTGCCCGCATACTCAGGACAATGAATTTTGATGGCGAACATACTACAGGTGGTAAGGATTGATTGTAATTACAGATGTCTCCTACAGTGTTACTATCGATCTGCATAATTTAGCAATAAATTAGAAGAAATAGGATGGAAAATAATACCTGTTTTAAAAGACATGCAAAGTTATACCAGTTGTATTACATGGCTGTAATATTTGTTCTGATCCATTTGATCTTCTGGCTCATCATTTGCCTTTCTGGTTTCAAGTTCGCTTACTCAGTTGGGGTTAGTCAGATTCCGTCATAGGGATCCAGGAGTGTTGCTAAACACATGGACCTGGTTGGTTGGTTGGTTGGTTGATGGCTAATGTGGCAAACCTCCCATTCCTGCTCTTCACTCTCCTTCCCTGCAGAGCCGAGAAACACCATGGGGGTGGACTTCGACGTGAAGACTTTCTGCCACAATCTGCGGGCGACCAAGCCACCCTACGAATGTCCTGTGGACACCTGCCGCAAAATCTACAAGAGCTACAGCGGCATCGAGTACCATCTCTACCACTACGACCATGACAATCCACCGCCCCCCCAGAACACCCCTCTGCGCAAGCACAAAAAGAAGGGCCGGCACGGCCGTGCGACCAACAAGCAGTCGCCCAGCCCCTCCGAGACTTCGCAGTCCCCAGGGCGGGACGTCATGACTTACGCGCAAGCTCAGCGCATGGTAGAGGTGGACCTGCACGGTCGCGTGCACCGCATCAGCATTTTCGATAACTTGGATGTGGTGTCCGAGGACGACGAGGCTCCCGAAGAGGCCCCGGAGAACAACAGCAACAAGGAGAACACCGAAACGCCGTCGGTGGCTCCCAAAGCCGGCAAGCACAAGAACAAGGAGAAACGCAAGGATTCCAACCATCACCATCACCACCACCACCACAGTGCCTCAGCTGGCAACACACCGAAGCTTCCCGAGGCTGTGTACCGAGAACTGGACCAGGACACCCCCGACGCCCCACCTCGCCCCACCTCCTACTACAGGTATCGGTTGTGGACCCCAAGCGGAGTCCTGTAGGACCGCGGCTCGGAGCACTGAGTGGGAGGGGCAGAGGATCCTTTAACCTGGAGCCTCAGGTAGAGAGAGGAGAGCTCCTTAAGAATGTGTTTCCCTCTCATAGGGTGGCTTCTGACTGCACCTTGTTCCGGTTTGGTTGGAGACCAAGGTAATCTGTTTTCAGGGGGGCATCAGGGAGACAGAAGGGGGAAGTCTTCCTGTTTGGGAAGTGACTCCGCTGCACTACTGGTAGTCCTCAACTTACCACCACAACCGAGCCCCAGGTTTCTGTTGCTAAGTGAGATAGTCGCTAAGTGAGTTTTGCCCCCATCTCGCGACCTTCCTTATCGTGGTTGCTAAGTAAATCACTGCAGTTGTGAAGCGAGTAACACGGTTGTTAAGTGAATTTGACTTCCCCATTGACTTTGCTTGCCAGGAGGTCACAAAAAAGGGGATTCCCATGACCCACTGCAACCGTCATCACTACGAGCTGGTTGCCAAGCGTCCAAATTTTGATCACATGGCCACGGGGATGCTGCAACAGTTTAAGTGTGAAAAATGGTCATACGTCACTCTTTTCTGTGCTGTTGTAACTTCGAACTGTCATTAAACGTACTGTTGTAACTCGAGGACTACCTGTATTCCCCTCTAATGGCCATTGGATTTCCCCAGCACCAGTGTGCAAGCTGGGTGGGAAAAAAAACCCTGTTGCCCGCAAAGAGAGGCAGATTCTCTGCCAGTTGCCTTCCCCCTCCTGTTTTGAGTTAGAAAAGTATCTTGTGCTAAATGAAACTGGTTACATTGTGTTTCTTTTTCCCCCTCAATTGTAACTTTGACACTGCTCAGCCTGTTCCATTCAGCTTCAGTAGCAGGAGTTCTTAGGTTTAAAGGTTTCCTATTACGATATTTTCTTTCTAAGCAAGGGAAAAAACGGGACTTGGGTGGCCATAATCAACAATCCTTTGCCTGAAGAGAGAAGAATGGCAAACTGTGTCTGTGTGTGTGTGTGTGTGTGTGTGTGTGTACACACACCATGTATATAGAATATGTATATATATGCACCATGACATACCTGACACAAACTACGTGATTTGTGCCGTTTGTGCTTTGTTAAATCACTGTGACTTTTAATGGCTATATATAGACTGATTGTGTGTCATTAAGTCAGTGTTGACTTCATAATAATCTGAGCCTAACTTGGTCCTTCCACCCACTGCCACTGAGCCCCTCTACATTGCTGGTGGTTTTTTTCTTCTGTTGCTTCCTTCCACCTTTCCCAGCATTAGAGCCTTCTCCAGGCACAGGGATAAGGCAGAAATAAAGTGCAACTAGATGAGGGGGTTCATTATTATGGTTCTGCAATCAGAGGAAGCGATAACTGACACTCGGCCACTTCAGTAGAGACTCTCTGGTGCCATTATTGGATTTTAACTATCGGGATTCTGTATAGAAAATCCGAAGGGAACCAGGCTGAGTTATAACTTACTGTAGCAGAGCAGTAAAGCGGCAATGACACTTTTAGACCCTTTAAAGTAGGTGAACATACCAACAAATGCAATGGTTACATGTAAGATATTAGACTGTGCTGCGATGAACAAACTTACCTTAGAACTAAAAGACAAAGAAGCTACAGAATTCTGTGAGATATGGGACATGTACTGTAACTGAATTAGAATTGAGGAATAAAAAAGTATGAGAAGTAATGTAAATAAATGTAAGAGATGTAGGACATAGTATTGGTAAGAAAAAAGAAAAAAATGTACCGTGTATTTTGTTTGTAAAGAGAAAAAGGAAAATAAAAATTTAAAAAAATAAATAAAAATAAAGTAGGTGTAAAGGATGCTCAGCAATACTGTAGATAGCAGCTCTGTAGGCCTCCATTTTCCTCAGTCTTGTACTTTTCTCTCTCCCCTTTTAGATACATTGAGAAGTCGGCAGAAGAGCTGGATGAGGAGGTTGAGTATGACATGGACGAGGAAGATTACATTTGGTTGGACATTATGAACGAACGTCGGAAGACAGAAGGTGTCAGCCCTATTCCTCAAGAGATCTTTGAATATCTAATGGACCGGCTGGAGAAGGAGTCCTACTTTGAGAGTCACAACAAAGGTGACCCAAACGCCTTGGTAGATGAAGATGCCGTCTGCTGCATTTGCAATGACGGGGAGTGTCAGAACAGTAACGTCATCCTTTTTTGTGACATGTGTAACTTGGCCGTGCACCAGGAATGCTATGGGGTCCCTTACATCCCAGAAGGCCAGTGGCTCTGCCGCCGCTGCTTGCAGTCACCTTCCAGGGCTGTGGACTGCGCCCTGTGTCCAAACAAAGGGGGCGCCTTCAAACAGACAGACGATGGTCGTTGGGCCCATGTGGTGTGTGCCCTCTGGATCCCAGAGGTCTGTTTTGCGAACACGGTGTTCCTGGAGCCCATAGACAGCATAGAACACATCCCACCAGCTCGCTGGAAGCTGACCTGCTACATCTGCAAACAGCGAGGCTCTGGGGCCTGCATACAGTGTCACAAAGCTAACTGCTACACGGCCTTCCACGTGACTTGTGCTCAGCAGGCTGGGCTCTACATGAAAATGGAGCCGGTCCGAGAAACGGGGGCCAACGGCACTTCGTTTAGCGTCCGGAAGACAGCTTACTGTGATATTCACACGCCACCTGGCTCAATGCGACGCTTGCCCGCCCTCTCCCATAGCGAAGGGGAGGAGGAGGAAGAGGAGGAAGAGGAGGATGGGAAAAGCTGGAGCTCAGAGAAGGTGAAAAGGGCCAAGGCTAAATCCCGGATCAAAATGAAGAAGGCAAGGAAAATTCTGGCTGAAAAGAGAGCAGCTGCCCCAGTGGTATCAGTGCCATGCATACCTCCCCACAGGTATGGCACCCTCCCGTTCTCCGCTTCTTGTTTGATACATGTCACAGTGTAAATAGAGACATTGGAGTGCTGCCTTGTTTGTAACAATGAGTTTACTGTGAGCAATATTCTGAACGGTTAGCCTGAACTGAGAAGAGCTAGATTCAGATGGATCTTACGTTTTGGTCACATAATCAGAAATGCACGTAGGAACTCTCTTTGGCTGCAGTTCTTTTAAACCAGGAGCGTTCCTTGAAATAAAGTAAGATGCACATTTTAAAACAGATAAAATAACCCCTTCCAATCACAGATACATTTGTTAGCATTTTAAATAGCAATAACATTCGTACATATTTAGTTATAATGAGAGTGGTTGTCCAATATCACTCAGAAACTGTTGCAGCTAAGCTTGAATTTAAACGGTTTCTTTTGCCTGTTATAATCTGTGAGTGCCCAGATTATAATACGTGTATGTATATCCATGTGAAGGTGTAGCATCTCTGCTCCTTAGGGGCTGCGTTTGGTGAAATTCTTTCAGTGGAATATTTCAGATTTCTTCTTTGCTCGGCTTTCCAATAAGATCACCTATTTTTTGTTTCGTTAGCGTGGAGTAGCATTTGGAAGGGCTTGTTCATTCTCCTTCTGAGCAGTCATTTCAGAGGCAAGAAATATAGGGGTAATCCTTGATTTACCACCACCTTTGGGGTCGGAACCTCCGTCATTAAGTGAGGTGGGGGCTAAATGAGCCAAACCTGATTTTGCAAACTTTTTTGCTCTTCGTGTTAAGTGAATCATAGACTTGTTAAGTGAATCTGGTTTCCCTATTGATTTGTGTTGTCAGAAGACGACTTCGAAGGTCGCAAATGGCAATTAGGTGACCCTGAGTTGCTGCAAACTTTGTAAATATCTGCTGTTTCGCCCAGCACCTGACTTTTGATCATGTGACTATAGTCTGAGGACCAATTATAAGTTACTTTTTCAGCACTGTTATAACTTTAAACAGTCATTAAGCAAATGGCTATAAGTTGAGGACTCCATGTATTCCCCTTCCCCTTTAAAGCAGAACTGAGAGTTTCATTCAGATCTCTTGAGAAATGTATTAATGGACTGAGAAGCAACTTCTTGCCTAATCAGTTTGGCAGCGATGCTAAAGAAAGTTACTTTCTTTAATATCTCTTGACCTTGTTTTTTAATCTGGCTTGCCTCTACCTGTGAAATTATTATAAGAAAGCAGCTAGATATATTTGGCTGAGTTTTGCCTCTCCGCCTGTCTCTGTATGCTTCCCTCCTGTTGTTACATTCCTGACTGGTGTTGGGGAGAAGTCAATGGATATGGCCTCTACCATGGCACCTCATTTCCCAGAAGTCTTCCCTTGTTGTTCTTGGAGAGCTGGTTGCAGAGATTGAGAATGCTGTGAGCGTCGTGCTTTTCAGAGTACTCCTTATGTAGGTGGTCCTCGACTTACAACAGTTCATTTGGTGACCAAAGTTACAACAGCACTGAAAAATGTGGCTTAGGACCATTTTCCACAATTACCCCCTTTGTAGCCATCCCTAGGGTCACAGGATCAAAATTCAGACGTTCGGCAACTGGTTCATATTTATGACCGCTGCAGTGTCCCGGGGTCATGTGATTCCCTTTTCACTAGCAAAGTCAACGGGGAAGCCAGTTTCACTTAACAATTTGGATTAGTCACTTTCAAATGTAGTGATTCACTTAACAACCGTGACAAGAAAGATCACAAAATGGGGCCAAACTCACTTAGCAAATGTCTCACTTAACGCCATAAATTTTGGGCTCAATTGTGAGCATACATTGAGGACTGCCTGACTGTACTTTAAATTCTGGGCTGTCCCATAGTTTTTCAGTGTTTGTGGTTCTGCTTTAAAAGTGCTGTAAAATAGGGCTACTGTAGCTAAGTTGTAAAACCCCAAATGAGCCCAAATAAGTGGCAGCAAAGGGTTACGATTTCTGCTCCTCTTTATTCTGATCATTGATTGAATACCTTGGTGTGTGAGTTTTTTTTCACTGTATTCTTCACCACCCCGTATACTGTCGCCCTGTTTAAATCAATTCCTCCATGGTTAATAAAGCCAGCTTTTCACTAAGTGCTCTTTCCTCTGCAGCTTAAAGGCTAGGCCAAGGGTAGGGAACCTTGGCTCTTTTATGACTCGTGGACTTCAATTTCCAGAATTCCTGAGCCAGCATAGTTCAGCTTGGAAATCTCTTCATTTCTCCTCAGCATGGCTGGCTCAGGAATTCTGGGAGTTGAAGTCCACGCGTCATAAAAGAGCCAAGGTTCCTCACCCCTGGGTTAGGCCAGTGGTGGCGAACCTATGGCATGGGTGCCAGAGGTGGCACTCAGAGTCCTCTCTGTGGGCACACGCCCCAGTCCTAGGCCTTCAGCTGGGTTTTATAAAACCTTTTCACTTTAGGTCTCTGCCGCCGTGTTCAATCAATCAGTCAATTTCAACTTCTCGCAGGAAAAAAGATCTTGCAAAGTTGGAATTGATTGATTGAACTTTTTAGTCCCACCCAGTCTGCCGTTACCACCGCAGCCATGCCCACCCAGTGGGCCACACCCACCCAATGGGCCACACCCACCCAATGGGCCATGTCCACCCGGCACCCGACAATGCATAAGTGGGTTTTGGGTTGCAGTTTGGGCACTTGGTTTCTAAAAGGTTCGCCACCCCTGGTTTAGGCTATCGGCACATACAGCATTTGTACCTCTATAATGCTTCTTCTTGGGCAAGTGGCTGTGTTGCTGTGACTAGCAGCTGTTGTCATTGTTGATTGGAAGGGATTTGTGGTTTCTTCCAGGAGAGGAAGTAAGCAGCAGCTGCAGGTGGAATTAATTCGAGATATGGTAATTTGCTCAAATGAAACCGAGAAGACATTTGAAACCATGACAAATTGAGAGCTGATTCTTTGTAGCTGCCACCACCAGCACCTTTATTATTATTGTTGTTGTTGTTGTTGTTATTATTATTATTATTATTATGGATCATCGCACAGTCAGCCAGATGTTCAGACTGGATTTGGCATTTTGTCTACCTATCGAGTCCTTACCCAGGACCTGGGATATATTATATATATTATTTTATTTTCCTCTTACCTTTCTTCATCCCTGCAACCAAATTTCAATGTTGAAATCTTGGATGGGGTAGTTATATCTTACTTAGGAAAATTATGTGCGAGACAAACTTGTTGGACAGGTTTTTTGTCCTGTCTTGTAATGCCAGATGAACCCTTCCTTAAGAACATAGATTTATTTATTTATTATTTATGTGTTGTACTTGCATGCCGCCTATCCCACCATTAAATGACTTTGGGAGGCTCATCGAGTGGTTAAAAAAAAAAAGATAAATATAAAAACAATTAAAAATGTGGACCTGCTTTCACTGAAATGTCCGTAGATTTTGACTCTGATAGTACCTAAGAGGGTGATTGTGAAGAAGGACATGTGAAGTTTAGCAGAAATTGTATTTTAATTGTATCTTGCTTAGATGTGTTATTGTGCTATGTTTGTTTCTCAACCTGTTGTGATTCAGGTATGGTGTAGTGGACAACAATTCCTTTCGTCTTCACCCAACAGATTCTGAAATTATACATTAGGTTTTTTGCTTTTGCTCAGTCCCACCAAGCTGAGTGTTGAAAGTTGCCTTTGTGGCTCTAAGCGTCAGGCTTGTCCCGACTTGAACATTTAGGAAAGAAAGACCCTTGACTCCATTTTTGAAGTGAAAGGTTTACCTTCGACTCCATTTTTGAAGTGAAAGCAAAGTTGGATCTGAATATCCCGGGCAAAGCCTGCATTTTCCCTCCTTCCCTGGCCCTCCCCCTCCCCCTTGACCAGTCCCATTGGTGTCCAATGAAATTTGAATCAGGTGTTTTGGCAATGGCTTTAAGATTTGGTGCCTCTTTGGTGGAGTTCTCACAGCTTCGTCCTTAATCAGCCAGTCTGTTCTGGGTTGGCAGCTCTGGTTCCTGTCACCCTGTCATTCTCCCCTTCCACCTCCTCTTCCCCTTTCCGTGTTTTACGGCAGGATGCCAGCCGAAGTGAAGAATGCTGAAGATGGCAGACCTGACACTGAGATTATTCTGGTTGAATGCAGAATTTGAATCCTTCTGTTTTATCTACTCCCCCTGACCAGTGGCACTGGTGCATCCTTTCTCATAGCCTGGGGTTCTGACCCTCTGGCATTTGTTATCTCCTGCCTGACCCCCCCTCTTCTCCCCCCACAGGCTTAGTAAGATCACCAACCGCTTGACCCTTCAGCGAAAAAGCCAGTTCATGCAGAGGTTGCACAGTTATTGGACTCTGAAGAGGCAATCCCGCAATGGGGTCCCCTTGTTGCGCCGGCTCCAAACGCACTTGCAGTCACACAGGAACTGTGAGCAAGGAAGGCCAGCTCCTCCTCCTCCCGTGTCCAAGACTGAGCAGGTACGGCTTCACTCGAGTTTTCGGGCAAGGGTGGATGAAAAGGGCATGGATGTCCCTCGTGTGGAAGAGCACTTGGCTGCCACTGGGTGCACGTAGCCCAAGAGCAAGGACTTTGTTTGTTTGTTTGTTTAGCCAACTGCTATGGCTCCCCCCAACTCATAACTGCAGCTAAAACGTATCCATGAGATAAAACAGTGACCCAGAAAGAGCGTAGCCTGACCGAGGCCAACTCGCATTCAGTTTTCCAGCCATTTCCCCAACAGGCGCCTCCAGCAGCCTTGCCCAATGGCTCCGTCTATCCATCTGTTTCTCCGTGCTGGATGGGTTGCAGCCACGTGGGCGGGCTTGGGAACAGTTAGTCACGAGGCTGCCTTGTTTGGCGAGGCTTCCCAGTTCGCATGGAGGGAGGCATTTTTTCAGCTTTCAAAGCAAGGTGAGCTGGGAGATTAGCTGCCAAGGACTTGTATTTTGCAGGTAGGAAGCCCCATGTTCAATCTTGGCATCTCCTCCTAGAGAATCATGGAACGGGAGGCCCACTTCCTCTGAGATCCTGAATACTGTACGGTAGTTGCTGCTCAATGGTAGATAGTGTATACCGGCAGAGTAACTTGATATCAAGTTGTTTAGTGCCTTGTGCGTTCCTTCCTTCCTCTGCAACAAGGGAGGGAGGGAGAAGGCAACAGTTTCCCACAGTGGTATCTGCCACATTCTGCCCGACAACTGCTGTGGCTTTTGCCACACTCCACTTCCTTTGGGCTCCTGGCAGGAGCAATTCTGGCAGGAGCTGATTTGCTGCCGTTCTATAAACAACGGCAGCCTGGCATTTGGCAGGGATGCCCCTTCCTCTCACAGACTCTGATGTTCCTGCAGCGAGATAACACAGAGGATAAGAACTGGGCCCTGAAAGAGCAGCTGAAGTCCTGGCAGCGCCTCCGCCACGACCTGGAACGAGCGCGCTTGCTGGTGGAGTTAATTCGCAAGCGGGAGAAGCTCAAGAGAGAGACGGTAACTGTGCCAGGGGAGGGAGCTGGGGAGGGAGGTGCAGGGTTCTCCTCTGGATAACTTTGGGGGGGGGGCGGTGAGGGGAAAGGGGCAGGGAGTAGGATGATCCCAGAATACCCGAGATTGGGAGCTTTTAGGGAAAGCAGGTGGCGGATTTTTGCACTCTAGGCCTTTTTTTTTTTGTTGGAGAATGACACTGAAAGAGGAAGAAGGCGGGATGTTTCCCTGAGAGAATAAAGGAAACGGTAGAAGCCAATGAATTCAACCACAAAGAAGGGTTTGCTTTTTGGCGGGAAAAACGGGGGCCTTTTGATTTGCATTCAAAGCCGTGGTGGCTCAGTGGTTTGAATGCAGTATTGCAGGCAAACTCTGCCCACAGCCAGGAGTTCAACCCCGACTGGCTCAAGGTTGACTCAGCCTTCCATCCTTCCGAGGTCGGTAAAATGAGAACCCAGATTGTTGGGGGCAACTATGTTGACACTGTAAACCGCGTAGAAAATGCTGAAAGCCACGATGGGGTGGTATATAAGTCTTAAGTGCTACTGCTATTTAAAAGGCGTTTGTTTTCGTAGATTGCCCTCTACCTGCTCCCAGGCTGTTTTCCACGATGTGAACAAAGCTGGCTCTGGGCTGTGTGTGCTACAGCTTTGCCTCTCCTTGGGGAATGGCTTTCAGTCAGCGTCCCTGGGGCTTAGCGCAGGTTCATTAGGGGGTTTCACAAAAACAAGTTCAGTCATATCAGGCAAGCTGCCCAAAAGGCAACTTGTTTATTAGACTGATAATGTTCTTGCCGTGCATCGTTTCAGGGACTCACGAGCACCTCTGAGGGGCTTGTAAGCGCTCAGGTCATGAAGGATGAGAAGAAGGCTTTGGGGCACGCTGGCTCTCTACGTCAGTGTTTCCCAAACTTGACAATTTTAAGGCATGAGGACTTCAACTCCCAGAATTCCACAGCCAGCAACGCTGGCTGTGGAATTCTGGGAGTTGAAGTCCACATGCCTTAAAATTGTCAAGTTTGGGAAACACTGCTCTACGTAAATAGAGAGCAGCCAGTTAATGCAGAAAACACTCCATGGCGTTAGAAAGTTTGAACCCTGGTTTTGTATTGGGTTAGAGAAAGGAAGGCTGCACTCTTGTGTTTATCAGGTTTGCGGGCACAGACCTCCGGGAGGGAAGCTCTTCTATGGGGGATGAGCTAATAAGAGGGACACCAATATGGATTCCCTAACATAGACAAGGCGCTATTTGTTCCTTTGAGCTCGGCCTCCATTTTGGATCCTCCTGCTTTCTAACCCCGTGGTGATTCAGAGGCCCCAAACGTAACCGTGGCAGAGTGTCTGGCCACCACGTGCTCAGTAGCACTTTCCCTTCTCTTTCAGATTAAAATCCAGCAAGTGGCTCTGGAGATGCAGCTGACTCCCTTCCTCATCCTCCTGCGCCGGACCCTCGAGCAGCTCCAGGAAAAGGACACGGGCAACATCTTCAGCCAGCCGGTCCCGCTGTCTGAGGTAACAGAACTCTACGAAGTAAGAACCCCTCCACCCCCAATTTATCTTTTGCTCTGTTCCCATCCAGCCGAGGGGCTGGTCTTGCGGCTTGCTGGTCCTATCCTCTGTCCAAGATGCTGCACACACCCTCATGGCTAGGGCCAAGCAGCTACGTGTGCCACCAACTAGTAGTATCCTGGTCATAAGGAGAGAAACCTTAGAAAAATCAGACCCATTGCATAAACATACGTCACTGCTCTGTTTGGTGTGTAATAATATGTGGATTTTCTCACGGTCTTGAAAGAGAGTGCTTGGACTCAGTGTGCTTTTTAGTATGCACTGGGGCTGCATTTCTTTTTCAAGTCGCATATTTAGCCCCAGAAACTAAATAAATGACTTATGCAGGAGCAATGGATCCCTGCAAGTCGTCCTTCCTGCAACAGTCACTGTTCTCAAGCCTGGTATATCAGTGGATGGCCATTGATTCTATTTACCTTCTCTCTAGGAGCTCAAGGCAGTGTAGACAGTGTTCCTTCATCCACGTTTTGCCCTTCAAAGAAATCCCTGTTAGGTAGCCTAGGGCCAGGAGTGAGTGAAGTCTCTCGGCTTTTAAAATCTAGATCTTTTTGGCCCATTTCTAGCATTTCCATCATGATGACACATCGACACTGGTTTGGATATCCCTTCAGTTCTGGTTGTGGCTGAAGCTGGTATTTCAGCTGGAGCTTAGGTGCAAGGTGGCGTTTCTGGGGTCATCAGTAATCAGGGTGGAAGGGTCAGAATGGGAGGTGTGAGGCTCTATGAAGGAGCATAAGAAGTGTGGCTCCTCCTTGAGTATCCCGATATTCATGCCTCCTTTGACCGGATGACTCTAGATAGACTGACATTGGTTGTCCCAAGCCTCATTGACCTTCATGTTGCTCTAGAAACCAGTCTTCCTTGTTAGCAGGATAGATCTGCTAATCTGTACTACAACATAGTCCATCCATTTCTGCTTTCTTCTGCTTTCCTATTTGCCTCAGGTGGGATTTGTGTATGACCTAGTAAGATTATTCCTTCTCTTCTGCTTTCTTTTCTGACCCTGTTAAAAGCAAAAGCTTCCCCAAGTTAACTTCAGCTCCTGTCGATCATATGGTCCCATCCATGCAGGTTTCTTGACAACAGCTTAAAAGTGGCTTACGAATGAAGGCAAATATATGTGTCCCAGGATAATGTTGCAGGATCCAATTTGGGTCGGTCACCGGAACCGGAAGTTTTTTAGTCTTCCAAGCTTTTGAACGCGTGCTGGAGGCCCCATTCTCAGGGAACTTTTCTCTCACCAGAATGTGTCCTACTTTTGCCTTGTGTGTGGCACGCAGAGCCCTCTCTGTGGGCATGCGCACTGTCGCCCCAGTCCTAGGCGTTCAGCTGGGTTTTATAAAACCTTTTCGCTTTAGACCTCCGCCGCCGTTTGCAAAAAAAAAAAAAAGGTTCAATCAATCAATCAATTTCAACTTGCAGGAAAAAAAAAGATCTCGCAAAGTTGGAATTGATTGATTGAACTTTTTAGTCCCACCCAGTCTGCCCTTACCATCGAAGCCATGCCCACCCAATGGCACACGCCCACCCAGCACCTGATGATCCATAAGTGGGTTTTGGGTTGCAGTTTGGGCACTCGGTCTCTAAAAGGTTTGCCATCACTGATCTAGCCTGTAGCCCTGAACTAGTCCTCCTAGTCTCCCATCCAGGCACTAATCAGATATGTCCCTGCTTAGCTTTTGGGGATCAGCCAATATTCTCTCACCTATTGTAGGCAGTAACCAATGAAGACTGCCTAATTCACTAATAAACAATTAACCCTCATAGGAATGCCATCAGCTCTCAGAACTTTCCCAATTTCATTCTTGTCATCCTGATGCTTTTGTCCAGCCTTATACAGTTCAAGTGCCTTCAGCTGTGCTGGACTTCAGCCCCTGCCATTGTTTAATGGGAGTTGGAGATGGTTGATTAGTTCAAGCAGCAGGCTTTCCACGGCTATTCCCCAGGCCCAGCTAAGCAAACCCCTCCTGCGTGGCTAGTGATGCTTCATGCAGAGTAGGCTAATCATCAAATTGCTTTAGGTGGATCAATTATCTCTTTTTTAATTGCTGGGTGATGAAGTCAAGGGAACTGCTTTTCCCATGGCTGGGAATCTTGTTGCAATAAGTCTGTATTAACATTTAGTTGATACCAGTGTTTTCCTTATAATATCTGAGAATCTAGTTACAGCCCATGGATTTGGTAATAACCTTGTTCACCTGCTTTATTTAGGAGAACTTTTATTTAAAGTTTGCTGTTTATGGTAAAGAGCTAAGAAGACTCTTTTTTTGTTTGCCTAAAAATACAGAAAATAAAGCAATTCCCCCATATCAATAGATTTAAAAAAACACACAAAATAAAATAAAATTTCAAAGGACACCCATCTCTTTACAGAATCAATCAAAATGAACCATTAGTTCAGAGCTAGATCATTCCTCCTGTTGGTTGGAGTAAGGAAACCAACAGAGTAACTCCATTTTTAAAAGAGGATGGTCCCCCTGCTGCAGCCACCGTTGGTTTTAAAATGTCCAGTTTGGCTCTCTGTCCTTTCACTCGGAAAAAGTCCGTACGGTGCAAAAGATTTGGAGAGCACTCAGTTAACTGAATGAGTCGTGGGTTGAGGCTGAGAAATCAGAGCCAGGAGAATAGGTGGGCCTCTAGACAGTATGAAGAATGGGAAGAATGGAGAACTTCTGTTTCCAGGTGGATTAAGGGTGGCCAACCTTAACTAGCTAGTTTTTAGACACATCCAAAATGAACCTGCTTATTTTTCTCTGACTTGCTGCATTATTCCCTGAAAAGCAAGCCATCCTTTTAAGTTGTGCTGTTTTTTTTTAAAAATGATTTTTGCAGGTACTTCTTTAGAAGGCTAGGGATGCCTTGTTCTTGGGTGTGTTTCTTGACTGCCTGTTGCATAGTATCTTATGTGCCCACAGGGAATGGCAGTACCCCTTCTAAGTGGGGACATTGCTCCAGATTGGGCGAGAGCTTTAAAGCCAGTTTCAAGGCTGCTTTAACCTCTTCTTTTCTTGGAGCAGGACTGCCCCAGAGGCGGGATCCCAACCCACTTAGCCTCCCTGCTCTTTGTCCACTGCAGGTCCCAGACTACCTGGACCACATCAAGAAACCGATGGACTTCTACACAATGAAGCAGAAGCTGGAGGCCTATCGTTACCTGAACCTGGATGAGTTTGAGGAGGACTTCAATCTGATAGTCACCAACTGCTTGAAGTACAATGCCAAAGATACCATCTTCTATCGGGCAGCTGTTCGGTTGCGGGAACAAGGGGGCTCGGTGCTGCGACAGGCACGCCGGCAGGCTGAGAAGATGGGGATTGACTTTGAGACCGGCATGCACTTCCCCATGGCTGGAGAGGAGGCTCCTCTGCGGAGCACCGAGAATGGTTAGTGTTCATCCTCAGAGACGGGGAGAGGTGTTCTGGAGCAATGGTAGGGCCAAGCCTTTTATCCTGCTCCAGCATATTAGAGCAGAAGAGCATGTAGATGCAATACTCCCATGCATTGGATGGCCTGGGGCAGGGGATAGGCAACCTTGGCTCTTTTATCACTCGTGGACTTCAACTCCCAGAATTCCTGAGCCAATATGGCTCAGCTTGGAAACCTCTCCCTTTTCCCTCAGCATGGCTGGCTCAGGAATTCTGGGAGCTGAAGTCCACGAGTCATAAAATAGCCAAGGTTGCCTACCCCTGGCCTGGGGTAAGGGGATATATGAAAAGGAAGCTTAGAACTCTTCTGCCTGAAATTCAGTTCCAGTAAAATGGCAGGGAAACCCATTTTGGGATGGAAGAGCAGAAAGCATTGAGAGAGGGAATTAGCCAAGGCAAGAAATTAGGGTGGCAGTTTGCTGTCCTGTGGGTGCACACACTGTAAGCAGACTTAAGCCAATGCTTCATTACATGTCTTGGCCAATCAGTGCAAAAGAGCTCATTTTTTTCCAAGATGGAGAACTTAATAATGTTCTTTTTACTGATGTTCATTTTGTTCATTTGCTTGCTTGCTAGTCCCAAAGGTGCTTTTTCAAGAGGCAACTGGACTTTCTTGTGTGTGTGGTTTGTTTTTTGAAGATGTTTTGCTTCTCATTCAAGAAGCCTCTTCAACTCTGACTGGATGGTGGGGAATGGAAGGATTTATATTCCTTGCAGACAGCTGGTCATTTACCTTCTTTTACAGTGTCGTTGAGGCCACTTGGAGGTTTATCTGTGTCCTCAAGTCACCTGCGTAGTGCAGATGGGTATGGAGCCTTCTTAGAACTGCTGAAAGGACTGTTGTAGACTGAAGATACACCCTCACTGGCATAGGTATGTGGACAATACCTGGATCAAGATCAAAACAGGAATTGGAAGCATTCACCAAGCATATCAACTCTGTGGACAGACACATCAAATTCACACGGGAAGACGTTAGGGAACACAATCTTCCATGCAGTACATATTAAGGAAGACAGAAGCCTTAACACTGAAGTTTACAGAAACCCCCTCCCACACACACACACAGATCAATATTTACATTTTGATTCACATCACTCACTGGAGCACAAAATGGGAGTTATCAGAACCCTACACCACTAAGCTGAAGGCCTGCCTACCGGCAAAGATGAGAAAGAAAAAGAACTAAAGCACATCAAGGAAGCCCTCAGAATAGACATGTCAAACACAAGGCCCAGGGGCCGGATGTGGCCTGCGAAGTGGTTTCATGTGGCCCGCGAAACCGTCCTGGAAACAATGAGGGAACAGCCCCCACTGCCTTGGCCCTGGCCCAGGCCGGCCGGGAGCCCATGTACAATTTTGTGATGGCCATCTATGTTGAAACACATTCAGTCTTAGCTCCACAAGGCCGTCTAGAAACAGCGAGGAACCAGCCCCTGTCGTGTCAACCCCACCCTCTGGGTGCATGCTGGGGAGGTGTCACCCTTTGTGAGGAATGAAGAAATGGACCATGTCTTGGCATTTGCCCCGGTTCCACCCCTTTCTGCCAGAGACCCTCAGATCTGTCCCACTCCTGCCCAGGCCCCCACAGGCACCCTTGATGTGAACAATGTAGAGCTGGCCATGCCCACCCAGTAGGCCACACCCACTCCATCCACACCCACTCAGTAAGCTGCACCCACCCTGGCCACACACCCCCATCCCCCCTGAGGGCAACCGCAATGCTGATGCTGCCCTCAATGAAATTGAGTTTGACACCCCTGCCTCAGAACATGTGCTATCCCATGTGGGCCTTCATCAAATCCCCAAAAAGATCCAGTAGGAGCCCCTCCATAACAGACAAAGAAGAGAACACTAAATGAAGCAACATAGTCATTCCATACGTTGCAGGAATTTCGGAAAAGCTCAGGAGGATCTTCAGCCAACGCAACATACGTGCACACTTCAAACCCAAGAATACACTAAGGCAGAAGCTTGTCCACCCCAAGGATAAAACAGCCAGACACAAACTGAGCAACCTGGTATAACGCAGTATAACGCTGTGAGCCATGTGCAGATCTGTACATTACGGAAACGAAACAACGTCATAAACACATGGCACAACATAGGAGAACAAACCCATCAGGACCAGGTTCAGCAGTCCATCTGCATCTAAAAGAAAAAAGCCACTCTTTTGAAGACAGCAAAGTCCACATTTTGGACAGAGAGGACCGCTGGTTTGAAAGAGGGGTCAAAGAGGCCATCTATGCCAAAACTGAACAGCCCTCTCTCAACACAGGGGGAGGGGGATACAACATCATCTATCTCCAGTCTACAACACAGTCCTTTCAACAGCTCCAAGAAGGCTCCACACCCATTTGCACTACTCAGGTGACCCTGAGGACACAGATAAACCTCCAAGTGGTCCCAACAACTCTCTAAAAGAAGGCAGATGACCAGCTGTCTGCGAGGAATATAAATCCTTCCATTCCCCACCATCCAGTCAGAGCTGAAGAAGCTCCGTGGGTGAGAAGTGAAACGTCTTCAAAGAAAAACAAGAAAGTCCACACATTGCCTTTTGAAAAAGCACTGGATGACTGAGAATCCCCATAGACAGCTTGCTTGCTAGGTTGATGTTCATTCAAATAATCCAGATCTAAACTGAGCAGGGTAAATCCAGGCTTGTTTAGAATTCTGAATCCAGAAATGGGCACAAACCCTTTTAGTTTGGTATAGATTATCATGGATCTCTTCCTCCCCTCTGCAGATTTATATTAAAATCTAAGAAAAAGAGAAACATTTACTAGTGGGTTGAAGCTGTTCTTTGCAATGAGAAAGTAAAAGCCACAGCCCTTTTTATACTCAAATCTTTAGGTCAGAATGGGCGATACTATCCTCGTCCACCTGTGGTTGAATTACAACTCCAGGATTCTTCACCACTAGACTTGTTGGCTGAGGCTACTGGTAATTGTCATTTAGCAATCTCTGGACAGACACAATTGCTCTGCATCTTAGCTGCGCCTCTGGAGCGGAGGTCCCGAGAAGCCACTTCATCATAAAGAAGCACCAGGAGAAGGAATAATTTGTCCTTTAGCTGAGTGCGGGATGTTTTAAGTGTACAGGTAGTCCTTGATCTACGACCATGATTGAGGCCAAAATTTCTGTTGTTAAGCAAGACAATTAAGTGAATTTTGCCCCATTTTATAACCTTTCTTGCCACAGTTGTTAAGTGAATCACTGCAGTTGTTAAGTCAGTAGCAGGGTTGTTAAGTGAATCTGGCTTCCCCGTTGACTTTGCTTGTCAGAGGATTACCCTGGGACACTGCAACCATCATAAATATAAGCCAGTTTCCCACTTGGATCACCTGACCGTGGGGTTGTGACAACATTTGTAAGTGTGAAAAATGGTCATAAGTCACTTTTTTTCAGTGCCATGTAACTTTGAACGGTCACTAAAAGAATGGTTTTAAGTCAAGGACTACCTGTATTAAAAGTCTGAAAGCACCATGTGCAATTTGGGTGGTCTATACCAGGGGTGGGGAACCTTGGCTCTTTTATGACTGGTGGACTTCAACTCCCAGAATTCCTGAGCCAGCATGGCTCAGCTTGGAAACCTCTCCCTTTCCCCTCAGCATGGCTGGCTCAGGAACTCTGGGAGTTGAAGTCCACGAATCATAGAAGAGCCAGGGTTCCCCACCCCTGGCCTATACATTTAATCAATTTTAAAATATATATATCAATTAAATTCATTAATTTATTAAACGTACATGCTGCCCATCTCACTGCCAAGTGACCTTGGGTGGCTGAAGGCCAAACAAAGCAGGCCTTTCCTAAAAGCGGGCATTGTCCTTCTCCCAGATGAGGAGCGGCTGCTGCTGTCCGAGAACCAGAAGCACCTGCCTCCGGAAGACCAGCTGAACCTCCTGCTCGAGCGTCTGGCCGAGGTGAGCGCCGGGAAGCAAAGCGTGAGCCGCTGCCGGCAAACCAAGATGATCAAGAAGGAGATCACCGCCTTGCGGCGCAAGCTGGCACACCAGCGGGAGACAGGGAGGGATGGGCACGGCCCCTTGGCCCGCATCATTCTGCCGACCCATAACCCCTGCGAGAAGGACGCTCAAACCGACAGCGCCGCTGAGGAGAGCAGCAGCCAAGAAACCAGCAAAGGTTGGTGGTGATGATGCTAGAAAGCCCAGAGCTGCTTCTTGTCCCCGTGCGGAATTGGGGCATTCCTCCTGTCTGAAATATTTTCCCGGAAGCTCGCAGGGGCATCTCTTGAGAATGCCACAGTGTCTTGCGCACGTTAGCCCAGCTGTCCCAGAGGTGCTTTTCAAAAGGCAACTGGACTTCCTTTGCTTTTTTCCTGGAAGACGTTTCGCTTCTCATCCCAAGAAGCTTCTTCAGGGATGAAAAGCAAAATGTCCTCCAGGAAAAAACAAAGGGAGTCCAGTTGTCTTTTGAAAAGCACCTTTGGAGCAACCATGACCTGGATGACTGAGAATTTCCATAGACAATTAACCTAGCTGGGTTTTCTCCAACTCGGCATCTTTCACATGTGAAGTTTTTGGAGCTCTCTGAGCTTGGTTGTTCGTCTCCAGACATTTCATTACCCAACTACGTAACATCATCCATGTATTGACATTGTTAGCCAGTCGGGTAATGAAATGTCTGCAAGCAAACAGTCAAAATCAGAGAGCTCCAAGAACTGCACAGTTCAACCCTGAGCTACAGATAACCTCTCCTTAAACATGTTGAACTACATTTCCCATCATTCTCCAGAGAGCAATGAAATGGAAGGGTGGCAGGTTAGAAGATCCCAAGATCACTTTTCTTCATAGGAGTCAGTGTTGCTCCTGCCTTTCGCCAAGCTTTTCTCTGTACTCAGGCCCATATTCCTGAACTTATACAGAAGTTCCTCTCATCCAGTGGTGGGATTCAAATATGTGAACAACCGATTCTCGGTGTGGATGCCGCTTCCAGAAGTCCATCCTGGGCCCGAGCAACAAAAAAGTAGCTACCGGTTCTGCCCAAGTGGTGCGAACCGGCTGAATCCCACCACTGCTCTCATCCAACCCTTATTACTATGCTGAGTTACATATGGGAAGACAGCTGTCACTAAAGCTTGCACAATTTTTGAAAGATATCTTTTAGAATCGGTAACCTTATTTTCACAAATGAAACCGATTTATGAAAGTTATTTTTTTAAAAAGCCTAAAATGTTGTTCCCTGGATGCAGAGAAGACTTTTTTTTTTTTTGCCATTTCCAGAAGATGGGACAATATTCCTAGGTTAGGGCAGGTTCACTGAAACAATTTTTGGAAAAAAGACTGCCTCAGCAGTTGAAGGAAGTTTTCCTTCCGCAGATTACGTCAGCAGAAGGTGGTCAGCTGTGCTTTTCTGATGCTGCAGTGGCATCTTCAAAACTTCTTCCAACTCTGTCTCTTAGTTCTTTGCTTGCTCTTTAAGAAAATCAGAGCACCACGAAGTTATTTGTGCTTAGCCCAGTCGTATCATTTGAAACATGATGCTTAGCCTAATGTTAGTGGAGATTTCCCTAGAGGTCCCCAGCCTTTTGGGCACCAGGGACCGGTTCCATGGAGAGAGGTTTTTCCACGCACCGGAGGGGGTGTGGTTTTGTGTGCTGCCTGCATCCCACGGATGGGGCTTTGTTTGTGCGGACCGGTTGCTGGCATGCTGTGGCCCGATAACCGGTCCACAGACCGGGGGTTGGGGACCCCTGCCCTAGACCGTTCATTATATCACAGTGTTATTACGAAGGGCACGATGGGTCTAAAGAATTATGATACATGGAACAGTTTTTTAAAAAAAAAATGCCGAAGCCCAGGTCCTTAACTTGGAGTTGGGAAGTTGTATAAAGCTTGCCTTGCGTGTTGCATTAAGTTTGTCTCAGGATTCCCTTGTTCACGGATACATTTTTTTTGCGCATTAGGTGGCCCTGGGGCATGTTGGAAGATATGTTGAACAAAAAATAGTAAAGGTTGCCTTGTTTGAGAGTCATTCCATTTCCAGTAGGGAGACGAGACTGGCCTTAGCGGAAAGGTTGAACGCTCTCTTAAAATCAGCTGTTCAACTTACAGGTCTCCTTGGTTAATGACTACTCGTTCAGCGGCCATTTGAACTTGTGACGGCACTGAACGAGTGGTACTTACGACCAGTCATGAGAGTTCTGGTTATTGCGGCATCTCACAGTTATGTGGTCACCATTTGCAACTTTCTTTGCCAGCGTTTAACAAGCCAGGTCAGTTGGGAAGCCGGCAGCAGGTTGCAAACGGTGACCATGTCTCCTTGCTTAATGACCTCTGTTGATTCACTTACCAACAAGTCTGGTCCCAGTCGCTACAGTTAACCAAGGACTGCCTGCACTTGTCTCTGGGAGACAGGATCCTGGCCCCAAAGTGCGAAAGTTGTTCCTCTAAACCAAAGCCTCCACCTCATTCCAGGCCTTGGCCCCAATTCCTCCTCCACCCCAGCACACGAAGTCGGCCGGAGAACATCGGTGCTCTTCTCCAAGAAGAATCCCAAAACCGCTGTGGCCCCCAAGCGTCCTGGGCGCCCCCCCAAGAATCGCGACAGTCAGATGGCTCCAGGTCATGGGAACAGCCCCGTGGGGCCGCCTCAGCTCCCCATCATGGGATCCCAGCGGCAGCGGAAGCGGGTGAGGAGCCCACGCCCCAGCTCCAGCTCCGACAGCGACAGCGACAAGTCAGCTGAGGATGCGCCGATTGGTGAGTGAAGCGACAGAGAAATCTTGAGCAGCGGACCTCGGTTCCACCTTAGGTCTATGGCAGGGGTAGGCAACCCAAAACACTCAAAGAGCCACTTGGACCTGTTTCCCACCAAAAACAAAACACTGGGAGCTGCAAAACCCTTTTGATATCTAAAAGGAAGATAACACTGCATATATCCTTTTTTTACCATATATATACCATATATATTTACCATACATACATACATACATACACACATACATATACATATACACACTTATATATATATATATCTCATAAAGGTAAAAAAGGATATATGCAGTGTTATCTTCATTTTAGATATCAAAAGGGTCTCTCTCTGTGTCTCTCCCTCCCTCTCTCTCCCTCTCTTTCTTTCTGCCAGTACTCTTTCCCCATTCTCTTTCTCTCTCTCTCTTTCCTCTCTCTCTCTCTCTCCTTCCCTCTCTCTCTCTTTCTCCCCCCCCCCCTCTCTCCGATCTGCTGTTCACCTGGCAAGCTGGCTTCAAGCTGTTCTCCAACAAGCTCAGGGGTAGGCAACCTCGGCTCTTTTATGACTCATGGACTCCAACTCCCAGAATTCCTGAGTCAGCATAGCTGGGCTAGCTAGCTCTCTCCTGCCCTTCCTGCTTCCTGCTGAGACGCAGCAAAGGGAGGAGCCACGCCCAAAAAGATTTTCAGCTTGTCGGAGAACACAGTGAGTGCACTCTCTTTTACACATACACACACACACACACACACACAAACACAGAGACAGAGAGAGACAGAGAAGCAGGGAAGCACAAGTGCCTCTCTCTGTCTCTGTCTCTCTCTGCAAACAGCAGAGGAGGCTGGGAACCACAGGGGAAGGCTCAAAGAGCCGCATGCGGCTCCGGATCAGCAGGTTGCCTGTGGTCTGTGGTGAAAGAAGAGGTGCTTGGTTTCCTGTAAAATCTTCCCCAAGGCTTCCCTGGGAATGTAGTGGCTCTTGATGAGAGTAAATCTGCAGAGGATCTAACTTTAAAGGTGTAGTACAGGCAGTCCTCTATTTACAGTGTTCATTTAGTGACCATTCGGACTTACAGCGGCACTGAAAAAAGTGACTTATGACCTTTTTTCAATCACTGCAGCTTCCCCACGGTCACGTGACCAGAATTCAGACTCTTGGCAATTGACTCACACGTATGATTGTTGCAGTCTTCCCGGGGGTCGTGTGATATCTTTTGTGACCTTTTGACAAGTAGAGTCAATGGGGAGGCCAGATTCACACAACCACTGTGTTACTAATTTAACAACTGCAGTCATTCATTTACCAACTGTAGCCAGAAAGTTCATAAAATGGGGCACAACTCGCTTAAGAACAGAAATTTTAGTCTCAGTTGTGATCGTAAGTCAAGGACTACCTGTATTGATAAAGGCACTTGGATAAATATTCATCATTTTAATTCAAAATGTGATTATGATGGGAAAGGGCAGTCATGTGCCCAATATAAAGCCAAGGGATAGATGCTTACTTTGTATATAATATTAAACCATGGTTTATTGAATCATGTTTTATTGAATCACCCCAAATGGCTGGGTTTATACAACTTGCTATGTACACATCAAACTAATCACCTTATGGCTTGGCACAATTTGTGAACCCTGCCACACTTTAATCAGTTCAGCTACTACCTTCTCTTCTTTGTTTCAAAAAAGCAATGAGAAGCATCCTCTGTGGATAAATTCTATATTCTTATACAATCTAAGCCTTCCTCTAGTTTGGCACCCCTCCAGACATGTTGGAATACAGCTCTCTTGGTCTCAGCCAGAGCTCTTAACAGGAGTAATTAAATGCCACCTTTTTCTTGGCCTCTCGTTATAAAATTAACTAGATAATTCAAGCAATAAATTAGATATGAATTTAACATAAACTAATGAATACCTTCCTTAGTTGTATGATACTTATCAATAATAGTTAGGATATGTAACTGTAGTTGTTGTTGTTAGTTGTGAAGTTGTGTCCGACCTACCACGACCCCATGGACAACGTTCCTCCAGGCCTTCCTGTCCTCTACCATCTTCTGGTACCATCTTCCATTTAAGCTCATGCCTACTGCTTCAGTGACCCCATCCAGCCACCTCATTCTCTGTCGTCCCTTTCTTCTATTGCCCTCAATCTTTCCCAGCATTAGGCTCTTCTCCAGTGAGTCCTTCCTTCTCATTAGAATGGCCAAAGTATTTGAGTTTCAACTTCAGGATCTGGCCTTCTAAAGAGCAGTCGGGGTTGATCTCTTCTAGGACTGACCCGTTTGAACGCCTTGCAGTCCAAGGGACTCGCAGGAGTCTTCTCCAGTGCCATAGTTCAAAGGCCTCAATTCTTTGGCGCTCAGCCTTTCTTATGGTCCAACTTTCACAGCCCTACATTGCAACTGGGAAAACCATGGCCTGGACTATACGTACTTTTGTGGGTGGGGTGATGTCTCTGCTTTTTAGTATGTAACTGTAAACAGACGTTATTCTGAGGTAAGGCTGCAGCCCACTTGCCTTGATTGCACTCATGCTTATTATTATTTTTTTAAAAAATGTACATGCAGTGTTGAAAGACACCTAAAAATGCTAAGTCTTCCCTCCCTGACTTGGGGGCCATCTGTGGGAATTCCATATTAAGCCTACAATGGAAGGCCAGTGCTTGACAGCCCTTGGAGCCAGCCATCTGGAAACAGCTTGCGCTTATTATCGGGAAGTGATGATGGCTTGGGGAAAAAAATTAATTTCCTTATTAATTATATACCTTGCCCTTCAGAGTTGTGGGGGAGTGCATATGTAAACAGGAAGCAAGGCACATATTTAATAAGGAAATAAAAGATTTCAAAAATGAATTATTAAACAGAGTTGGGGATAATTGACAGACGAGAGTGTTAGCCTCTTTCTCCAGAAGCTTTCTATTATTGCGGTGCAGATGGTCCTCAACTTACAACACATAGGGATCATTTGAAGTTAACAACGGCACTGAAAAAAGTGACAGTTTTTCACACGAACACTATACGCAAATGACTCACATTTATGACGGTTGCGGTGTTCTTGCTGATCTTCTGACAAGCAGAGTCAGTGGGGAAACCAGATTCACTTAACAACCATGTTGCTAACTTAAAGACTTAACAACGGTGGAAAGCCATAAAATGGGCAAAATTCACTTAGCAACTGTCTGGTTTATCAGCAGAAATTTGGGGCCCAGTTGTGATTCTAAGTCGAGGACAACCTATAAGAGCCAGGCACAGATGCCTTAATACCACTTTTGCTTCTTGAACTGTGAGCTAACTTCCATCAAGTGTTGTCCAACAGTAGACCTGGCAGGAAGCTTCTGTCCTTGGTGGGCTTTACTGTAGCACAGGGGTCTTCAAACTTGACCACTTTAAGACTTGTGGACTTCAACTCCCAGAATTTCTCAGCCAGCCCACAGGGCTGGCTGAGGAATTCTGGGAGTTGAAGTCCACAAGTCTTAAAGAGGCCAAGTTTGAAGACCCCTGCAAGTGTAGCAATTAGACCAGGGGGGTTTTCTCTAATGGCTCCATCTCCCTCCAGACCTGCCAGCTAATGGTTTCAGCAGCGGCAGCCAGCCGGTCAAGAAGAGTTTCCTTGTCTACCGCAGTGGCTACAACCTCCCACGCAGCAGCTCGGATTCAGAGTCCAGCAGCACCAGCAGCAGCAGTGCAGCTTCCGATCGCACCAGGTACCCAGAAGACCCAGCCTGCTTTATATCACACATCAGCCCCATAACCCCCAAGACAAGGTTCTTCAAGGGCATTTAAGCTATTCCGTCTACTCTGATAGGGGAGTACTCTGTTGGATTTCATAATCTGGGTGGGCTTAGAACGGAACAGACCAACGGGCACTTACTAGCAAGGAAAAGCAAAAGGAACGGGACGAGGCAGATTCCCGGGACTCTGGAATGGTTGCATCTTTCCAGTGAGATGTGCCTTGGGAGGAAAATTAGACGGGACTCTGTGGCTTTGAGTCTTGACAGCTATGTATGATTTCTAGTATCTACAGCAGGGGTCTTCAAACTTGGCCCTTTTGTGACTTGTGGACTTCAACTCCCAGGATTCCTCAGCCAGGCACGCAGGCTGAGGAATTCTGGAAGTTGAAGTCCACAAGTCATAAAAGGGCCAGGTTTGAAGACCCCTGATCTACAGGGAAGACATCTCAAAATATAAATTGTTGAGCAAAAACATGCAGTAGGCCGTGGCCCTCAGCTTCTGCCCTTGGCATATAAACTTCCTAGCTCCCTTTGCGTGACCGACCTGGGAAACAAGATACTGGACTAAAGGTTCTTTGGACTTACCCTGTTCATTCGGCTTCCTCAGGCTCTGCCGCCAGTTGCTTGGGAGGCCTTTTGTTCCTATGCAAAGTTCACAGATGGCTTTCTGGAGTCCCATTCTGGAGTCCCTTTCACTCCTCCTAGAGCAGTGGTTCTCAACCTGTGGGTCGGGACCCCATTTGGGGTCGAACGACCATTTCACGGGGGTCGCCAAACAACGCAGTCCGCCATTTTCTTCCCCTTTTCCTTAGCTGTGCTACTCCCTTTTATTCTATTGGCTTTTGAAAGCCAATAGAATAGACTCTCTTGAATAGTCTAATTCTATTGGCTTTCAAAAGCCAATAGGAATTGTCCAGACTGTCTCTGCCCTGCTGAGCCCGCCAAAAGTCCCATTTTGCAAACGGTGCTGCACCAGTTGAGTAGTCCTCGACCGGTTGGGGGTCGCGGCATTAAAAAGGTTGAGAACCACTGTCCTAGAGCCATTCTTCCTTTTAGCCCCTTTGTTGTGATTAATGCTTCTCTGGGCCCCACCTCTGAGAAAATTGTTCCTCCCTCGTAGCACTACTCCTTCCAAGCAAGGTAGAGGGAAGCCCTCTTTCTCCCGGGTAAACTTCCCAGAGGACAGCAGCGAAGACACGTCAGGGACAGAAAACGAGTCCTATTCGGTGGGAACCGGCCGAGGTGTGGGCCACGGCAGTGAGTATCTGATAGCCATTTCTTCTGGTTTCCCCATCAGGGCTGGGTTGGCAAAAGGATGGCAAAGACCCCCTCCTTTTTTCTTCCTCTTTGTGCAGTGGTCCGGAAGAGTATCAGCCGATCAGCTGGCTGGCTCTCTGAGGATGAGGATTCTCCGTTGGATGCCTTGGACCTAGTATGGGCCAAATGCCGGGGTTACCCATCTTATCCAGCTCTGGTAAGTTTTAATTGTATTTGGTGTATATATGTGAACGTACCTCTGTGTGAGAGAGAAAGAGAGTGGGAATTATCAGAATAATAAAATAACAGCACTGGAAGGGACCTTGGAGGTGTTCTAGTCCAACCCCCTGTTCAGACCCTATGCCCGTGGCAGCAGACCTAGGGCACGGGTGCCAGAGGTGGCACGCACATGCGCCGTCGCCCCAGTCCTAGGCCTTCAGCTGGGTTTTATAAAACCTTTTTGCTTTAGGCCTCCACAGCCATGTGCAAAAAAAAAAAAAAAGTTCAATCAATTAATGGATTTCAACTTCTCATGGGGGAAAAAAAAGATCTTGCAGAGTTGAAATTGATTGATTGAACCTTTTAGTCCCACCCAGTCTGCTGTTACCACCGCAGCCACACCCACCCAATGGGCCACGCCCACCCGGCACCCGACGATACATAAGTGGGTTTTGGGTTGCAGTTTGGGCACTCAGTCTCTAAAAGGTTCGCCATCACTGATACCATTTCAGATAAATGGCTGTCCCATCTCTTCTTGATGGAGCATCCATCACCGAGTATTTGACTAGAAAGTAGAAAGAAGTACATTGCAGCTTGATGCGCAGATCCAAAGAGTGAACTTTTCTGGTTGTGAAAAGCCAGCTAGTATTCCCAGTCCTGCAGCCCTTCCTGCCGTTCTAAGTGCTAGTCAGCCTCTGGGTTTGAATATAAACTTCTCCTAGGCATGGGATTCCCTCGAGGGATTCCCTCAGCCCCCTCCCTTCTGGATAGAGAAAAAGGGGTGCTCTGTTGAAATTCAAGAGGCAGACCCCTTTGGGGAAATGGGGAACGGGATTGCTGTGTCTGAACTGGGGTGCAGCTTCTCCTGAAAAGCTCTAAGACATGACTGGAATTGGATGGAATTGTTTCCAGAGAAACCTTTAAGAACTAGATCAGGGGCAGGCAACCTTGACTCTTTTATGACTCGTGGACTTCAACTCCCAGAATTCCTGAGCCAGCCATGCTGAGGGAAAAGGGAGAGGTTTCCAAGCTGAGCCATGCTGGCTCAGGAATTCTGGGAGTTGAAGTCCACGAGTCATAAAAGAGCCAAGGTTGCCTGCCCCTGAACTAGATGAATATTTTAGGCAGAATCTGCATTAAAGTTTAATTTATTTTGACTGTATGCAAGTAGTCCTCAACTTACAATCGCCATTGACCCCAAAATTTCTGTTGTTAAATGAGGCATTTGTTAAGTGAGTTTTGCCCCATTTTACCTTTTACCTTCCTTGCCTCAGCTGTTAAGTGATTCACTGCCGTTGACAAGTTAGTAACCTGGTTGTTAAGTGAATCTGGCTTCCCCCCCACTGACTTTGCTTGTTAGAGGATTGCAAACGGTGATCACGTGACCTTGGAACACAGCAGCGGTCATAAATATGAACCCGTTGCCAAGCATCTGAATTTTGATCACATGATCATGGGGACGTTGCAAAGGTCGTTAACTGTGAAAAAGATCGTAAATCACATTTTTCAGTTGCCTTGTAACCTCGAACGATCACTAAACTGTTGTAAGTTGAGGGCTACCTGTATTCTTAAATCCAGTATTTTTTTTTATTTCTGCACATACTCGGTGACTGCATCTTTTAACTATGTTGAGACCATAGGGGGTTTTTGAGCTCAGTAAAACTCAGGACATTATGGAATTACATCTGATCAGCGCCATTTTGGGGGGGGGGGACGACACAGGTGGGGTAGTTTTACATTTCTCTGCTGCTGTTTTATGTTGTAAATTGTCCTTGTAGGTTAGATCCTGAATCACTGCATTTTTACAGTGCTAAAAGTAGAAAAAAATGATTTCTATATTTTTCTTTTTAAAATGTGGTTCTTTATCCCTTCTAAAATTGATCTATCTCCTAAGAGGATGGTAGAGCAATGCTGGTTCTTCTTATGACTGGGAGAAAATCTATCTACAGTAATAATAACAACAATAACAACAATAATAATAATAATAATAATAATGTTGGAAGGTACCTTGGAGGTCATCGAGTCCAACCCCCTGCTCAGGCAAGAAACCCTATACCATTTCAGACAAATGGCTGTCCAGTCTCTTAAAAACTTCCAGTGTTGGAGCACTCACAACTTCTGGAGGCAGGTTGTTCCACTGGTTAATTGTTCTAACTGTCAGGAAGTTTCTCCTTAGTTCTAGGTTGCTTCTCTCCTTGATTAGTTTCCATCCATTGCTTCTTGTCCTGGGCAAAATTGTGAAAACCTTTTGGGAAAAGTGTATTTTTGAGGTTTGATGGCTAATAACACTACTTTTTGGGGGGAGTAGTACCATAAAATTATATATCAATGGAAAGATAATTTAATCAAGAATGTAATGCAACATAGTTTGTTCAATTATCTGTACTGTATTCTATGAATACAATAGCCAAATAGCCAGAAAAAGGAAGCACAACTTGCTTAAGTTGATATCAGGTAGCTTTCCTTCATCCGATTGTAGCCAATGAGCATGAGTGTTTAGAGAGCCAATCGGGCGTCATCTTGTTTTGGCAATGAGCCAATCAGATCACAATAGGATTCAGTTATTGATGTCATGCGTTGAAGCTGAGAGGAGGACATTTGTCACTGTGTTATGTGATCGCTATCAAGTTGGTTGGGTTTTTTTGTGTTCTTTCATTTAGTGAGCTTGTAAAACGTAAAAAAATTAAAGTAATGGTGCAAAGAGTTGACTGGTTGCCCAGAAAGTGATGTAAAATAGTATTATTAAGTGAACAAGGCTACAGTTATAAAGAAATTAGAAGAAAAATTCGTGGAAACTTAAGCAAGGGTGGCATTTCTACTGTACACTTTTCCCAAAAGGTTTCCACAATGTTGGCCACTACTGTAGTCTATATGGTTGCTGGGAGTCGAAAATTACTTGATGGCAAATAATAATACGGCCAAGAGATGGCATTACAGCGATTGTGTCACTATTACCTTTCAGCAGAAAATTAGTAGGCTATGGGAACTCAGATGCCAGCGGTTTAGAGAGAAAAACACCAGGTGAGCTGCCTCCTTAGAAGATGGGCAATGGAAAATCACTACCTCAAGGGAGCAGGTTAGGGCCGGATTGTAAAGACCAGAAAGTTTGAGATTTGAGACCTCAAGCATACTATTTATGCAGGGTTTCTCAAACTTGGCAACTGGCTGAGGAATTCTGGGAGTTGAAGTCCACCCATCTTCAAGTTGCCAAGGCTGAGAAACATTATCCTATTTCAGGGGTTCTCAACCTTGGCAACTCTAAGACGTGTGAACTTCAATTCCCAGAATTCCTCAGCCAGCTTTGCTGGCTGAGGAATTCTGGGAGTTGAAGTCCACACGTCTTAAAGTTGCCAAGGTTGAGAACCCCCGTTCTATTTATTTGGCCCTGCTGATACCATTCCATACCATCCTTAACTGAACATTGTACGTGCACTGTTACAAATGATATCATTTGCATAGTCAGATCCTCCTAGCCCAGTGATGGCGAACCTTTTAGAGACCAAGTGCCCAAACTGCAACCCCAAACCCACTTATTTATTGCCGGGTGCCAGGTGGGCGTGGCTGTAGTGGTCATGGCAGACTGGGTGGGTGTGGCCAAGGTGGGCGTGGTCACCTCGATGTTGCTCATGGGGAGGGACACCTGTGTGGGCCAGGCAGGGTTGGGGGAGATCCAGGGGGTCTCTGGTAGGTGGGGTGGTGGGTAGGAGGCTCGTCCTGCGGGGTGAGGTGAGGCAGGGTGGGGTTGCCATTATCTCAGGGCAAGGCGAGGCAGGGGCCGGGGCAGCTGCTGCCTGACACCATCGGCCCCTGCACACAGAGGCCAGCGAGCACATAGGGGCCCACAGTGTCCGTCAGCAGCCACAGCCTGCCGGCCTCTCGACCGGCACACTCTGGGGCTCCGCAGCCCACCCCCAGCAATTCAGAGAAGTGCCCACAGAGAGGGCTCTGAGTGCCGCCTCTGGCTCGTGTGCCATAGATTCGCCACCACTGTCCTAGCCTAAGAACAATCCTAATAGAAACAGCAGCAACTAATTTTTTTTTCCCCTACGCACAAAATCTGAGGTTAGTCACTGCAGTACTGGAGAATTCTTGGCACATTTCTACACCCAGCGGAGAGTCTAAAGATTTGTTTGTTTTTTTTTCTTTTCTTCTACAATTACAATTCCCATCATGACTAACCTGACTGTTGGATATGTCAGCTGGAGACGACGAGAACTAGTGTATCTGGAGATTAGGCTGGGCAAAGGTGATAAGGAATGACAGACTTGTTTGTGTGGAAGAAGAAATCTCTGAAAGTTAAGGTTTTAGGAGGCCATTTTCTATAACAGCAAAAGACTATTTAGTGAACTCTGGTCAAATTGGGAGCTTAGAGCTGTGTGTTTCCACTATGGCTTTGTATCTACAGTGCTGCATTCATTCTCAATCCTCCACTGCGAGCACATATGGCATTCATCTGGATCTCCTGTTTCCTTTTTATCTGCTTTTCTGCAAACCTCTCCTTATCACACGTGGTATAGATGGCTTCCCCCAATGCCTGACCTTTTCCCTCCTCCTCTTGGCAGATCATTGATCCGAAGATGCCCCGGGAAGGGATGTTCCACCACGGCGTCCCCATTCCTGTGCCTCCCTTGGAGGTATTGAAGCTGGGAGAGCAAATGACTCAGGAAGCACGGGAGCATCTCTACCTGGTCCTCTTCTTCGACAACAAGCGCACCTGGTAAGAGCTGAAGCTCCCACTTCTCCAGGCACCAAAAGCTACAAGGAAGGGACAGAGCTAGATCGAGGTTGAGGGAATTAATTTAGGGAAAGAGCAGGAGCGGGGGGGACGGAAGAGTCCACTTGTTTTGGGGAGTGCTCTAGTGACTTTCGCACATTTCATTTCTGCAGGCAGTGGCTGCCCCGCACCAAACTCGTGCCCCTGGGCGTGAACCAGGACTTGGATAAGGAGAAGATGCTAGAAGGCCGCAAGTCCAACATCCGCAAGTCTGTCCAGATTGCCTATCACCGGGCCATGCAGCACCGGAACAAAGTGCAAGGAGAGCAGACCAGCGACTCCAGCGAGAGTGACTGACCCTCCGAGGGGCTCCCGCCCTGGGTGCTCACTCAGTGCAGCTGGACTGTACGGGAGAAGGGAGCAGGGAGCTCCAGCCTTGGGAAGCCTGGCTGCGGGAACATGCGCAGAGCACCCAACAGCCCCTCCAGTGTGCTGGGCACACCCACAGAGCACTATGCCCTCCACGTGGGCAAGCCTACCTCTTGTGCCAGCCTGCCCTTCCTTGTTCCATGCCTGGAATTGCCCTGACCAGCTGCACGAGCAATACCCAGCTGCCTGTATAGCTCCTAGGGGCAGCACCCTGTCTGGGTCCTAAGGCTCTAGACCTTTGTAAGATACTGTATAATAGTGGGAGAATGTAAATTATTTGGGCTGCTCCATACACATACCCCTCCCAACATACAGAGTCTGGCCCATTTCCCTGCATCATAGCACCTGTCCAGATCCATCAGCCTTTCCTCGGCCCAGCCCTACCGACACTCTGCAGGGCAGGGCCGCCATCTTCTCACTTGCACATTTTGATACTATAGCTTTTTGGAATCTGACTCTGCCTGACCCCCCCCTCTCCCTCCCCCTTGTAGAAACCCGGCTCTTTCTGCTGCAGCCGGGTGGGCATTTGTACTTGTATTTATTTTGGAGAAAGAAGATCTCTATTGATTCTTAGAAAATAAAATGGCTCTTTTGGAACCAAGTGGGCTCGTTGCCTTTTTCAGTTCTGTTTGCAGAAAGGATAAGGGACTCTATGGTCTGTTCTGTTCTTAATAGAAGATGTGCTGACTCTTTGTTGTCTAATTTATTGGCTTCAGTTAATCACTTTGCCCAACCATCAAGCTATCTTTACCATCCTGTTAATCAGGATTAGCATCACCACTACCTTTGTTTATTGTTTATTTAACCTTAGCAGTTCAAACCGGTCAGTCCTAGAAGAGATCAACCCCGACTGCTCTTTAGAAGGCCAGATCCTGAAGTTGAAACTCAAGTACTTTGGCCACCTAATGAGAAGGAAGGATTCACTGGAGAAGAGCCTAATGCTGGGAAAGATTGAGGGCAATAGAAGAAGGGGACGACAGAGAATGAGATGGCTGGATGGAGTCACTGAAGCAGTAGGTGTGAATTTAAATGGACTCCAGAAGATGGTAGAGGACAGGAAGACCTGGAGGAACGTTGTCCATGGGGTCGCGATGGGTCGGACACGACTTCGCAATTAACAACAACAAAACCTTAGCAGTATACGTAATATTTCATATCTAGAAATGATAATGATTGAGTTTGTAAAAAAAAAAATTGGGTAAGGAATTGTTTACAACATTCCTTGTATTTTAATTTATTACATTGAAATCTCATTTTTCCTTCAAAGGGCTCAGAGCATCAGCAAATTATTCTCAATGCTTTTCCATCTAGACAGATGACAGAGTTAGACCTTGCAAATTTTAGCACTAGAACTTGTTTTGAGGTTGTTCGTAAAGACACATTTTAGACCAACAGTGCCAAATATGTATATGGCATTTTTTAAAAAATAGCTTCTAATGAATTCTTATGGAGAAATTATTGTCAAATCTATTCATTCCATCCAATATTTAGATTTTGCACCTACCCTTCCTTCTACTGCAGTCACTTCATTAGTTGTATTTCAGAAGAAAGCCTTAATTTCCATTTTTTTTCCTAAAGAGCCTTTTTAGAGGATGATCTAAACTGTGTGAGCATCACATTTCATGTGGTTATAAATGAAAACTATGTCCTAACATTGTGCAGACTGGGATTGCTGCCTGCACTTGCAAAAAGCAACAGCAGCAAGGCAGAAACACTTCCCACCCACCAACCCACCCCAATTCACCAGCCTAAACTCATGCTTTTCCTCTCAAAGGCATTAAAAGCCCCAGAACCTTAAGAGGGAATGAAATCATTCATTCCCTTATACAGTTTACTCACAAGCACACAATCTGATACTTCAGGTGTCTAGCTAACTGAACCATACCTTGCTATTTTTAGCACCCTGCCAACATCCATAGGCAGCTTCACCCCACCCAGGCTCTCAGCCTCCCAAAGTATGGGTGTACGGAGAAAAGGTGGAAGATAAGAAGACAACAAGCAGGCAATGAAGTAGGAAGTGATGTTTGGAAATGTACAACTATTACAGGAAAGCAAAAGGGCAATCAGTCAACTGCCAGGATCACAAGTTACTGTAAGAAACCCATTGGGGTCCAGTTGCTGTTTGAAAAGCCCCTTTGGGACAACCATGACCTAAATCAGGGGTAGGCAACCTTGGCTCTTTTATGACTCGTGGACTTCAACTCCCAGAATTCCTGAGCCAGCATGGCTCAGCTTGGAAACCTCTCCCTTTCCCCTCAGCATGGCTGGCTCAGGAATTCTGGGAGTTGAAGTCCACGAGTCATAAAAGAGCCAAGGTTGCCTACCCCTGGCCTAGATGATTGAGAATCCCCACAGACATTTAACCCATTGTGGTATGATTCCTGCTCGGAGCTTGGCTTAGAGTTTGGCCTGGAGTTTGGTAGCAGCCAGAAAAAGAGTAACCACATTGAGGCAGCACCTAATCCCAAGACAAACAAGAACTTTTGGAGGAAGGCAAAAGTTGTATGCCATTATACAAATGTTAAGACTTACTTGCTATAAGCCAGCAACGCTGGCTGTGGAATTCTGGGAGTTGAAGTCCTCATGCCTTAAAATTGTCAAGTTTGGGAAACACTGCTATAAGCAATAGCTATCATTTACATGGCTATATCAACTTATAAAACCTAGGAGTTGCAGCTAACCCAGAGCAAGTATTATTAGAAAATGATAAAGCATGTTGCACAGTTACCTTCTATCCTGTGATGTGTACAATCTTTGAAAAACAAAGAATCCTCACAAGCACAAAAGACATTAAAAAAATTGTTTGAGTAAGAGCCCTATGATTCCACATAATTTGCATACTATTTTATAATAAGAGCTGGCCTTTCAGATGGTTAATTAACTATAGTACCCAAAGGTCAACTGAATATATCTTAAATATATTATGGTAATTTTTAATGAAATGTATATTTTGATGATGACTGAATGGGAAATAATAGTTTAAAATATGTGCATTATGTGCCCATTGATTTTATCAATTTGGGAAATTTAAAGAAAATGCATAACTTAGCATAACTTTTAATCAAGGATTCAAATGTTATATGGCACAGAGCATGTACTATTTATACTATGAAATGAATGCCAGCTTCTACTTCAGTGCCCAGCATATTTGATGTGACTTTTTTATTCTTAATGTGATTTTAGCAGGTAACCAGCTAAAAGAAGTGGAAATTTAGCTTTTTGTTTTCTTCTATAGAGTCTATACAGTACCACATGTGTTTTATCAATAGTGTACATTTTGAAAGTAAGCTTAAAATACCACTGTGTATTAATGTATATGGCTTCTCAAGGTGAATCTGGATGGAGAATAGAATTTAAACAATATAAATAACTACAAACCAAACATAAAGAAAAAAAGAAAAGGCTGCCAAGAATAAAAAACCTCAGAATAACAACAGTGCCCCCAATCCTGCTTTGATTAACTTCCTAAGCCCTATGCCTGACAAGAAAAAGATAATTGAAAAGATATTTGCATTGTGCCATTTTTTTTGGCCTGGAACTCTTGCTAGATATTTAAATATGATTATAGCAAACAGTATACAGATAAGGGACATTGCGCACTGATTATTCTGATTTGGACAGGCCAGATAATGGTTGCTCCACTTCCGTTCTCCTCTAAAAGCGCCACTTCCTTTCCCATTCGCTTTGTAACGTACAAGACCCTTTTAATACGAATCCAGCCTTAACCCTCGGACAGGAAGAATTTGTTCTGTGCCAAAAGACCCAGGCTTCCGCCCAAACAGACCACAAAGACCTCCTCGCAGCCTAGAGTGGAAAGTGGCTGCCCCGCTCTACCCTTGCGCGGCCCCTCCTCTAAATTCAGAGTCTGTTCTCTATGGTGGTTTTACGGACTCGGAGGTACGGGTTTTGCGCCAAACTAGTGCAGCGAGAGCTGCGGCCGGAGCGCAGTCATCCCCGCCTCCTCCCCAAGGGCAGCGACAGCAGAAGGTACAACATGAACGCCCGGCCGACCCAGCTGCCTCGAGCGACTCCCTGGCGCTCCCTGCCTTGCCCGCGCACCGAACTCCGCCTCGACCTGGTACTCTGTGGCGGACAGACCTTCCGGTTAGTGCGCCCCCTGGCGGCTCCCAGCCAGGAATTGCAACCTTTTCAAAAGCATCCCATTGAATCGCCCCTTTTGGCCCTTCTTCTTTCCTTGCATTGCTGTAGCCCTTGGGCGGCTTTCTCCTCAATAGCATGCCTTAACTTGTCCATCTCTGGGTTTGCTGCCGTTCACCTCCATGGCTATGCCCCGGGGTTGTGCAGCTTTGGGGTGCATGGAGAGGCCCGGTGATGAAGGAAGCAGCACTTTGAATGCATGAAAGCCCCGACGGGCGCGCACGAGAATAGACATGGGAAAAAAAAAGAGCGAGAGATGGTGGCTAGGCTCTCTTCCTAATAGATGGATATATTCTGCTTGTGCAGCAATGCTCCTGCAGGCTTTTTCCATCATCCGCAACCACCAATCCTTTATTATTATTATTTTGATTCATCCCCCACTTGTAAGAGAAATGGAGATGAGCTCTGCCCCCTATAGTTGGTAAGGGCTCCGCAGGGACTCCTTTACCACTTGTAAGAAGGATGAAACACCGCCTTTCTTTTTGCAAATTGGGGATGGCGTTCCTTAAGTTTTGGGGGCAGGGAAGGGACGCCACTTGCTTTTTGGTGCTGCCCCTTTTCCTTCTCCCCCCAAACTACCATAGCATTCAATTTAGAATGCCCTTCTAATTCTTCTAAGCATGACTGATCAGTAGAATCTATCCAATCCTTTTAAACTCTGCATATAATCCTTGGGTTCATGGAGCTGAAGCCTTGAGCTCCAATCCTTCCCCTGGGCACAGCCATCGGCTCTGAACTGGGGAGTCCTTCTTACTCCTTGAATTTGGTGGTTTGCCTGCAGATGCTTCATTGTCCAACTAGCGCCAAGGACTTCATAGATCACTTACAGACCTCTGAAAAAATCTCCTGGATCAGGTGAAATCTGCAACCAAACAGGACAGGTATAGACTTCAATGGATAGTTAGGACTACCGAAAAAACAATTGAAGCCAGCCTGCCTTCCATTGAGGACCTATACACTGCATGAGCCAGAAAGAGGGCTGAGAAAATATCTACAGACCCTTCACATCCTCAACATAAATTGTTTCAACTTCTCCCCTTAGGATGCCGGTATAGGGCTTTGCATGCCAAAACAATTGGACACAAAGGTAGCTTTTCCTCCCATGCCATCACTCTGCTAAACACCTAACTCCCATAGCCCTGTCTTATGCCTAAAGATATTTACCCATGTAGTAGGGCTGTGTTACTATTATCCTTTTCATCTTCTCATCTTTCCTACTACCATCTTCTATTAGAATCTTATGATTTATTACTTATTGTTTGTATCTTATGATTATGATTGTATCTTATTATTTATTATCTATGACGTTTCACATTGTTGTTTGGATGTGTGCTGAGAGCTTATGCACCGGAGATAAATTCCTTGTGTGTCCAATCACACTAGGCCAATAAAGAATATGCTATGCCAGTGGTGGCGAACCTATGGCACACGTGCCAGAGGCGGCACTCAGAACCCTCTCTGTGGGCATGTGTGCCATTGCCCCAGCAGAGTTTGCCAGAGTAGCGAGCACGTGGCGTTTGGAAACGACAGGGCAGGAAGTGAGTGAGCAAGCGGCGTTGGCCCCCCGGGGATGTCCCGGAGATGGCGAGGGACTGGCCCCTGCCGTCCTGGCCCCAGCCACGCTCACCAAGTCTGCTGTGACCACTTCAGCCACGCCCACCCAGTGGGTGACGCCCCCCTACCCCTGAGGGCACCACAATGGTGATGCAGCCCTGGCACTTTGCGATAAATTAGTGGATTTTGGGTTGCAGTTTGGGCACACGGTCTCTAAAAGGTTCGCCGTCACTGTGCTATGCCATGCCATGCCTTTCTATCATTATATGACCAACCAGTTGCATGTGGGAAGCTCACTAACAGAACAAGAGAAAGACTATACCTCTATTTTTTGCCATTCATCAAATGTAATTTAAGGCTTAACGTTTTTTGGTTCTGCAGTTCCTATGCAGCTGTCAAGACTAAAAATCACTGATAGCCCAATCCTGTCTGAATCATATATTTGAAAAGTACCATCCAGGCCCTCTAGTCCAATCCTATGCTCTGTGTGCGTGTGTACATGCCTTCAAGTTAGTATTGACTCTTGGCGATTGCCTGGATAGGTCCCTGCAGTTTTTCTGGCAAGGCTTTGAAAATGATTTGCCCATTCCTACTCTTCTTCCTTCCAAGGGTTGAGAGAGAAGGACTGGCCCAGAGTCACCCAACTGGCTTCCAGCCTAAGGTGGGGCTAGAACTCGGTCTCCTGGTGCCTCAACTATTACTATTTGAATTGCAGAAAATGAAAGAAAGCAAAAGCAGGAAGTTGCTACTTTCCCCTCCAAGTAAATCAGTAGAATGAGAGACCTCTGGGGGAAAAGTGACCAGGGGCGGCATTTATTTTAGGAAGTATTTACAACCTCTGACAGCTTTTGTTACAGGGCCTTCTTTCTTTGAACTGATAAGTCTCTGTCTTTTTTTTTTTTTTTTTTTTAAAAGCACTGAAATGTGGATACTTGCTGTTCCATTCCCCCAAGGACTGGCATGAACTTGTGTCCTGGAAAAATAAGTCATGTCTTGGGCAAGGAAAACAAACATACAACCAGCTTTGCAAGTCACACTTGTAGAGCCTTGTCTTTTCATCTTCACTTTGTTCTTAGAATATTATCAGTAGAAAGATCCTAATTCTTTTGTCTCTTCCTAGGCCAGTGATGGTGAACCATTTAGAGACCGAGTGTCCAAACTGCAACCCAAAATCCACTTATGCATTGTTGGGTGCCGGGTGGGCGTGGCCCATTGGCTGGGTGTGGCCTATTGGGTGGGCGTGGCTGTGGTGGTAACGGCAGACTGGGTGGGACTAAAAAGTTCAATCAATCAATTCTAACTTTGCAAGATCTTTTTTTTTCCCCACAAGAAGTTGAAATTGGCTGATTGATTGAACCTTTTTTTTTTTGCACACAGCGGCAGAGGCCTAAAGCGAAAAGGTTTTATAAAACCCAGCTGAAGCCCTAGGACTGGGGCGACGGCGCGCGTGCCCACAGAGAGGCCTTTGAGTGCCGCCTCTGACACCCGTGCCATAGTTTCGCCACCACTGTCCTAGGCTTTCTCTTGACTTACAGAGAATTGTTTAGGGATTTCCGCTTAAATTCTTCCATCAGACTTCCTGGTGTATCTCTCCCTATGTGCTCAGTAAAGTTACTCCCTAGACCTGAGTCCTTTGCATTCGACTTACAGTCTTTGCTTCATCAATAACAAGCCATTACTCAGCCATCCACACTGATGGCAGTTCTCATCATTACCTCTTGTTCAATTTGTCTGTTGTCTGTCCACTCTTAAAAATGTCTAATTTAATGATGTGTCAGCAGCAGATGTCATAGTTTAACTATCCTTGACAAGAATGTCACGCTTTGAAGTTCTTACTGACAGTTAATCTAGGGGGGGAAATGGAATTTAATCATGCTTGCTAATATATAGGGTGTTCATAATTGGTGTTAGAAGTATTTGGATGTGTACTCAAGAAGATGGATTATATTGCAGTACAGGCTGAAATATAGATGATATCCATATAGTGCTGGATGATGTTTCTCTAAAGTCTAAATGTCTATAGAGAGTCTCAGTCATCCACGTCAAAGGTGCTTTTTCAAAAGGTAGCTGGACTTTGTTTTCCCCTGAAGACGCTTTGCTTCTCATCCAAGAAGCTTCTTCAGTCCTGACTGAATGCTTTAAATCTTTCCATCCAGAACCGAAGAAGCCTTAGTAAGACCACACCTAGAATACTGCATCCAGTTTTGGTCTCCATACTATAAAAAGATGTTGAGACTCTAGAAAGAGTGCAGAGAGAATGATTAGGGGACTGGAGGCTAAAACCTATGAACTAATGGAACAGCTTGCCTTCAGAAGTTGTGGGAGTTTCATCACTGGAGGCTTTCAAGAAGAGATTGGACTCCCATCTGTTAGAAATGGTATAGGGCAGGGATAGGCAACGTTGGCTCTTTTATGGCTCGTGGACTTCAACTCCCAGAATTCCTGAGCCAGCCATGCTGAGGGGAAAGGAAGAGGTTTCCAAGCTGAGCCATGCTGGCTCAGGAATTCTGGGAGTTGAAGTCCACGAGTCATAAAAGAGCCAAGGTTGCCTACCCCTGGTATAGGGTCCCCTGCTTGGGTGGGGGGTTGGACTAGATGACCTTCAAGGTCCCTTCCGTTATTCTATTCTATTCCTTTCCATTCTAAGCTTCTTGGATGAGAAGCGAAACGTCTTCAAGGAAATACAAAGTCCAGTTGCCTATTGAAAAAGCACCTTTGAGACTGTTTCTCCAAAGTGACAAATTGCATTAACACTGGCTTCCATCCACATTCTGAAATTCTTTAGAGACTGTAACAAGATTTGTTCTGAACCTCAGTCTTATTTTGTTTGTAGATTTTGTGGCTATAAATAAAGTGATAAATACTGTTAAAGTTGCCTGTACTCTCAGAGGCCCAGTTGTGAGATATATGGGAAAGGAGTTTCTCCTTGGTCAGCTGCAGGCAACGGAGTGCCTTTCTTCCAGAAATAAATGTATTTCTCCTTCCATTTTCAATAAAGGAATTAAGCCTGTGCCTTTTTTGAATTGCACCACTAATAAAGGTATTGCACGTTAGCTGATAATAATTTAGATTGTTTACCTTGAGTGCTGTATAGATAAAAGGCAGGAAATAATAAGAACTTTTATAACTTTAGAAGTGATGTTTGGGGAAGGGAGTAGCTTAATGGCAGAAGACGGGATGCTTTTTATGGAGACAGGCCCAGCTTCTGTCCCTGGTTATTTGCTCAAACAGTTGAGATACGGTAATTGATCAGAGTTGATTGGAGAGCAGCTGTCAGAGAAGCTGCCAAGTTAGTTGAAAAACAGGCTTACTCCTGTAGTGGGGTGAGGCAGCCTCTGGTTATCTGCACATCTTTGCAAATATCAGGGAATGGCTCAATCATTATAGGCAGCTGGAACAGCAGCTTGGATACTTGTGATTAAAATTGTGCGGGAAGGAAGGAAGGAAGGAAGGAAGGAAGGAAGGAAGGAAGGAAGGAAGGCAGGCAGGCATGGGGAAGGAAAGCAGGCTTAGGAAGGGAGGAAGGAAGGAAGGAAGGCATAGGGAAGGAAAGCAGGCTTAGGGAGGGAGGAGGGAGGGAGGGAGGGAGGAGGGAGGGAGGGAGGGAGGGAGGAAGGAAGGAAGGAAGGAAGGAAGGTGTTTCTGTGTGAATGCAGCTATTTTTCCCAAATTTACTCTCACGCATATATTGTACGCAGGAAAGTTATAAAAGTTTCTCGTCCTTTTATTTCTTGCTGCAGTCATTTGGGAAAACCTCATAGACTGGAAAGTAGGTGCTCCCGTACCATTGGAGAGAAATTTGAAGAAAAGACATGAGATTTGAAATGCTACGAACTTCACTATTAACTGAATTTGGAATCCAAGCTTTTGTTGGTCCTGGTCCAAACTTTGCTATTTTGGTGACTCTTGATTCAATGCATTTTTCATAGGTGACCTCAGCTTTAAGAAAACGTGGCAACTAAGTTGAGAAACGAACTGCAGGTGGTAGTCCTCAACTTATGACCACAATTGAACCCAATTGCTAAGCGAGACCGTTGTTAAGTGAGTTTTGCCCCCATTTTATGACCTTTCTTGCCACCGTTGTGAAGTAAATCGCTGCAGTTGTGAAGTTAGCAATGTGGTTGTTAAGTGAATCTGGCTTCCCCATTGACTTTGTCAGAAGATAATCATGTGACCCCAGGACACTGCAACCGTCATAAATATGAGTCAGTTGCCAAAGAACTTTGATCAGGTGACCACGGGGATGCTTCAACAGTCCTAAATGTGAAAAACTGTCGTAAGTCACTTTTTTTTAAGTGCCATTGTAGCTTTGAATTGTTGTAGGTTGAGGATTACCTGTATTGACCGAAGGCTCTGTGTAGCCTTTTTTAGGTGACGCCTGGCTGTTTCTGCTGCTAACCAAGCCTGTGATTTCCTCAGGTGGTCTGAAAGCAGCCCTGGCTGCTGGACTGGCGTGCTGGCTGGACGAGTCTGGACTCTCACGCAGTCTGAGGAACATCTGTGGTACACCTTGCATGAAGAGGAGAAGGAGGATGGGGGCAGAGAAGAAGAAGGCCTCTCCGAACCTCCCATGAAGAAGAGCAGGAAGCAAGCACAGCCGGAACCTAATCGTGCTGGGACAAGTGAACGTCCAGGCAGCCATTTGCCTGCAGAGCTGGCTCGGGGAGCAGACGGCTTGACTCCTTCTCAGATCCTTCAGGACTATTTCCAGCTACACGTCAACGTGTCTGCCTTATACCAGGGTTGGTCTTACGTTGACTCACATTTCCGGGAAGTAGGTGTTAAATTCCCAGGTAGGCAAACTAAGAACTAACACTGGAGAGAGTGATGTGTACAGCTGCAATAAAAATACATGCATTTTTTTTTACATGATGAAGAGGTGATGATGATGATGGTGATGGTGATGGTGATAATAATAATAATTATTATTTGTCAATGCCATTGGTGTTCACGTGGTGCTCCAATCCCAAAACAACTGGAGCACCACTTGAACACCATTGGCATTGACAAATTTGCCATTAGTCAATTACAAAAGGCGGCCTTACTAGGAACCGCCTCCATCCTGCGACGATAACATTAAACATCCACATCTGCCTATCCCAAGTCCTTGGTAAAGATTCTATAGGTAGACAAAATGCCAAATCCAGTCTGAACATCTGGTTGACTGTGTGATGATCAATAATAATAATAATAATAATAATAATAATAATAATAGTAATAAACAACTTTGCAAAATATATCAAGAAACTGCAGCTTCCTGCAATAACTCCAGCAATGTTACAAAAAACTGCGCTACTCCGAACATCTTATATTTTAAGGAGATACCTGGTTGACACCTAGGATGCTGGTAGCAACCTGTGTCAACCATCAGCACCAGCCAATTTCAATGTTCAGTTGACTGAGGTTCATGTTTAATGAATTAATAATAATGATGATGATGATGATGATAATGAAGTTGGAAGGGACCTTAGAGGTCATCTAGTCCAACCCCCTGCTCAGGCAGGAAACCCTATACCATTTCAGACAAATGGCTGTCCAGTTTCTTCTTAAAAACTTCCAGTGTTGGAGCATTCACAGCTTCTGGAGGCAGGTTGTTCCACTGGTCAATTGTTCTGTCAGGAAGTTTCTCCTTAGTTCTAGGTTGCTTGTCTCCTTGCTTAGTTTCCACCTGTTGCTTCTTGTCCTGCCTTCAGGCGCTTTGGAGAATAGCTTGACTCCCTCTTCTTTGGGGCAGCCCCTGAGATATTGGAAGGCTGCTATCATGTCCCCCCTCGTCCTTCTCTTCATTAAACTAGACATACCCGATTCCAGCAACCGTTCCTTGTATGCTTCAGCTTCCAGTCCCCTGATCATCTTGGTTGCTCTTCTGTGTAATATCCTAATTGTATTATCCTGTACAATATCCTAATTTGTGTGCTAGCACACTTGTTTTCAGGAATTAGAACTAAGGGATGTTCCATTTAGTTGAGACTAATTGACCAGTGGCAAAGCTGTGTCTCATATCAAGAGTGCAGAATTTGAATTCTTAAATGTCTTTATTTTTATTCATTTTAGGGAACAAACATTATCCTTGTCTGGCAGAGGGAGATTTGAAAGAGAGGCTTTCTTGAAGGGTCCTTGGTGCTCTCTGAGCTTGACTGATTTCTGGCAGGCATTTTATCACTTGCGCTGCACTGATGATGTTACCTAGTTTGGGTATTGAAACGTCTGCAAGAAAACAACCAAGTTTAGAGAGCACCGAGGACCCCTCATGTCAACTCTGAGCTACAAATATGCTCCTTTGTTGGTGAGGCTTTCTTGCCCAGAGATCTCTCTCTGTCTGTTTACTGCTAGTACCATGAAAATCCAGAAAATCAGAAACCACTGTATAATTCATGAATGTGGAGATTCTCAGTCATCCAGATCATGGTTATTCCAAAGGAGCTTTTTCACGAGGCAACTGGATTTTCTTGTGTTGTCTAAGGCTAAGCTATAGAGTGGAAAATTTGCCTTTTTGTTGTTCTTTGCTCTTGTTGTGTTGTGTTAATTGTGCCTTCTTTGTAAATTCAAGAAAGTCCAGTTCTTCTTGAAAAAGCACCTTTGGGGCCACTGTATAATTTAGCACCAAGAAAAACTGAACTCCTTAGTTTAAACATAATAGCAATAGCACTTAGACTTATATATCCCTTCGTAGTGCTTTACAGTTCTCTCTAAGCCAGTGGTTCTCAACCTTTTTAATGCCGCAACCCCCAATCGGCCATAAGTTGAGGACTACCCAACCGGTCGTAAGTCGGGGACTACCCAACTGGTCGTAAGTCGAGGACTTTCCCTGCCAGGGAGCGCCGCACATGCGTGGTGCCGCCCCCTGTGCCGGCCGAGGCGTAGCTGGCAAGCGGCAGAGACGGAGCAGACTGACCACCGGCTGGGCCACCAGTTGGCCCAGCCCAAGGGAGGTAAGGCACCCGCCAGGCCCCACGCGCGCCAGCAATCCTCCCTGCGCCCGCCGGCCTCCCACCTCCCACCCCTGGCCCTCTTTTACTTACATTTTTAGTAGTTGCTCAGCAGAGAGGGGTGGAAACTTCCAGACAGCTCGCCTTCGCTGCAGACAACTTGCAGCACCGTTTGCAGAATGGGACTTTTGGCGGGCTCAGCAGGGCAGAGACAGCCTGGACAATTCTTATTGGCTTTTGAAAGCCAATAGAATTAGACTCTATTCAAGAGAGAGTCTATTCTATTGGCTTTCAAAAGCCAATAGAATAAAAGGGAGTAGCACAGCTAAGGAAAAGGGGGAAAAAAATGGCGGACTGCATTGTTTGGCGACCCCCGTGAAATGGTCGTTCGACCCCAAATGGGGTCGCAACCCACAGGTTGAGAACCGCTGCTCTAAGCGGTTTACAGAGTCAGAATATTGCCCCCAACAATCTGGGTCCTCATTTTACCAACCTCGGAAGGACAAAAGGCTGAGTCAATCTTGAGCCAGTGAACTGCCAAACTGCTGGCAGGGAGGAGTCAACAGAAGTAGCTTGCAGTACTGTCTTCTAACCACTGCACCACCAGGGTAAAGTATGTGACTTTACCCTGGAAACATAGAAAACCGATGGCAGAAAAAGACCTAGTGGTCCATCAAATTTGCCCTTTAAGTTTTTTATTTTATTTTTAAATTTGGTCATATAATGGACATGGGTTTATCCCAAGCAAGGAAAATAGTAGTGAAGTCTCAAAGCCATCCAGAATCTTTAGCTCAGTCTCTCATCCCTTCCCACAAAGAGGTTACTTGTGAAATGTCATGTTTTGTCTGCACATTTGTTTAAACGTGTTTAAAGTCATGTTGAGGATTAGATGCTTTTGATAGAGAAAGTAATCCCACAGATGAGGAACTTGCAGGGCTTCAAATGGAGCCTCTCTCTTCTAAAGCCTTTTCCTTCCTCAAACTGCAAGCTGCAAGAGTCTGCTCCTTTTGAAGAGAAAAGTGTTAACGGGGCATACTTGGTCCTCTTGTTTGTCACTGCAACAACCTAAAGTAGGTATCTTCCATGCAGGAAGAGGCAGCAAGCATCACTCCTGCACGAGGGAACCTGATGCCACTAGCAGGGGTAGGCAACCTTGGCCCTTTTATGATTTGTGGACTTCAACTCCCAGAATTCCTGAGCCAGCGTGGCTCAGCTTGGAAACCTCTCCCTTTCCCCTCAGCATGGCTGGCTCAGGAATTCTGAGAGTTGAAGTCCATGAGTCGTAAAAGAGCCAAGGTTGCCTACCCCTGCACTAGGGCAATGATTTTCAACCTTGGCAACTTGAAAATATGTGGACTTCAACCTCCAGAATTCTCTAGTATGCTGCCTGGGAATTCTGGGATTGGAGTCCTAATAAAATAACAGTTGGAAGGGATCACGGAGGTCATCTAGTCCAAACCCCTGCTCGAGCAGGAACCCCTATACCATTTCAGACTAATGATTGTCCAATCTCTTCTTAAAAACCTCCAGTGTCGGAGTACCCACAACTTGTGGAGGCAAGTTGTTCACTGATCAATTCTTCTGTCAGGAAATTTCTCCTTAGTTCTAGGTTGCTTCTTTCCTTGATGAGTTTCCATCTATTGCTTCTTGTCCTGCCTTCAGGCACTTTGGAGAATAGCTTGATTCCCTCTTTTTTGTGGCAGCCCCTGAGATATTGGGAGACTGCTATCATGTCCCCCCTCGTCCTTCTCTTCATTAAACTAGACATGTGCAATTCTTCATATGTTTCAGTTGCCAAGGTTGAGACATTATGAACTAGAGAATGGTGCTTCAGCTCAGTGAAGACATCTGGCCCAGGGCTGCATCCTGGCATTGTCCAGTCAGGATGACCTGCTTCTCAGGTCAGATTCAATATCCCAGTGATGCTCTGTCCCAGGAATGCAGCACTGGGCATTAAGATCTCATCCCACTTAATTTAAATTATAGCTATGTTTGAAGTACAGGGTTTCCAGCCTGAGCAGGGGGTTGGACTAGATGACCTCCAAGGTCCCTTCCAACATTATTATTATTATTATTATTATTATTATTATCATCATCATCATCATCATCATCATCATCATGTTTGAAGATTCGACTGAGTGCTTGGCTGGCTCTTTCTTTCTTCCTCCAGGCGTCCGGGTGCTGCGGCAGGACCCAGTGGAGTGCCTCTTCTCCTTTATCTGCACCTCCAACAACCACTTGTCCCGCATCACCAACATGATTCAACACCTTTGCCAGGCCTTTGGGCGCCGCCTCTGCCAGCTGGATACCAAGACCTATCATGCCTTCCCCTCACTGCAAGCCATGGCAGGTAAAACCTTAGGCCTCTAAATTGCTTTGCGGCCTTTCCCTCCACAGACCGTCCTGCTACACCTCTGACTCCTCCTCCGCTTCCTGTCCTGTCCCCAAAAGGACACATCCATGACAGTAACAGAGTTGGAAGAGATCTTGGAGGTCATCTAGTCCAGGGGTAGGCAACCTTGGCTCTTTTATGACTCGTGGACTTCAACTCCCAGAATTCCTGAGCCAGCCATGCTGAGGGGAAAGGGAGAGGTTTCCAAGCTGAGCCATGCTGGATCAGGAATTCTGGGAGTTGAAGTCCACGAGTCATAAAAGAGCCAAGGTTGCCTACCTCTGATCTAGTCCAACCCCTACTCTTGCAGAAGACCTGTACAATTTCTGATAAATGGCAGTCCAGTCTCTTCTCAAAAGCCTTCAGTGTCCTTAAAAAAAACCCAAACCTCCAGTCTCTTTTTAAAAGCCTCCCGACGACATCAAAAAGATGTGCCCCCCCCACATCAAAAGACATTTGCTACATTCACATTCCTGCTTCAGGGAAAGCTGCCCTTTATCCAACCATTCCCCTGGCTGTGTGTCTTTCCCCTGTCTTCCAAGATCATTCCCACATACCATTATGGGTCCTGACGTGCCTGTTACAGCCCAGGCAATGAGCTGAGTTTCAACCAGGCAGCATAAGAGGATGGAGGAGTCCCTGGAGATGCTCAAGACATCCAGGTCATGGTTGTCCCAAAGGTGCTTTTTCATGAGGCAACCGGACTTTCTTTTTTCCTCTTTGAAGATGTTTCACTGAAGAAGCTTCTTGGATGAGAAATAAAATGTCTTCAAAGAGAAAAAAGGAAGTCCAGTTGCCTCATGAAAAAGGACCTTTGGGAAGGATGGAGGAGTTTACTGAGACAGGCCTGATCAGGTAATCTAGTAAACGAGGAGTATCCAGCCTTGGCAACTTTAAGTCTTGTGGACTTCAACTCCCAGAATTCCCCATGCTGGCTGGGGAATTCTGGAAGTTGAAGTCCACAAGTCTTACAGTTGCCAAGAGCACCCTTGCAGTAGGTACTTTCTCTGAAGGCTTCTCCTTGTCCTCCTCTGGCATCTGCCATCTCCCTCATCCTTCTCCTCCAACTCTCCTACTTGTTTCTTTCTTCCAAGCAACATTTATGCTTAACAAGACTGAGTCTGCAAGAACTGGGGCTATCTCACACAAGTTGATGCTTTCTCTCCACTACACAATAGGGAAGTTCTTAGTTGATGTCAAGCAACTTTTGGAGTGTTTGCAGAATACCATAGGGGAGAGTGTGGGAACACTCCTTTTAACCTTCCTGTTTCAGATGACCCTGACTGCAATTTCCTCTTTTCCCACTATGCATTTAACACTAAGAAAGGACAGTTGATCTGATTTCTGATATCTGTCTCCACTTTAGGGTAACACAGTGCTGGCTGATTCATACAGTTCTGCTTTAAATCACAAATGGGCTCTTTCTGAAATAATGAATTGCATAGATAAGTAAATAAATTAAACCTCCACATACCTTAGTTGTAGTCATAATTCCCATCACAACAGTACTTTTCATTTACTATGGTTTGTACACCAGTGGTACCAAAATCTCTCAGCAATCTACAGCTAAGAAAACTCTGAGAAAGCAATGTATCTTCTATGCCCTCCCAATGTGACTCTCCAAAGACCAATTCAGCAGTTATTTAAGATCTCTTAATTTATTGTAGGTCATATAGCTGAAGAAAAAGGTTTTAAGTGCTTGGGAACATAACTCAGCAAGGATAAGGAATCTACTGGCAATTCAGGCTTGTAAAAGATGAATACACCCAAGTGGACAATGATCTGAAGGAAAAGTCAATGTAAGATTGCACATTAGAAGTATCAGAAGCTTAACTTAAAAGAGCAATTGACAATTGTTGTGAATGTAGACGTCCACGGTTGGCTTCGAGCCTGTCTAGTCTTCTCACCATTCATCAATGGTATTGAAAGAATGAATGGAACTGGGAGAAGATACCCAGTCTCATAAACTAAGCTTTGCTAAATCTTCCTTGAAAGATCCTTTGAATCTTTGCTTGGGCCGTTTGTACAAGGATACTTGCAGTTTTGTTAGGCGGGTAGAGATGTGCCAATGAAGAGTGACTTGATGCATTCCCCATTTGCACCTTTGCTTAATAGTTATTGCTCGTTGCTACTGTGTTTCCCCGAAAGTTAGACCCAGGCCGATAGTAAGCCCTACCTTGATTTTTGGGGTGGACCTAATATAACCCCTACTCCAAAACTAAGCCCTAGCACTGGGGTGAGGCGCACCCCTAAAATTCAAGCTAGAGCGGGAGTAGGGGGGGTGAAGCTACCCCACGTGCCCCGCACCCACTTACCTTGCTGGTAGGACCACCGCAGCCAGGCCACCCACACCCCAACACCTGTCGCGTCGCTACTTTGACTTCTGCGGCTGCTTGCCACCACTTGTGGCCGGCCACCATGTGGCGCATTGCGCCATTGCCGCTCCTCCTGGCAGGACACTGCATGGCGCTTTGGGGTGCTTCCGCTCCTTGTGCAGCACTTTGGGCCGCTTCAGCTGCTTCTGTTGCTTGCGTGCTTTGGGCCGCTTCTGTTCCTTGTGCGGCACTTTGGGCCGTTTCTGCTGCGGAAATGGCTCAAAGAGCCACACGGCCTCCTCCCATGAGTAGCAGAAACAGCTTGAAGTGAGCGAGCAACAGAAGCAGTCCAAAGTGTTGCGAAAGCAGAGGAAGCAGCCCAAGGCGCCATGCGGCGTCCTGCCATGAGGAACTGCAACGGCGCAATGCACATATGGTGTCCAACCACAGGTGGCAGTAAGCGGCCGCAGAAGTCAAGCAGCGGTGTGACAGGTATAGGGGTATGGGAGACCTGACTGTAGTGGTCCTAAGGTAAGACACTCCCCGATAATAAGACCTAGTGCCTCTTTTGGAGGCAAAATAAAAATAAAATAAAAGACCGGATCTTAATTTCAGAGAAACACGGTAGAATTCAACCAGGTAACTGGCAGCTTAGGTAACTTAAACAAGTAATGAGAAAATAAAATACATCACAGAATTGAGCTTCTAAGGTCCATCCTGCAGCAGGAATTCTATTTGCTTGCCAAAGGAAAATTCTGATTTTTTTTCTACTTTAATGAAGAGCTGGTTAACAGTTTCTTGTGAGACTTGCCGAGAACAGCTGCAGATGTACGGTCAGAATTAAAATGAACAGAATTAGTCCTTCTATGATTAAATTCTTAGTTTCGAGTAGGTAAATCCATTAAAATGATGGAGTCGCTCTATGGTTCCTTCTGTAACTGGCTGTAAGCCGTCAATTTCCCTGTGATAGGCAGTTAATTGATGCTGCAGTGCCTATTTCTTTATTAAATTTACATGCTGCCCATCCCTCCAAGAGGCAGCTCCATTTCTTGTTGAAAACAGAATTATTTCTGGATTTGGTTTCATGTCTCCACTTCTGGGGGTAAACTGTTGCAGGAGCAGATACAGAGGCTCGGCTGAGGGACCTGGGATTCGGTTATCGGGCCCGGTTTATTAGTGAGAGCGCCCGGGCTGTCCTGAAGACTCTTGGTGGGGCCGCTGGCCTCCAGCAGTTGCGCACTGTCCCTTATGAGCAGGCTCGGCATGCCTTATGCACCCTTCCAGGAGTGGGAGTCAAGGTGAGAATGAACCTGGCCCCCTCCCTGTTTTTCTGTTTAGCCAAAGTGTGTGGGTTCGGCTGTGCCAATATGTGGGAATATGTAGTTGCGGTTTGCGAAAAAGGGTTTGCTTTCGCTGTGGGAGATGATCAAGCCCCTCCCTCCCCGAGATCCAGAAACATCTAGGCCAGGGATAGGCAACCTTGGCTCTTTTATGACTTGTGGACGTCAACTCCCAGAATTCCTGAGCCAGCCATGCTGAGGGGAAAGGGAGAGGTTTCCAAGCTGAGCCATACTGGCTCAGGAATTCTGGGAATTGAAGTCCACGAGTCAAAAGAGCCAAGGTTGCCTACCCCTGATCTAGGCCAATTCCAAGTTTTGAGGCCTTATGTATACCAGTAACAGATACGAAAAAAACAACCATTTATGAAACAAAAGAGTGGATTACAACTTCAATACTTTTAAAAGTAAAAACAGCAAATGCCTGAGTTTAAGGTGCCAAACAGTGGATTGTAATTTTGATTGTTTTTTAAAATAAAATCCTAACTAATGTCCAAATGTAAGGCCCCAGTCGGCTTAGGGCAAAAGCCAAATACCCCCCCTTTCCTTGGCCCTACCTCTGATTATCTCTGATAGTCAAACAGTAACAGTGGTATTTTCCAACTAGAATAAACCGATTGATTTGTTCATCCTGGGGAAAACTGTTAGTGATTTCCCATTCCTTGAGGCAAGGGAAGCCTGGAATCATTATAATGACCTCCTATTCCAATGATAGTGAACCTTTTAGAGACCGAGTGCCCCAAAACTGCCCCTGCCCCCACCCTGCCCCCCCCACAGGGCCACCCACAGCCTCCATGGCCTGCCACAGATCACCCAGGCGGCCCAGCAGTGCCATGGTGGCCACGCCCTCTGCCCATGCCCCACAGCATAATCTGCGTGCGATAGGGTGCAAGGGCAGAGTCTTGTCCGCACTGCCCGGATGTCATGTCTTTGGCTGCGCTGCTCCATGCGGGCTGCACCTGGGGGGTGACTGTCCTCCAGGGGGCTGCTGGTGAGGGGGCTGTGGGGGGAGGCAGGGCTGGGGCTCTGAGTGCCGCTTCTGGCACGCATGCCATAGGTTCGCCACTACTGCCCTATTCTGTGCATCAGCCTACCACTAGAGCAGGGGTCTCCAAACTTGGCAGCTTTAAGACTTGTGGACTTTAACTCCCAGAATTCTGGGAGTTGAAGTTCACAAGCCTTAAAAGACCCCTGCTCTGTTGGGATGAGGCTATCTGCGTTTATTTATTATGTTTATTGTTTGTTGCTGTGATTAAATGGACTTCACTTGTTTTAATATGTCATAGGGTATTGGAATTCTTATTTATTGTTGATATTGGTATATCAACAATAGAGAGCAAAGTTCCCCAACCTTTCTGGCTTTGCAGCCTGGCCAGGGGGTGGGAGAGTGGATGGCTCCGCGTGAGCGATGAGTACATGTGCCTGCCATTCATGTAATTGGAGCGCGTTGGCACTTGCCCACTGCTTGCGCAAATGGAGATGCATGCGCTCCTGTGTGCTCTCGCCCATTTTGCAGGCCCAGTTCCAAAGGGCTCAAGAACCGGTAATGGGCTGTGGCCCGGGGGTTGGAGACCCCTGATATAGAGCAGGGCTTTTCAACCAGTGGTACGGGTACCACCTGTGGTACATTGGCACCTGGCAAGTGGTACACGACCATCCTAGAAAAGCGGTAGCAGGGGAGGGGAATGAGCTGAACCGGTGGCAGCACCGCACAAGCCTGAGCGAGAGATGGCTGGAGCTGCAGGGCTGTCAGGGCTCAGCAGAAGCCCCAGGATCAGCGCCAGGCTCCAGCTGGAGATCGGCGCTGATCCTGGCGCTTCTGCTGAGCCCAGAAGAAGCGCCAATCAGCTGGAATGTTGCAGCATCTCCAGGGTCTTGTGATTTACATTCCGATGCTTGGCAACTGATTCATATTTATGACAGTCACAAGTGTCTCAGGATCATGTGAAGTGACCAAAACCTGCTGCAACCATCCAGCAGACGGGGAGAATAAAAACCAAACACCCCCCAAGCCACCCCCGCTGCCAATCCTCAATAGAAATGCTCACAATAATGAAAACCTTGGACAGGAGGAAGAGTGCCGCTGGGTGGGCAGGCAGGTGTCTTGCTCAGCTGTGGCTTGGGGGGCACTTTTTTCAGGGCCATTGTAACTTCGAACAGTCACTAAACAAATTGTTGTAAGTCGGAGACTACCTGTACTTTATCACTTTTTTCCTTTTTGGGGGGGGGGTCAAGTTTTTGACACTTTGCTAGGCGACTGGTGGTACTCGGATGTTGCCATATCCTAAAAGTGATACACTGGGTGAAAAGGTTGAAAAGCCCTGATCTAGAGAATATGGTGTCACATAAATTTGATAAACATTGTTATGATGCAATCGTTTCCTTTCCCTTTCAGGTGGCTGACTGTGTGTGCCTCATGGCATTGGACAAGACTGAGGCTGTACCAGTGGACACCCACATATGGCAGGTTGCCAAACGTTACTATGGCCAAGAGTTGGGGATGGGGGCCCGCAGTGTGACGGAGCGTGTCCATCGAGAGATTGGTGAGGGTGCTTCGGAACAGGTTCTGCTTACTTGTGACCATCTTAAATAGCAACATTTAGCAATAGCAATAGCATTTAGACTTATATACTGCCCCATAGTGCTTTTTATAGCACTCTCTGGACAGTTTATAACATCAGCACATTGCCCACACAACAATCTGGATCCTCATTTTACCGGCCTCGGAAGGATGGAAGGCTGAGTCAACCTTGAGCCCGTCATTCCAGACTGCGAGCAGAGTTTGCCTGCAATTCTACATTCTAACCCAGTGGTTCTCAACCTGTGGGTCGGGACCCCATTTGGGGTCGAACGACCATTTCACGGGGGTCGCCAAACAACGCAGTCCACCATTTTTTTCCCCCTTAGCTGTGCTACTCCCTTTTATTTTATTGGCTTTTGAAAGCCAATAGAATAGACTCTCTTGAATAGAGTCTAATTCTATTCTTTCAAAAGCCAATAGGAATTGTCCAGGCTGTCTCTGCCCTACTGAGCCCACCAAAAGTCCCATTCTGCAAACGGTGCTGCACCAGTTGAGTAGTCCTCGACTTATGACCAGTTGAGTAGTCCTTGACTTACGACCGGTTGGTGGTCGCGGCATTAAAAAGGTTGAGAACCACTGTTCTAACCATTGTGCCACCGGGACTCTTGAACAGAGGGAACTGGAACACACCCATCTTACCTAACCTAGTAGGATCAGGAGATAACGCTCAGGGAGAGGTGATCCCACAAGTAACCTGGCCTTGTGCGGTGTAGGGCTTTAAAGGTAATAACCAGCCCTTTGAATTGCCCCTGAAAAGCAGCTGGAAGCTACTGCAGCTCACACAGCAGTGGTGTTACTTGGGTGAATCATAGGATACCCAAAACGTTTTTGTGTGCCACTGCATTCTCGACCAGTCCAGTTTCCAAATGTCTTCAAGGACAACCCCATGTAGAGCACACGCAGTAGTCCAAACAGGAGGGGGTTAAGGCATGGGTGACTTGAGCAAGACCTCCCAATCCAGGAATGCACTTCAGAAAACATACATATTTTTGTGAGGAGTCAGACCTATTTCAATCACATCTTAGTAGTAGTGATAAACTCTCGGAAAACCCCAGCAGAACTGGAGGGCAATAGCCTTACAGGAAGCACACGGGAATTATTAATAGCAGTTCCTTAAGCAAACTATTTCCATGAAGTTTCCTATCCATCATATAGTGTTATAAAGGATAGTCTTGGGTGGAAGGAATGATAACTGGTCCGCAGCTAAGCTAGGTATGCCAGCTTACCTGGTCTTCCACTGCATTGCCTCTAGTTGTAGTCCAGCATTGAGACACCTTGTTGCTGGAGGACAGTTCCTAAAAGCATAGTGCCATAGACAGAATGAGCTTCAGAGGAGTAAAGTTAAATGAAGGGGCTAGTTGAGCTCCATAAAGAAAATGTACTTTCCAACAGATGAAAGGCTTCAAGTATGTAGTAGCCTCTTGGATGAAAAGCCAAATATCTTTATGCTTGGAATGTTGCCATCCTAAATTGTAATTAACATTGATAGATTTTTTTTATTTTTCTTTCTCTATTTCCAAGCATCTTAAATCATAGAACGATAATAAACCCTAATCATATTGTACATCCATTACTGCAATGAAACAATGTAAGATTTACGGCAATACAATAAAGTCTGTGAAAACCTCTTTTAGTTTGGAAAAACCTTAAAATAGCAGTGATTGTTGTCTGGATATTCTGGGATGGGAAACTTCTGTGAGCTATCTAGAGGCATGCAGAACCACCCGTAGATATTTAAAGCTTGATACAAGTTCTGTGGAGTTTTTAATTTCTTCTCCAGCAGGCCCCTAGAACTGAAATGCAATAATATGGGAAGGGATGTGAGCTAATTTGAGAAATGAAGCCTTCTTCCACTGGTCAAGCTCTGTGGGGCTTGCTCTCTGCCACATTCTAATTTAAGTTTGTTTTGCCTTCAGGAAATTTCTTCCGCAGCCTTTGGGGACCATATTCTGGATGGGCGCAAGCAGTAAGTATGAAATCGCTTTTCCCTTTCTCCCATTACTGCTCAGGGCCATTGCCCACTGTATCCAGAGGAGGTAAGATGCCAGACTAAGCAAATCCATCTCTCTATAGGCTGTGTAAACTTTCTGTCCTTAGCAAATTGCAGGACTCTAGAAAGAAATCAATAACAACCCTTTCTAAAAATGTTATCTAAAAACTGTATGGATTTCTCCATGTAGTTGCTAGGTTGGGCTTAAGAAAACAAAAAACAACAGTAGGCCACAATAGATTCTTTTCCCACACACTCTGTCTTACACAGAGCCTCCCTTCCATTCCCCCCCCCTCTCCCGTTCTCCTCCCTTTTTTCTTTTCTCCTTTCCTTCCCCTTCCCTTTTCCCTTCCCCTTTTCCCCTTCCTTTCCATATAGACCTGTCCCCTCCTCTATAGCCCACTTTGATTCTCTCTCTCTCTCTCTCTCCCTCCCCCCCCCCCCTCTCTCTCTCTCTCTCTCTATATATATATATATATATATATATATATATATATATATTACCTTGAATGTACACCCTGTCAGCCTAAATATGGGAGAAAGAAATCTTCTTTCTTTTTTCTTTTGCCTGTATCAGCTCAATCTAGAGCCATCCACAAGCAGCAGTCGCCAACTGCGACATCATTTTACATTTTTTAGATTGCTAACAAAGAATAAAGAGAGAACTGGTATAGCTATTTCGAGTTCCGTTAACTCTCTTCAGCCAGACTTACTCTTCTGAGATTCGAACCTGGGCTTATCTGCATATAACAACTGCCTAACATGCAGATAAGCCCAGGTTCGAATCTCAGAAGAGTAAGTCTGGCTGAAGAGAGTTAACGGAACTCGAAATAGCTATACCAGTTCTCTCTTTATTCTTTGTTAGCAACCTAATATATATATATATATATATATATATATATATATATATATATATATATATATATATATATATATATATCAGTAAAAAAGGAAGCGATCACCAGGAAATAAAACACCAAGGTTTTAATAAATAAAATCAAGCTTTCGATGGCTAACATCTGCCATCATCGCCAGGATACAAGCCAGCTAGTGAGGAAACCTGCTCACTAGCTGGCTTGTATCCTGATGATGATGGCAGATGTTAGCCATCGAAAGCTTGATTTTATTTATTAACACCTTGGTGTTTTATTTCCTGGTGATCGCTTCCTTTTTTACTGAAATGTATGTACCCAGGAATCGCTATTCTTCAATTTTTAATGTATTTTTTAATATATATATATATGTTTTCTGAGGTTTTCGCGGGTGTTTGTATGTAGGCCTTTGGTTGTTTGGGTTTTCTCCCGCATAAAATTGGAAGTGTCTTGGCGACGTTTCGACGAAGTCCCATTCGTCATCTTCTTCAGGCTGTTTTCAGCTTCGTGCTTCGAGCAGCACGAAGCTGAAAACACCAGCCTGAAGATGACGAATGGGACTTCGTCGAAACGTCGGCAAGACACTTCCAATTTTACACGGGAGAAAACCCAAACAACCAAAGACCTACATATGTATGTATGTATGTATATGTATGTATGTATGTATGTATGTATGTATGTATGTATGTATATATATATACCAAGATAGAAGCAGCCATGATGGAAATTCTTGGCTGAAGCTTTCTTCAGTGACCCAGATGAAGATTGGTGGCATCAGGTTCCCACTAGTAACGCTGGAACAACTTTCTCTTCCTAGCTAGATGCAGGTCAGGTGGATGCTGCAAAAAAATTGAGAGGAATGCTCTTTGGCTCTGTAGATCATGGTTTGATCACTTGATTCCAAGGATCCAGTCATTATCTCAGGGATTAGAAACAGGAACTAGGAGAAGGGGGATACAATTTCTGGTAGATAAGTTGTTCAGCATGCCAAGGCCTTCTGTCTTCCACTGTCTCCTGGAGTTTGCCCAAATTCATGTTCATTGCGTTGATGACACTATCTAACCATCTCATCCTCTGCCATCCTTTTCTCTTTCCCAACATCGGAGTCTTTTCCTGTGAGTCCTCTCTTCTCATTTGGTGGCCAAAGTATTTGAGCTTCAGCTTCACTATCTATTTTTCCAAAGAAGAGTCAGGGTTGATTTCCTTTAGGATCAACTGATTTGATCTCTATATCTGGGCTGCAAAATGTTGAATAACCACTAGTGGAAGCATTGAGACAGGGGAAAAAATTCCTGGTTGCCATCCAGGGGTGATCTGTATGTTTGCAGCCATACCTGATGTGGCCCATTTTTTGAAATATCTATAACCCAGGGTGTCAAACTCAATTTCATCAGCATTGCAGTTGCCCTCGGGAGGCTGGGTGAGTGTGGCCAGGGTGGGTGCGGCCTACTGGGTGGGCGTGGATGGAGTGGGTGTAGCCTACTGGGTGGGCATGGCCAGCTCTACATCGTTTGTGTCACGGGTGCCTGTGGGGGCCTGGGCAGGAGTGGGACAGATCTGAGGGTCTCTGGCAGAAGGGGGTGGGACCGGGGCAAGCGCCAAGACATGGTCCATTTCTTCATTCCTCACAAAGGGTGACACCTCCCCAGCATGCACCCAGGGGGCAGGGCCAACACGGCGGAGCTGGTTCCTTGCTGTTTCTAGACGGCCTTGTGGAGCTAAGACTGAATGCATTTCAGCATAGATGGCCACCACAGAATTGTACATTGGCTCCCAGCCAGCCTGGGCCAGGGCCAAGGCAGTGAGGGCCGTTCCCTCACTGTTTCCAGGATGGCTTCGCGGGCCACATGAAACCATTTCGCGGGCTGCATCCGGCTCCCGGGCCTTCTGTTTGACATGTCTGCTATAACCCTTTGTGCCATCCAGACTTTTCCCTCTCTTGCCAGGTCCTTTTTTGTGCTGACTTAAGGAAGAACCAAGAGTCCTCAGATCCAAATACCAAACACCGTTGCATCAAAGTGGCTCAGAGCAGCCACTCCACCTTGACATAGTAACTTCTCTTGCAGCTCCACCTTATTTATGGGACTGATACAGGCAAGTAAGAAGACCTTTCCTGTTAATGGCTGAGGCCAGAGAGAAATCACCATGCTAAGAATAAGGGTTTTGTGAGCCGTTGAGAAAGACTGAGGCTGCTGTATGTTGTGGGGATCCTCAGTCAGCTGCTCCTGCTTTCGTTTTTTAAATTTTATTGTCTTTTTCCCACCAGAGGTTGCTTGTAGTAGAAGCATCTCATGGAGTTGCCACGTATTTTAAACAGTAGAACGTTTCCCGCTTCTTCCTTGTGACTTTTGTAATCGCAATAGGCTTGCTGTGCATTAGTACTGGGCATAAGGCAGTTTTTTTCCAGCAGGCCACTGGAAGAGTCATTTTTCTAACCTTGGGGCCATGCTATCAAAAGCATACATTGTTTGGAAAGAGATGACAAACATCAGCCAGGGCAATCTGGACTCCCACAGGCAGAAATTGAATGGGCTTTCCCCAAAGGAACTTTGAAGCTGAGCTATTGGGTCTGTTAAATATCACCAGTAACTTAATGGAACCACATAAAATTTCCTTGTCTAGTCGAAGTGGGGGGGGGGCAGTGTTCATCTCAATTTCTTAGCTGGGGTAGCCAGCACTGTCTGAACTCACTTCCATGGTTATGTGGCCAGCGTGATTATAAAACGAGGCACATAGAATGTGGTTACCTTGTAGTAGCTATTTATCTACCTGCGATGACCTTGTGGTAGCTAGGTTGGCAGGAGCTGGGGCAAGTAACAGGAGGTTCACCCCATCGCATGGCACAGGTCTCAAACCCACGCTGACAATTTTCCAACTGACAAGCTTGTCATAAAAACTATTCCTTTTTTAATGAAGGGAGCCAAGTGCTCTCATTCATAAAACCGTGTTTGTGTATGTGGAGATGCTGGTCTTCATGGAGGCCGTAACGCTGAAATCAGTTCAGTAGCTGCTTGTGACAGGCTGACATTTTGTGATGGATAACGCCTCCACCATTGGACTATTAGCTAAGAGGGATCCCTACCATTCAGAGTTGGTTACCTCAAGGTGCTAGTGTTTTGTTTTTTTTTTTACAACATTGTCAGTCTTCGGCATCAGTTGCCACAGTTGTGTCCCATACAGTAACTTAATTCTGCCTGGCTGAGGAATTCTGGGAGTTGAAGTCCACAAGTCATAAAAGGGCCAAGTTTGAAGACCTTTGTTCTAAAACATGGCTGGCTGAGGAATTCTGGGAATTGAAGTCCACAACTCTTAAAGTTGCCAAGTTTGGAGACCCTTGTTCTAAATCTAAAAGAAGAACTGGTCACTGGAGATAGGGCTGTTTTCCAGGTGGTTTACTGAAATGGCTACAGTATTGTGGTACCAAAATCCAGCATTAATAGGAATGTGTTTTAAAAGGTACTTTGTTTCGTTTCTGGTGTGATGTTTTGATGCTCACCCAGATGCTGAGCCAGCACCTTGTTTGTGAAAGACAGGGCCTCCTCCTTTTTCTTGTTATGTTTGCTTATGTATATGTGACACAACAGCTCCAATTTTCTTTGCTGCCTCATGTATTTAGAACGCTAAACCTAATATTCAATCCCCTGTACTATCTACCTTTTCTCTCTTTTATTAATTTTCTTTGCTTTTATAAAGAAGTCGTAAATTAGATTCCTAAACCCAAATAATAAGCATGCTGCAGCCTAACTGAGCATTTTTCTGATTTCAGGCAACAGGGCCTGGCACCTCACTATCAGAACAGAGACTTTTAAAGGGTGCAACCTGGGTCTGACTGTAGCCTGTTTTTACTGTGTACTGTTTTAGAAAACTGTTATATATTTCCCTCTTGCCCAGGTCTGTTTCTTCCTTTTGTCTTTGACCATTTCTAGTAGTTTGGGGCAAAGATCTACTTATTTTTATCCTTTTATAAAGTGCTTCTAAGTTATTTCTAAGTGCTGTATTAATCGTAATAAAACAATCCTGGTATTGTCCCTTAGGCCTCTTCTAGGGTGATTTGCCTGTTCACATGAGTTCCTAAAAAGTGTGCCTATAACCCAACTGGATTCATCTCAGGCAACAACCATCAATGGCAGTTTCCTCTTTTGAGGCCGGTCTTTGACAAATGTGGAGGGAGGCTAGCCTCGGGTACTTTCTTTTTAATACGCAAACAAGCAACAGCATAGAACAGTGATGGCGAATCTTTTAGAGACCGAGTGCCCAAACTGCAACCCAAAACCCACTTATGCATTGTTGGGTGCCGGGTAGGTGTGGCTCATTGGCTGGGGGTGGCCAATTGGGTGGGTGTGGCCCATTGGATGGGCGTGGCTGCGGTAGTAACGGCAGACTGGGTGGGACTAAAAAGTTTAATCAATCAATTCTAACTTTGCAAGATCTTTTTTTTTCCCCACGAGAAGTTGAAATTGACTGATTGATTGAACTTTTTTTTTTTTTTTTTTTTTTTGCACACGGCGGCAGAGACCTCAAGCGAAAAGGTTTTATGAAACCCAGCTGAAGGCCCAGGACTGGGGCGACGGCGTGCGTGCCCACAGAGAGGGCTCTGAGTGCCGCCTCTGGCACCTGTGCCATAGGCTCGCCACCACTGGCATAGAAACTTTGAGTTATGAGAGAGAAAAGATGAATGAGACAAAATGAAGAGCTAGAAGCTTTCAAATCAGGCAGGAGAGAGACCGAACCATGGGCAAATCCCTAATTATATCAGATAAATGGCCCCAGGACCGCCCTGGATGATGACAGGTAAAACATTTCAAAAGTGGAATCTTCACTACAAAGTTCCTCTACTACTTTCGCCACGACTTCTAAGAATTGCCAAATTCAATCTCCCACCAACCCTCTCCTATTTCGCACAACTTTTAAGAGAGAAGTCAAAGAGACATACATGAATTTATGAGTTTATTCTTACTTTAAAACCCACCCTCCCTCTCCTTCTAGCCGCACAATATTAAAGATAATTTTACAGCTGCTTAGGGAGTATTGAAAAGATCTGATCCCAGCTGGCTTTTCCCCCATTTTGTATTGTGATCACCTGCAAAACGGTTACATTTCCCCCCCCCCCTCGTTTGGGTAACTGCGTTAAGAGGACAGCAAAACGACCACTCTTAAAACATGACCAGTCTTTCTCCAGAGTTGGCAGAATGACATTGGAAGAGGCACAGCTGGCCCCCCAAAAGAAGTGACTTTTTAGTATTGCTCGGTCTGCTCAGAAATCAAATCCCATAAACCAGGGGTAGGCAACCCCGGCTCTTTTATGGCTCATGGACTTCAACTCCCAGAATTCCTGAGTCAGCTATCCCTGCCATAAACCCCTGCCGAGGTTGCCTATCCCTGCCAGGACGTCTCAAAGCTGCTTTGCCAAAAGACAACTGGACTTTCTTGGGTTTTTTTTCCCTTGAAAACGTTTAGCTTCTCTGAAGCTGAAGAAGCTTCTTGGATGAGAAGCGAAGAGTTTTCAAGAAAGTCTAGCTGCCTTTTGGAAAAATACCTTTGGGACAACCATGACCTGGATGATTGAGAATCTCCATAGACACTGCTCAGGATAGCCATGGCCTCTCGCCTCCACAGGCCAATAGGAAAGCTGCTCTAGCTCCTATATTTGACTGTACAAAAGCAGTTTCTTTGTCTTTGGAAACTTCAATAGATCGCATAGGTGGAAAGCTACAAGCTACTGCAAACTTCTCTCTGCAAACAAAACAATCTTTATTCTCCAACACTGCGCAACTGAGCCAAGTGCCAGCTATGGTGTATGTATGTCCTCGTTCCTGGGGTTGGCTTGGTTGGACCAGGTGAGAGAAGCAGGGATTCTCATTGGTTTCCTCAAGCGATGTGATGGGGGGCACAGTTGGAGATCAAACTCCCACTTGAGCGGCTGCTGCAGAAAGCCAGAGGGGGTCTTGAATGTTTCTTTCCAAGACTTAGCCACTCAGATGGTGGGCCAAAGGGATGGCGTCATTGCTGTCTTCAGATGAAGAATGAGCATAGGGGACAGGATGGGTCTTATTGGTGTGACCAACAGGGGGATTGGGGTGGGGATTGGAACAGGAGAGGATAAAGCATCTCCAGGGAAGTGTATGGCTTAGAAAATACTAGCCTCCAGTTCCAGATTCTGGAGGACGCCAATTAATAGGGGACAGGTTCCATTCCCCTACAGTGGGACTCGGCCGTACTTTGGTAGGAAGGTGTGATGATGGTCCCGGACCCTTCCCTAGCTCTTACAACAGGGCTTGGGGCTGCCCCCTCTGTTATGATTGCTGCTGGCTCTGCCATCTAGTCCTCTGTCCTTTGGTGAATGTTCAGTCCTGAGTTTGGCAGTGAGAGCCATTCCCCAAGGATTCCTCACTGCTATTAGTAGCCGAGCCTGAAGAAGACAAAGGGGGAGAGAAGGACAATCAAGAACAGATTAACTAGAAATGAGATGATTCCAGGGCTTCCTTTAGTTCAGGGAAGGGAAGCTACCCAGTCTGTCCTTCCCTTGCTCAGTGACCAGATTCACTCCATGGTTTATAAGACTTTATTCTTGGAATGTGACTTAAGGAACAGCATCACATGAACTCAATAGCCCACTGACATACAATGAAGCTCCTATTGGCTTGAGCCGATCTTCAGAATGAGATGGCTTAGAAAGGTAAGAAGGTCCTGAAGACCTTGGTTCTTCTTCCAGCTGCTGGCCCAGTTGTCCCCCACTATATGAGTCATGGGGTCTGGTCCCCAGCACGGCCAGCTTTATCTGTACGTTTTTGGCAGCAGAACAAGTAGGCTCCAAAGCAAAGATCAAATACTTGGCGCTGCTGTCACAGCTGGCCGACTGACATCAATGCTCACAAACAGAAGGAAGGGCTTTGAGGAGAAAGGCCACACAGAGACACTCGCAACCTCTCACCGTTGCTCTCCTGCAAGGCTTGGCCAGGCCCCTCTTGACTGGTGCCAAGTTGTAGCTTCCTCATATGCCTCACCACAGCTGTTGCGTTGAAGGCTTGCTGAACGGGAGAGGAGGAAGAAAGGAAAAAAAACGAAAAGCAAAGCAAATGTCACTCTCCCGCAGACTTTTTGGCAAGCGAGCAAAACTTTTAGGAGTTAACTCCTTTGACAGCTGCCCACGCTGTCAAGAACTTACTGATTGATTGATTGATTGATTGAATTTATTGATTGAATTTATTTGCCACCCATCTTGTTGCAAAAGACTTTGGGCAGCTTCCAGCATTAAAACATTAAAAACCTAACAAATACCTTTTACGTTTATTTAACTGATGCTGGGGAAGACAGGAATAGGAATATCACTCATCCGCCTTCCCTTCACTTGTTGTCTATACCATATTCTTCAGGAAAAGGGGTATTAAAAATCAATCAAGCAAAACAAGCACTGGAATAATCAAAAAGCATCTTTTGGACATCCTCACCTTCCATTTGCTTTTGGCAAAATTCTTTTTGATCTGCTCACTGACTGACTGATGGATGTTCTTATCTAGCGCTGTGTCTCCAGCAATCCTGAGAAGACAGAAAGCATTCATTCCTATTGACAGACACCCCAGTTCCATAGAAGGTAAGAGGGGCCAGCTATAAAAGAGGAACCAGTGGTGTTACCCAATTGATGGATAAACTCCGCAAAGAGATTCATTAGGTTATTTACATTGGGGTCATTTTAGCATTTATTTTTACAGAGCTTTACTTCAGGCTATATGTTTGATATGCAAGGCCCTCACAGTACATCAAGTTATGCAACAAAGATAGAACTTCTGCAAACAAAATAAGAGCCTGCAGAATTAATACAAAAGTTTCATTTCCAGTTTCCAAATGAAATTGAGACCTCTGCTACGAAAGAGTTTGTGCCGATAACAAGGAAAGGCCACCATAGGGAGAAGAAATAGGTCAATCAATCAGAATAGAGCTGGAAGAGACCCTGGAGGTCTTCTAGTCCAACCCCTTGCTCAATCAGGAGACCCTATACAATTTGAGACAAGTGGCTGTCCACTCTCTTAAGGTTTTTTAAAGTTCTTTTAAAAAAAGTTTTAAAACTTTTTAAAAAACTTCTTTAAAAGCTTTTAACGTCTTAAAAACGTTCTTAAAAACAAGTTCATTGTTTTTCTTTAAATCAAGTTAACCAGCTTACTTTTAATTCCTTCTGTATATTTTCATTTCCTGCCAGGTGATAATGTGAACCCTGCTTAGGTGGGTATGCCAGATCATATTCTAAGTTGGCTTTGGACAAAATAGCCATATAATCATTCCTACAGTTGGTCCTTCACTTAAAACCATTCATTTAGCAATCAATGTTATAATGGTACTGAAAGAAAAAATAACTGGTCCTCGCACTTAGGACCGTCACAGCATCCCCATGGTTACATGATCAAATTTTGGGTACTGGCAGCCGATACGTATTGAGGATGGTTGCTGCATGCCAGGCTGTGATCGCTAGTTGTGACCAGCAATTTGTAATAACACGTATTAAAGTTGCATGAATGCTTTTTTTTAAGCAGCACGTTTTATTTGAAATTTGATGGTGATAAACAAAATGTCAGAAGCAACAATCTTGGGTTGGCTGGCAGGCCACAGATGAGGTCAATGGAACTACTGAATATGAGAAAAGGCACAGAAAAACATCAAAGCTACACTGGTCCTACTTAAAAGTTCAAACGCTAATGGTAAATCTTACCATGGGTGTTGTAGGGCTTGCTCACAAGTGAATCGCTTCTGGGGATCTCTCTCCATTAAATGCTGGATGAAATCTTTGGCTGGAAGCAAAAAAAAAAAAAAAAGGTGAATGAGAAGCAAACTCTTGACATCACAGCTCCTACAGAATCCCCCTCGACTTCTGATTTGGCCATCCCGAGAAATGTAAGCTGTCTCTTCCTCACCTGAGTCCGATATGTCATCCCAATAGGGAGAATCAAATTCATATTCAGCCTTCAAGATCTGTTCAAACAGCTTGGTATCGTTCTCATCGTAAAATGGGGGATAGCCGCATAGTCTGAGATAAAAGAGGGAGGGGGGGACAGGGCACGCGTGACTATAAAATCTACAGGTCCATATTGCAGGGAGGGGGAATATAGATTGGGGAACAGGTGAAACAGTGAGGAAAAGAAGTAGATCCATGGGAGAAGAGAAAGAGAGAGAGAGAAGTGATTATGTACCTGGGCCCAGAAAAGAGAAGAGGAAGAATAGGAACAATGTCAGGTAGAATATTGAGCTGTTAAACTTTCCTGTAGAGATAGTAAATAACAAATAGAGGTAGTCCTCAACTTACGACGATTCGTTTAGTGACCGTTCAAAGTTAGAGTGCCTTGCATTTAACGACCATCCTAGCATCGCGATGGTCATGTGATCAAAATTTGGACACTTGGCAACCAGCATGTATTTATGACGGCTGCCACATCCCGGGATAACAACAAGCCAATGGAAGAAGCCAGATTTGCTTAACAACCACGTGATTCACAACAACGGCAAAGATTTTCTTAACCCATTGTGGCAAAAGTCATAAAATTAGGCGCATATCGCTTACTCCCACCTTGTGTAGCAGCAGAAATTCTGCTCATGATTGGGATCATAAGTCGAGGACTACCTTTGTGACTGCAGTAATTCCAAATTATTTCATCCCATTCGGAAAGTGCTAAACACTTATTATTATCTCTATGGCAAAACACAGAAAGCAGTGCAATTATTCCCTAGACTGAAGGAGTGGAAGCAAGAAGAGAGAATCATGTGGTGATCAAAGGGAGTGGAATTTCCTATCCTCCAAATTGCAAACGGGGAATCATATAAAATTAAACTCCATATGCAAAAGAATAACAATGGACTAATGAAGCAGCTATGCAAATGCCAAAGGAGGGCAAAAGGGCAGGATCATGTTTGTAAATCATTAAGTACAACTAGACAGAAATGTATTTAGAAGCAACAGGAAGTATTATCAGTCCTCCCTATCTTCCTCTTTACCCTCCCCCCCAATTTGACTCAATACATACAAGATGTAGGCAATGACTCCAATAGACCAGCAGTCCACAGCTTTGCTGTAAGGCTTCTGTGCCAAGACTTCAGGAGCTGGGCCACATCGGGGAAGCAACATGAAAGAAAAAAATGCAACTATTACAGACTGAAATGTGTTGCTATACCCACTAATACTAACTGGTTAATATATCTCTTACGCTAGGACAGGGGTAGGCAACCTCGGCTCTTTTATGACTCATGGACTTCAACTCCCAGAATTCCTGAGCCAGTATGGCTCAGCTTGGAAACCTCTCCCTTTCCCCTCAGCATGGCTGGCTCAGGAATTCTGGGAGTTGAAGTCCATGAGTCATAAAAGAGCCGAGGTTGCCCACCCCTGCGCTAGGGAGTACCTTCAGAGGTGATAGAAGGCCTTCAAATACTGGATTCCAATAGACCTAATCAACAAACTCACTATTTAGCAATGATAGTCCAACAGTGTCTAGGAAGCCATATATCGGGGTTCTTCAAACTTGGCCCTTTTATGACTTGTGGACGTGCCTGGCTGAGGAATTCTGGGAGTTGAAGTCCACAAGTCATAAAAGGGCCAAGTTTGAAGAACCCTGCCATAGATGGTTTGACCCAGTTCTGAGAGTTGCTATCTCATTAATAGAGCTAGTGATCAAAAGTCTATTAAAACTTATTTCAACCTTCCATCTCCCTCCAGGATAATTCTCCATTCTGGCCCAGGATATTTGTTCAATCCTTTTTCCTTTACAAAATATGAAGGTCATTTGAAGGTGTCATGCTTCCAGATTTGATCCCATCTCGGGTCCAACATACTTACAGGTACCTGGTTAAGGTATGTTGAAATGAAATTTGTAGTCAAATGACATTTAAAGCTTTAAAAGTTTAACCCAGCACAATAGAACAAATACCATATTTGGCAATTCCTGTCCCAAAGAATCAACTCCTGTCATAGGGTTACTCAAAATAAATTCTCTTTATAGCAGACATTTCTCCTTGGTAGCTTCCTTCCTGCCTTTTTCTTCCCACTCAATGGCATGGCTATGGAAATCCTGAATTAGTCTTTTGTTTATCAATTACTCTTCCTGAGAAAAACCTTTCATGAAAGATTGAATGCTTTAATTTACTTAGATTCCAGAGAGAGAGAGAAAAAAAATCCCACAAAATCCTTCCAATTTGGAATGGAAATGACCCAAAAAGGGGCAATTTAGGAACAGCAAACAACATTATAAGTCTCTTTAAAAGGAAGGAGCAAAAGAGAAAGATACTAATTATAAGGATGGAAGTGCCTAGACCAGGGGTAGGCAACCTCGGCTCTTTTATGACTCGTGGACGTCAACTCCCAGAATTCCTGAGCCGGCATGGCTCAGCTTGGAAACCTCTCTCTTTCCCCTCAGCATGGCTGGCTCAGGAATTCTGGGAGTTCAAGTCCATGAGTCATAAAAGAGCCGAGGTTGCCTACTCCTGGCCTAGACCAGTGGTTCTCAACCTTTTTAATGCCGCGACCCCCAACCAGTCATAAGTCGAGGACTACTCAACCGGTTGTAAGTCGAGGACTACTCAACTGATGCAGCACCGTTTGCAGAATGGGACTTTTGGTCAGCTCAGCAGGGCAGAGACATAGCCTGCACAATTCCTATTGGCTTTTGAAAGCCAATAGAATTAGACTCTATTCAAGAGAGTCTATTCTATTGGCTTTCAAAAGCCAATAGAATAAAAGGGAGTAGCACAGCTAAGGAAAAGTGGAAAAAAATGGCGGACTGCATTGTTTGGCGACCCCCGTGAAATGGCCGTTCGACCCCAAATGGGGTCCCAACCCACAGGGTGAGAACCACTGGCCTAGACAAAGAATGAAATAGAATCCAAAAAAAGAATCCCTGTTAACACAAAAAACTCGGCCTTGATGAATAGTCTTACATAATCACAAGAAGCTGAACTCAAGGAAATGGTTACCTCTTAAGATTGATAAGATTGTTTGTTACTTTGGCTTTTTGCTCTCACCCCTCCCCAAATATTTGTATTGTTTTATGAGGAGTGGGACCCTTGCTGCTCACCCACATAGCCAGGAGTCCCACAGGCTGTGGACATGACACTGCCGGAGCCTTCGATCTTCGACAGCCCAAAGTCACTAATCATGATCTTGGATTCCTCATCCAGGCTGTAGTACAACAGGTTCTCCGGCTGATGGGAAATTGGAAGGAAGCAAGAAGGCAGAATTGGGAGAATTTAACAGCTTTATCAAACTGCAGAATATAGTGCGGTCAGAGTAAATCCGTACAAACAGACCACTATAGACTATTAAATGCTTCAAATGTTTTAAAAAATTAAAAATACCCCACCTTATAAAATACAATAAGAGAACCAACCTGAACAAAATAGGCTATGGAAAATAAGTTCCTGAAATAAAATAAAGTCAATTAAAAAAAACCTGAGCCCAGTTTCCTAAAGCTGGCTTTAAAAGATAAGCATCATTTTTTTTGAAAGGAACTAAGGATGGAGTTCAAAGAAAGGAAACAGGTTGGGATTCCATTCCTCTAAACAGTGCCAAAAGGAAACAGAGATAAGGGCAGAATTTATCAAAGGGATGGTCCCCAGAAACACAAGTGTAAACAAACACACCCTACATATACAACTAAAAGCTTCTAATATCAACAACAGTATCAGTATCATTAACCTGTTAACAAATGAGTCCCAGCCCCAGGCAGGAGGAGACCCCCCCCTCCCCAGCACTTCTTATGTATTCATGCATGAGCAGCAGCAATAGAGTTACCATTACATCTTCAACTGGTTACCCCACAGACAGCAACAATGTTGTTCCAGCAAGCTTCATGCTTCACACACATTGAAACAGATGTTCTAAGTGGCAGACAGGGAAGGCAGCAGGTGGGAACTGAGCAAATATCTACAGACGCTCACATTTTGGACATAAGCTGTTTCATCCTCTCCCTCAAGACACCGCTGTGCCAAAACAACTAGACATTTCCCCCATGCCATCACTCTGCTAAACATCTAACTCCCTCAGCATTCTGCGTTATGCATAAAAAAGACACTTACCCATGTAGCAGGCTGTATTGCTAATATCCTTGTCATTTTCTCATCTTTCCCATCTTCTCATCTTTCTCACCTCTCATCTTTGCTACTACCTTCTCCTACTGGTATTCTATGATTTATCAATTGTGGTTTGTATCTTATGATTTAGGATTGTATCTTATGATTTAGGATCTATGACTTATCACTTTGTTGCTGTTTGGATGTACACCGAGAGCTTATGCACCGGAGACAAATTTCTTGTATGTCCAATCACACTTGGCCGATAAAGAATTATTCTATTCTGTTCTATTCCATTTCTGTTCTATTCCATTTCTGTTCTATTCCATTTCTGTTCTATTCCATTTCTATTCCATTTCTATTCTATTCTATTCTATTCTATTCTATTCTATTCTATTCTATTCTATTCTATTCTATTCTTCTGTTTCATTCCATTCCATTATTCCATTCCATTATTCCATTCCATTCCATTCCATTCCATTCTTCTGTTCCATTCCATTCCATTCCATTGTATTCTATTCTATTCTTCCGTTCCATTCCATTCCATTGTATTCTATTCTTCTGTTCCGTTCCATTCTATTCCATTCCATTCTTCCGCTCCATTCCATTCCATTCATCCATTCCGTTCGATTCCATTCCATTCTGCTGTTACCCCATAGACAGCAGCAATGCTGTTACAGCAAGCTACAGGCTCCACACACATTGAAATTGCTGTTCCAAGTGGCAGACTGGAAAGGCAGCAGGTGGGAATGAAACATCAGAAATTCTTAGCTCATGTCTGCATTCCCATCTGCTTTTTAGTTGTTATTGTTATTTTATGATCCACACTTCTTTTCTTCTCCCTCTCGCTTCTCTGCCTTCTGGACAACCATTTAACTGGGATGGTATAAAGTCTCCTGTCTTGAACAGGGGGTTGGACTAATAGACCTCTGATGTCCCTTCCAGCCATATGATTCTTTGTTCTATGAGTCCTCAGTTTGCTACCCACCCTGGTCTATCACTGAGAGTGTCTCTTTCATTTTGCCTTAATGGTAGAGACATCTCTGTAATCAGAGGACCAGCACAGGCTACTTTCACTTAGAATATACATCTTGGTAGACGTACAGTACTTCCCTGGGAAAAGGGCTGGCTGAGGAATTCTGGGAGTTGAAGTCCACAAGTCTTAATATTGCCAAGTTTGAAGATCCCTGATCTAAGTTACTACAAAGGAAAGGAGTGAGGTGAGAGGACCATTTACAACATAGGGTAAACATTGTTCACTGTACAGGTAGTCCTCGACTTACAACCACAATTGACTCCAAAAATTCTGTCGCTAGGTGAGACAGTTGTTAAATGAGTTCTGCCCCATATTAAGACTTTTCTTGCCGCCGTTCTTAAGCGAATCACTGCAGTTGTTAAGTTAGTAACACGGGTTGTTAAGTGAATCTGGCTTCTCCACTGACTTTGTTCGTCGAAAGGCTGCATAAGGTGATCATGTTACCCCGGGACACACTGCAACTGTCATAAATATGAACCAGTTGCCAAGCATTCGAATTTTGATCACTTGACCACGGGGATGCTGAAATGGTCATAAATGCAAAAAATGGTCATAAGTCACTTTTTTCAGTGCCGTTGTAACTTTGAATGGTCACTAAATAAAATGGCTGTAAGTCAAGGATTACCTGCAGTGGTGTGTGGGAATGACTCTGGGAGACTGGAGGAAAAACTGCAGACTAGACCATGTCAAATAAGCAGTAGCTATGCCCATAGAAGGAATGGGAGAATGGCAAACACCTCAGATGGGCCCCTCCCTGATTTATGTTGCATTTCAGTTTTAATGCCCTTCTCAGGTGAATAATACTGTTTTTCTTGGTCTCGTAATAAGTTTTTATTTTTGTGTGGGGTTGTTTTATGTATATCATCCTGAACTTTTTTTTTAACAGCCCCCAAAGTCTTGTCTATTAGCCTTGTTGGAATTAGTATACATCTTTTCCCATATATTGTATTGATTTTTTTAGACATAAATCATAGTTGGTAAACAGTTTGCTGGGTTTACATTAACAACTGGTTTCTATAATCCATAATCCACATAGTACATTTAGTTGATTTCCCCTTTTCCCCAAAATGTCTTCTTTGCAAACCTAGAAATAATACAGTTCTTATTATTTTGATAAATAACAGTTACAAATATGACTTTTCCCAATATTCCTAGAAATAATGATCACATCAATATAATATTTCTTTTCTATCTAATCATTCTGGTTGCCTCATCTTATATCCTGTTACAGTCCTCATTTAGATTTGTTTCTCACCGGGCAGATGTGTAGATATTTATTTCATTTTAGAAACATAGGTCTCAGCTCAGCTTCTTCTAATCTTTGTTTCAGAAGAGATACCACGCAAACTGGACATTTCCAGATTAAGGAAATGTCCTGCTTGACTTTCCTTGTTGCTATAGAACATTTAACTATCAGAATGATTGAAGCATAAACTACCATTATTTGCTCCACTTGAAAAAAGTAGGTTCAAAGTATTCTTGCTAGTTAAGATTTTCTCAACAGTTAATTACATTTAAAGATTTAAATCCATTTTTCCCATATAAACCATCTCAGCACTTTTACATTTCTTAAACAATAGGTAAAAACAGTAAATAAAAGGAAAAGAGAGCGAGAGTAAAGAAACATAAAAAGTAAAATACTACTTAAAATATATATTCCTCCTAAGCTAATATATATTCATTCCCAAAATTTATTATTCTTTTTAACTATGATTAAAAATATATTTAATCATCCTGAACTTCTATTGGCAGGAGAGACATTTAACAAGATTCAGATTCCAAGGTCCAGATAGCTAACATAGTTGTCATGTCAGGTTATTCATTCTTTCATTCTCTCCCTCCCTCCCTCCCTCTCTCATGCAAAAAAAGATGCAAAGAGGAGTAGGCTAAGAGTGTCTGCCTGTTTGTCCTGGCCAATGAAGTCTCCTCCACCCTACACCACCCCATCCCATCTGACTTGCTAGTATGAAGAAGAAAAAAACCCTATTTTTTTCAAGTGGAGCAAATAATGGTAGTTTATGCTTCAATCATTCTGATAGTTAAATATTCTATAGCAACAAGGAAAGTCAGGCAGGACATTTCCTCAATCTGGAAATGTCCAGTTTGCGTGGTATCTCTTCTGAAACAAAGATTAGAAGAAGCTGAGCTTATAGACATATGTTTCTAAAATGAAATAAATATCTACACATCTGCCCGGTGAGAGCTTTTTACACAAATCTGGTGTCATTTCTAATCCTGGCTTGGCAATCAATCTTCAGACACCGAAAGTAGCCATCAATTACTGGCACCATCAGTAATGAGTGGCTGATTCTAATGAGTGGCAGGTAAGGCTTGCTCTGCATAGAGGCCAACATCCGACATTCAGTTTAACTATATTGTGTTTTTTAGGCAAATATATAGCAATTTGTAACATTTGCATTTCTAGCCACTGTTTGACACTGTTCATAGAAAACCACTGTCATCTTTTGTCATTTCTGCATATATAAAGAAAAAAAGGCTGGCCTGCAACTCCTGAGAGCTGTAATATATTTATCTGATAAATGTACAATTATCTGATTTTTAATAATTACAACTTTTTTTCTTTTTTCTCTCTTTCCCTGTGCTAGATCAAGAGAGAAACAGGATGTTGTAAGTGTAAGCATTCTTCTTTGTGTATCCTATGGCTTCTTCCTTCTTATTTATTAGACTCTACATCTCCTTTACATGCATATAGCATAGAGTTGGAAGGGACTTTGGAGGTCTCCTAGTCCAACCCCCTGCTCAGGCAGGAAACCCTATACCATTTCAGACAAATGGCTGTCCAATCTCTTCTTAAAAACTTCAAGTGATGAAGTACCCACAACTTCTGAAGACAGGCTGTTCCACTGGTTAATTGTTCTCACTGTTAGGAAGTTTCTCCTTAATTCCAGATTACTTCTCTCCTTGATTAATTTATATCCATTATTTCTTGTCTTGTCTTCTGGTGCTTTGGAAAATAATTTGACCCCCTCTTCTTTGTGGCAGCCCCTCAAATACTGGAATACTGCTATCATGTCACCCTTGTTTCTTATTTTCTGTAGACTAGCCAAACCCAATTCCTGCAGTCATTCTTCATATGTTTAGTCTCCAGGCTCTTAATCATCTTAACTGCTCTTCTCTGCACATTTTCCAGAGTCTCAACATCTTTTTATAATGTGGTGACCTAAACTGGATGCAATATTCTGCATGTGGTCTTACTAAAGTTTATAAAGTAGTACTAATACTCCATGTGATCTTGACTCTATGCCTCTGTTTATGTGATCTCTCTCTCTCTCTCTTTCTCTCTCGTCTCTTTTTAGAACTAAGAACTAAGCACTCTCTCTCTCTCTCTATCTCTTTTTAGAACAGGGGTTCTCAGCCTTGGCAACTTTAAGACTTGTGGACTTCAACTCCCCGAATTCCTCAGCCAGCAAAGCTGGCTGGGGAATTCTGGGAATTGAAGTCCACAAGTCTTAAAGTTGCCAAGGTTGAGAACCCCTGTTTTAGAACTAAGCGCTCTGGTTTAAACCCTTTTGGCCTTGAATTTTCCAGAATTAGCATGCCCACACTTAACAAATTAAAACCTAAAACAAAGCTGCACAGACGAACTTGCACAGCGACCATCTCAGACGGGAGGTTTATCACATCTGATTTCCTGCTGCAAGTCACTCCAAATCTCCCTCGATCTCATCTCAGTTGCTATTAACCCACAATAATAATCATTTCATTACAAGGCAAACCTGGCAGGGAGACTGATTTGCATCAAGTAATCAGATAAAAGGGGGGGGGAGGGGAGAGAAGGGAAGACATATTTCCTTTGCAGAAATGTTTATTCAAATTCCCACCAGACAGCTTTTAGAAAAATAAAAACAGTCGTAAGATTTATTTCTATACATTTTTATTTAAACTCGTCCCAGTCAACTCTCCAGTTACATATTTCCAACATCACTGCTGGAAGATTTTCTGCACTTCTCAGACTGAAAGTTCGTTCATTTTATAAAAGCATTTTACTGTTTTCTTTAGCGTGGAGCATTTATGATCAATAACCGCAGAAATGAGCAATTCATAGACCGATCAAATGCCATTTTTATATTTTTTTTATCTTCAAGATTTTCATAAATAACAAATAATACAGGGATGTTTTCAACAAATACATTTTAAATAAATACAACTGCATTAATGGTTGTGGGGGGGCTGGATTTGGCATGGGATTTTGAGAATAGGAGTATTTTAACATCACACGCATACTGCAACTGTAATTGGAAGGGGAAGGATGGAGGACATTGGCTATTTTATACTGGAAGAAAATCTAAACCTGCTTTTTAAAAATAAAAACAAACCCACATGCAGTGACTAATTGCAAGAATTCTCAAAGGAGCTTTTTCAAAAGGTAACTGGGCTTTTTTTTTCCTTTGAAGATGTGTTGCTTTTCATCCAAGAAGCTTCTTCAGTTCTGAATGAATGGTGGAGGATGGAAGGATTTATATTTCTTGCAGTTATCTGGTTGTTAGTACTCTTTCTGAGAATTGATGAGGCCACTTGGAAGTTTATCTGTTACCCTCAGGGTCACCTGAATAGTGCAAATAGATGTGGAACCTTTTTGGGAACTGCTGAAAGGACCATGTTGTAAACAGGAGATAGTTGGTGTCGTATCCCACTACAGTCCTTTCAGCAGTTCCAATAAGATTTCACCCCAATTTCTACTATTCAAGAAACCCTGAGGGCTCAGATAAACCTCGAAGTGGCCTCAACAACTCTCAGAAAGAGTGCTAATGACCAGATGACGGCAAGGAATATAAATCCTTCCATCCTCCACTATTCAGTCAGAACTGACGAAGCTTCTTGGATGAAAAGCAAAACATCTCCAAGTAAAAACAAAGAAAGTCTAGTTGCCTTTTGAAAAAGCACCTTTGGGACCACCATGATCTGGATGACTGAGAATCTCCATAGACAGTTGCAGGAATTGTGTTTAGTTTATCCCTCAGTAAATAGCTTGTGGGGACACCTCTTAATGGAAGGAGGGCTACAATATGCAGGAACACCCGGCCAAGTTCAACAACCCACCTTGAGGTCACGGTGCACAATGCCCATGTCATGCAGGTATTTAACGGCATCAAGGATTTGACGGATCAGCTTGCTGGCATCTCGCTCTGTGTAAAATCCCTTCTCCACTATCCTGTCAAAAAGTTCCCCTCCAGAAACCCTGTCAGAGGGAGATAGAATACAAGTAAGATCTATGCAAACAGATCCTTATGAGCCTCTAACATGGATTAGGCTGGTGATAGCAAACCTTTTGGGCTTGGCATATCAGAAATTCAGAAAATGCCTAACCTGACTCTGTGGGTATATCACTACCACACCCAACAAAGGAGAAACAATTCTTTACATATTTATCTTAAAAAATATGCAATCCAATCAAATGTGTGGCTATGAATTATATAAAAAATGACAAGTAATAACAGCGAAAGATGAAATGAAATATAAACCGTTTTTGAGTTGTAGTTTTGAGAATAGTTCTGGTCAAGTATTGGTGAATGTTGGCATGGCACTCAAAATGTTGTGGCATGTCACTTTTGACATGCATCATAGGTACACTGTCACTGGATTAGGTTCACCACAAGACTCAAAGGAGTTGGGAAGCCGAGGACACACCATGCTACAGGTAGCCCACAGCTTATGATCATCAACTGTATCTAAGCGAGCTAGTTGTTAAATGCCTGATTTTACAACCTTTTTGCTGGTTGATAAGTGAATCACTGCAGTGGTTATGTGAATCCAGCTTCCTTCGTGGACGTTGCTTGTCGATAGCTGGCTGGGAAAGATGCAAATGGTTCACGTAACCATGGGATACTTCAACCACTGTAAATACATGCCAGCTGCCAAGTGCCCAAATTTTAGGGATTATGTTGAGCATGGGAATGCTGCAATGGTTGTAAGCGCGAAGATTGGTCGTAAGACAATTTTTTTCAGTGCTGTTGTAAATTCTAACAGTCGCTAAACAAACGGCTGTAGGTTGAGGACTATCTGTATTTCTCCCTTTCCTTTTTAGCTCCCATCCTGTTCATGTTGGAGGCACCATTTAAGGTACTTCCAGGTTGAAAGGATTAGCCAGTGACATCACCATTGCCCGGGGAATGCCTGTGGGGACTCCTTTCATGTCCCTGTCAAGCAGCTGGAGCAAATGACAGGAACTCACCCCGCCATGCAGTAGCACTCAGGACTCTAGCGTGGGCTTGCTAATCTCCAGTTCAGCACCCAACCACATGAGCTGCCGCGCTCCTTTCCTTTTTAGCTAACAGGGCCTGAGAACTGTGGCTCCCTTCCTCCTCTTTCCTAAACCTTCAACTTACAGCTGCATGATGAGGTAGAGGTGCCCTCCACTCTCGTAGATGTCATCCAGGGCCACTATGTTCGGATGCTTGATTCTGCCAAGAGGGGAAACGTGTTTTAATTAGGAGGTGCTGTATAGATCTCGAAGGAAATCTATTTCGTTTTGCCTTGATCGTTTTAATGTTGATATTATTGTAAAAGGAAAATATAGTATCAGCTCAGAAATATCTCACAGTGCAAAATACAAACATTACTCTCCATGGGACAGAGTGTCCTCATCGTTATTGAATACTGCACAGTAGCAAAAAACATTCTGCATTCACGTTACTATATGCATTTTTGTTATCTTCAGATTGGGAGAAGTTGCCTCACAAAACTATGGCAGGATTAGTGTTAGTCTTATTTCTCAGTGGGTGGAAGGTTTCATGACATGGTGAGATGGCCGGGATTTTGTCAAATATCAACAGAGACCACGTTTGGAAAATGTTAATAAAATCTGGCAACTAGAATGAGTTTTGGAAGAACTTAGAAGAGAAAAAGCACAGAAGTAAGAAAAAGCAAACCTGGGAATAAAAGTTGCTGATATCACAGTCAGTATGAGGGTGTATGTGTGGAAAGTTGGGTAGTTTGAAACAGAATCCCACCTCAAGGGATGGGCGAGTCTTGAGGAAACAGTGCAAAAGAACCTTGGATATAGGATTACGAGAAGGCTGGTGGTGGGATCTCCACCCTTTCCTCTAGAGCAGTGGTTCTCTACATTTTTAGTGCCACGACCCCCCCCCAACCGGTCATAAGTCGAGAACTACTCAACCAGTCGTAAGTCGAGGACTATTCAACTGGTGCAGCACCGTTTGCAGAATGGGACTTTTGGCGGGCTCAGCAGGGCAGAGACAGCCTGGATAATTCCTATTGGCTTTTGAAAGCCAATAGAATTAGACTCTATTCAAGAGAGTCTATTCTATTGGCTTTCAAAAGCCAATAGAATAAAAGGGAGTAGCACAGCTAAGGAAAAGGGTAAAAAAAATGGCAGACTGCGTTGCTTGGCGACCCCCGTGAAATGGTCGTTCGACCCCAAATGGGGTCCTGACCCACAGGTTGAGACCACTGCTCTAGAGGAGAAAAATCTACTTTGCAATCTAACTTTCACTCTTATCATATTTGTCCAAGATAATTAATTGACATTAATGTTTTATGAGAACCCCAAAATGGGAAGAATGGATCCTGTTAGTAAGTAAGCAAAGACTCAGTTGTGCACAAAATTAAAGACAACTCCATCCGGTCAGTCTTGTTCTGGGAAGACCTAAATCCAGTCAGTTAATCCATTTGGCCTCTCCACTGAAGAACATGATCCCAACATCCACCAAGGCTAGGACCCTCTTCCCAAACCCCGCTTGACAGCTCCTGTTGATGCCTGCCTGGACAATGAGGAAAAAGCTAGTATAGGTAGTCCCTTACTTACAACCACAGTGGAACACAAAATTTCCATTGCTAAGCCTGTTAAGTAAGTTGTGCCCCATTTTATGACTTTTTTGGCACAGTTGTTAAGTGAATCACTACAGTTGTTAAGTGGATCGTGCGGTTGTTAAGTGAATGAGGCTTCCCCTATTGACTTTGCTTGTCGCAAGCCAGGTGGAAAGGTTATCAATGGAGATCGCATAACTTCAGGACAGTACAACTTGTCATAAATACATGCCATTGCCAACCGCCTGAATTTTGATCACATGACCATGAGGATGATCCAACAGTTGTAGATATGAAAATCGGTCATAAGACACTCTTTCAGTGCTGTTGTAATTTCAAATGGTCTCTCAATGAATGGTTGTTAAGTCAAGGACTACCTGTAATGTAAGAAATCTTTGCTTGTGGGTTCCTGGTGCAAGGATGAAGGAGATACATTCCTAGAGAAAATGGAGGGTGTGTGGCTGTATTTTGACCTTGCTAAATGTAATTATCTACTGCAGCAGTCCCCAACTTTTTGGGCACCAGGGATCGGTTCCGTGGAGAGAGGTTTTTCCATGGACCAGAGGGAGCGTGGTTTTGTATTGCTGCCTGCATCCCGCAGATGGGGCTTCACTTGTTTGTGTGGCCTGGTTTTTGGCATGCTGTGGTTCAGTGCTGGTCCGGTTGGGGACCCCTGATCTACTGGGCAGATCCACTGGTCAAAAAATTGGACCGGATTAAACGTATTGGGAGAATAAAGCATCTGATTGTCAAGTAGAAACTAAATTCCAAAGAAAGAAATTTAGAATGCATTGTGAACTTTGGGAGAAAAGTCCCTAAAATATCAAGAACATTTGACCAATTTGTAACAAAGGACTGGTACTAATTAATGCCCTATTGAGAAATAGTAACTAACATATATAAACACCATTTGAATCCACTCCTTGATTTCTATTTGCTTTTTAAAGTATCAATTAAGTTCTTTTTGTCTAACTTGTTTCCCTGTTGTTAACTTAACCGTGGATTACTCAATTAGCTTAAAGTTCTCTGTCTGAATAATATAGCATAAACTAACTGCATAGGATTAAGTTCAAAGCACACTAGACTGAAACACACTCATCTATTTTGGATTCAAGCTGTCTCATGAACACAGCCTCCAAATCTTTTCATTTATTTCCCCCATATGAAACCTTTACCTCTCTCACAAAGTCACTTAGATTCTTTAATCAAGATGCAGGGCTTTCTACGCAAACAACTGGGGAATTACAATTATTGCTCTTACTACCCCAATTTGCTTGTTTAAGGTAAGAATTAACGAGCCACGGCACAGAAATGACTATAAAAACGCTAAATGGAAATGAGGGAAACACAAAATCACTACAGATCTGCCTTTAAAAAGAGGGAAAGAATGCAAGCATTTTTTTAAAAAATTGGCAATACATTGTTATGCAGACCAGTTTGTTGATATCACACAGAGTGCTTTTGAAGGAATGTTGTAGGCACTTCGACAAAATTATTATCTGAAGCAGGTGTATCCAACCCACGACCCATAGGCTTTGTGCAGCCCTGAGACAGGTAATAATGTGGCCCCACAAGATCATAATTTTTTAACATTATTATGTGAATTTTTTTTATATTACATATTTTATATACAGCCCAAGACAATTCTTCTTCACTCAATGCAGTCCAGGCAAGCCAAAAAGGTGGACACCCACGATCGAAAGGAAATAATTATTAATTTTGTAAAGGATCACTAACAAATATGGGTATGATAAATACGTTCCTATACCAGGCAACAGGAAACTACAGGTAATCCTCCATTCATCACCACATTTGAGCCCCAAATTTCCGTTGCTAGGTGAGACAGTTGTTAAGTGAGTTTTGCCCTATTTTCTAACCTTTCTTCCCATGGTTGTTAAGTGAATCACTGTAGTTGTTGAGTTAGTAAAATGTTTGTCAAGTGAATCTGGCTTCCCCATTGACATTGCCTGTCAGAAGGTCGCAAAAGTCATAAATAGGAACCAGTTGCCAAGCATCCAAATTTTGATCACATGATCATGAGGATGCTGCAATGGTTGGAAGTATGAAAAATGGTCACAACATTATGATTGTTTATTTGTAACCCTGTAATCAGCTCTGGGAAGTGGGGGAGGGGTGGGAGGGGTGGGAGGGATTTGGGATATATATATTGTATAAAAATTTTAAAACTTTTAATAAAAAAAAAGAAAAGAAAAATGGTCGCAAGTCATTTTTTTCAGTGCCTTTGTAACTTCAAATGGTCATTAAATGAACAGTTGTAAGTCAAGGACTACCGGTATATGACTGGTCTCAAGTAAACTAATCAAGGAGAGAAGCAACCTAGAACTAAGGAGAAACTTCCTGACAGTTAGAACAATTAACCAGTGGAACAACCTGCCTCCAGAAGCTGTGAATGCTCCAACAACACTGGAAGTTTTTAAGAAGAGACTGGACAGCCATTTATCTGAAATGGTGTAGGGTTTCCTGCCTGAGCAGGGGGTTGGACTAGATGACCTCCAAGGTACCTTCCAACATTATTATTATTATTATTATTATTATTATTATTATTATTATTATTATTATTATTATTATTTTCACCACTAAAACATTCTTGTGGTCCTTCACCAAGTCCTTGGCATCCTATTATTATAGCCATTTTTATATGAGAAAAAAGAGGAGATAGTGAAAAAAGCCAGTTATTGAAAGCTTCTACTACCACTGCTACATAGTGAAAGAATGGATACTAAGGACATTTCAGAGTGGTTATTCAAGGTGCAATTCAGGAGAAAAAACAAAACCCAGTAATCCTCCTACGGTGATTAGTAGGAAGCAATAAAAACAGATATAGTGAGCAGGGAGATTGTAATTAAAGATATTAAGAGTCTTGAAAAGCTTCAGCAAGATTTCACCAGTCCAAAGTGGACAAGGTACTGATGCAATTATTTTAAAAAAAAAAGTAGTGCCAAAACTAAAGCAGAAAAAAAGGAATAAAGTCCATAGAGCTGCAAGAATTTGATAGTAGCTTTGTCTGGATGTTCTAAGGAAAGACAGCAAGACCAAAAAAAAAAAAAAAAAATAGCAATGACAAAGTAAATATGGAGTTAACTGCATGTCCAAATTGTTGGACTAAAACTAATATTTGTTACCTGGAGGCAGGAGATAAGATACTGTTTATATGTACAAATGTGCTTTCACCTCGCTGTTGCTTTTATCATATTATCTAGTGTTTTCTTTCATGATTTTTTTTTTAAATAAACCACTTCAGCAATAAGTCATTGGCCTCAGAGAATTTGCACAGCTCTTTCCTTTTAAATAAACTTTCCGGCTTGCTAGTTTCAGCTACCTATTTAGTGATAGTTGATGCTAAGCAAGAACCGATCACTTGAAAACTCACCAGTAGGTCTTAGTAACACTAAGAAAAACTCCAGTGTTGTAACAGACAACGAATGTGACAATTACAGAGGAATAGCCAGCAAAGGGGTCATGCCAGAGCACGCAGATAGGGTGCCCTATTGAAGCATGAGCAATGGATGGTAATAGTCACACGGCTTGTTCTGGTCACAAGAAAACACTGTGTGGTGCCAACCTGGACTATTTTCAGAAAAGCTGATATCCCACATCAGATATGGTAACTAAAAAAAGGATATCTGGTTGGTGCAGAAGGCTAGTGATGTGCTTGCTTTGAAGCAACTGAGAATGGAAACTTGATCAGATGAGGAACTATTGCTCCTCAACCCAATTCTAAATTTCTCACTTCACAGTAGACTTCCTTGGACAAGGGGCCCACAAACAGGAAAAAAAGGAAGGAAGGAAGGAAGGAAGGAAAAAAATCACCTCAACCAAAGGAAATTTAATCCCTACCATTTGGGTAAGGCAATTTTCCCAATCTTAAGTCCTGTAATGTGTTAGCCAATGTTTATCACGATTAGGGATGACCAAAATCATATACTGACATCGATAGGCTTCAATGTTGTAATATAAAAAAACAGCCTCTTTTAACTTGGACCAGGGTTCCCAACCTAGGGGGCCCACACCTCAGGGGATTAGAGATAGAATTTCAGGGGGTGCAACAAACAGTGGTGAGTGTCCCTTAAGCATAAGTCACTAGTCACAATTACTTTCGTAGGGGATGTGAATATTAATCACACATTTCCTAGGGATGTGGGTCATGGAAAAGGTTGGGAACTAATTACTGGCTTAGACCAACAATTTAATTAGACATAGACAATGCATTTTCACTGCATCTGAGAGTGGATTTAGGAACGTCTTTTTTGTTGCTAAAGCAGGGGTCCCCAACTCCCGGTCCCTGGACCAATACTGGGCTTTGGCATGCCAGCAACCGGTCCGCACAAACAAGCAAAGCCCCATCCGCGAGATGCAGGCAGCACACAAAACCATGCACCCTCCAGTCCGCAGAAAAGCCTCTCTCCACGGAACTGGTCCCTGGTTCCCAAAAGGTTGGGGATCTCTGTATTAAAGGACTAGATCAGGGGTATTATGGCCCCTTTATAGCATGTGGACTTCAATTATGGCCCCTTTACAGCATGTGGACTTCAACTCCCAGAATTCTTGAGCCAGCCACCCTGGCTCAGGAATTCTTGGAGTTGAAGGCCACAGGTCTCTATGGAGATTCTCAATCATCCATAATTGTTGTCCCAAAGGTGCTTTTTCCCCAAAAGCAACTTGACTTTCTTAATTTTTTCTTTGGAAACATTTGACTTCTCATTCAAGAAGCTTCTTCAGTTCTAATTGAACCTAAGGTTAGAACTGAAGAAGCTTCTTGGATGAGAAACAAAATGTTTTCAAAGAAAAAAAAACAAGAAAGTCCAGTTGCCTTTTGGAAAAAGCACTTTTGGTATAAGTTCATAGGCCATAAAGGGGTAATAGTTGCCCACCCCTAGGCTAGATTAATTGTGATGATACAACTATGTGTATTTATTCATGTACTCTATTCATGTGCCTTGAAGGAAAGTAGCCCATTTGGTTTTGACACAAAATGATCAGGTAAAAGAATTAAAATCCTGTTGGCCCTTCCTGTTTTACCTTGCTGTACTTTATTGCTTTAAGCAATTCCATCATTCCAATCCCATTCTACTGCTGGAAATGACTCAATCTGAGGGCAAAATTGCTTGAAGCAGCTGGTGATACAATCTCCAGGGCTATACCCCTATGCTATTCACTGTTGGGGGCCATGCAGTATGGAATAGACAATTCCACTGTTATCTCTGCACTTCACTGAATGATATGTGGAAAGATGCTGTGGCATAAGAGAAGCAATGCAAAGCACAGCAATTATGTTTGTTCTTTTAAAAAACAAACTTAACGAAAAATGTTACAGGTAGCCCCCAACGTATAAGATTTCGTTTAGTGACTGTTGAAAGATACAACGGCACTGGAAAAAGTGACTTATAACCGTTTTTCACACTTTTGACCATTGCAGCATCCCTATGGTCATGTGATCATAATTCAGACGCTTGGCAATCGACTCATATTTATGACGGCTGCAGTGTCCCGAGGTCATGTGATCACGGTTTGCAATCTTCTAACAAGCAAAGTCAATGGGGAAGCCAGATTTAGTCAACAACCTTACTCACTAACTTAACAACTGCATTAATTCGCTTAATAACTGTGGCAAGAAAGGTCATAAAAGGGGGCAAAGCTTAGTTAACCAATGCTTTGCTTAGCAACATAAATTTTGGGCTCAAATGTGGCTGTAAGTCGAAGACTACCTGTACCAGGATTTCTCCTTTTCCCTGCTTTCCACTTATGCAGCAAAAAAAGCAGTGCACCAGAAATGTGTAACTTTCTTTTGCAAACAAAGAAGCGAGAAGCAACAGGCCAACATCCCTAACCCGAATCTCTCACGAGTGTGAGGAACCAAAATCTTGGACAGATGCAATAGAGGTTAGTTGCTCCAGGTTGGCTTTGCTTCTGAGCTTTCCAAAGCAACTAGATTGGTCACAGTTCAGAAAAGATCTAGATTTTTGGTCTGAACGGTCAGCAGCTATTTTTCTGAACCAGACTGATAAGAGTAAAGGGGGCAGAGAATAAGGAGAGGTACCACCCACTTGTGCAGGACGGCAATCTCATTTTCAATGCTGGTCTCTTTTCCTTCTAGCACCTTCTTGGCAATGCATTTGATGGCCACCAATTTCTGAGTCGATTTCTCTTCCGCCAGCACCACCTCTGAGAAGGCACCTCTGGAAAACAAGATGGATTGGGAGGAGGAAAGTGAGACATTAGGCCAGGGGTAGGCAAGCTTGGCTCTTTTATGACTCGTGGACTTCAACTCCCAGAATTCCTGAGCCAGTATGGCTCAGCTTGGAAACCTCTCCCTTTCCCCTCAGCATGGCTGGCTCAGGAATTCTGGGAGCTGAAGTCCACAAGTCATACAAGAGCCAAGGTTCCCCACCCCCTGGTCTAGGGAATAATTGCATTGCTTTCTATGTTTTACCATAGAGATGATAACCTCTCTCTGGGGTTGTGTTTAGCACTTTCCGAATGGGATGAAATAATTTGGAATTACTGCAATTACATAGGTAGTCCTCGACTTATGATCCCAATCGTGAGCAGAATTTATGCTGCTATACAAGGCGGGGAGTAAGCGATATGTGAGTTGAAGTCCACGAGTCATAAAAGAGCCAAGGTTGCCTACCCCTGCATTGGGCAGATCCCTGGCTAGGGGATGCCCCAATTAGATGGGCATTGCCTGCTACAGAGTGCCAACAGATGTAAAATGTTTGAGTTCCAAGAAGCAAACGACAGAACGAGGTCCATCAGCCCAGCAAAGCAAAGGGAAGGGAGAAAAGTTTTTTTTTTAAAAAAAAGGGGGGGGGTGTCAAAACAAGTGACCTCACTTTTTGCTCTGCCCTCTTCTCAGCACCAACCCCTCCCCCTTACACCCGGCTGGATCTCTCACACAGCCGCTGTCACCACAGCAACCTGCAGAATCTCAGCTATTTATAGGAGAACATGTGAGAGATGGCATTGGGCAGGAAGGAGAGAGAATGTGCCAGGAAGAGAGGAATCTGAGCTTATCAACTTGGCAGGCAAAGTTGGTATGGAACCACTGAGGTTCAATTGGTTTCAATCTCAAAACTAGTAAGGTCTTCCTGAATCTGCAAACTAAGGGGATGAGAGGAGAAAAATGCCCCTAGGTCAGAAGATCCCACCCCTAGGTCAGAAGTGGAGCAAGAATAAGGATAAGTAGGGCATTCTTTCCACTTGGACAGAGAAATACCTGGACTTCAAACCAGGTGCTGGTATCCTCTTGTGTAAACAGAGGTATACAATTCAAGCGTCAGCCCTCATTCTTGTGGAAACAGGCGCCCTTTTTTCTGAAAGACTAGCCCGTGCTTTGTTCAGAATAAGCATGCAGCAGGCAAGCAAATGAATCTCCCTCTCTGTTACGATTGCAATCACATCTGGTGGAATGCTAGCAGAAGGTAGGGGAAAGAAAAGAACACATCCAACTTGGTTTCTATTTGGAAACCGCTTCTAGATTTTGTGCTTGAGATAGAAAAAAAAAAGGGATTTGCTGATTACGCAGGTTTGTTGTTATAGAAATGGCTGGTACATTATTAAGTATGCAAAAGTAAAAAGTTGATGCTATTGTGTTATTATTTGTATTCTACTGCCCTGAAGAGAGACAGAAGTTTTCTTTCTTTCTTTTCCTTTCTTTTCTTTCTTTCTTTCTTTCTTTCTTTCTTTCTTTCTTTCTTTCTTTCTTTCTTTCTTTCTTTCTTTCCTTTCTTTCTTTCTTTTTCTTTCTTTTTCCTTCCTTCCTTTCTTTTTCTCCCCTTTATCCCATACTTCTCTCTCCCCCTTTCCCCATTATTTCCCTTTTTTATTTCATTTATATTTTTATAAATTTAATAAAAATACATTAAAAAAAAACCAGAAGGCAGGGAAATGGCATCAATTCAAGGCCCAGATTTGATGCCTGAGGACAGCAAGGAAGAAGAGATATGGATGGAAAACTAATTGAAGAACCACAGAAGAGAAGGCTTGCATCCCTATCTTCACATCCACCAATATTTACACTCTGATATGTCAGCAAGCCCGTTTAGCCCCACCAGACAGATTCAACTTGCCAGCTGCTGTTTATGGCCTGGGGAAATTTGTGGTGGATAAGGAAATGAATAAGAATTAGTTATGATGGTGATCTGGTACGGTATCTTCAGCAGGCCTCTAAATACCACTTGCTAGGGAACAACATGACATGACCTCTCAAACAGCTGGTGGGCTTCCCAGAGGACTTGGCTGGCCACTGTGGAAAACAAGATGATGGACTAGATAAGCTTTTGATCCAGTCCACAGGGGCTCCTCTAATGCTTTTTATACATAAAGCAAGCTGCGCTGCTAAAAACAAAGGCTGGCAAAAGCTAATGGATGGGCTGTGCCCTACTTTTCTCTTCCAGTTCTTAGGAAATGTGGAGAGGAGTGCTTAACTCCGTTCACGTAAGATACAGCATCCATTCATTCCAGACTGGTTGAGTAATAAACAAAACAGCTCCCATTTCATTTCTACAGATGTAGACGTTACTTACTTGCTTTATCATGCTGCCCTAAACGTGCATTAATACTCTTTAAACCACCATAAAGGTATGATGTACATAGGGAAACTCAGGAAATGCTGGATCTGAATGAACCGGAGCTGTGCCCTGCATCGGTGATATAGCCTTACCTCTTTCGGAATACCTAACAAAGACAACCAAAAAACTTGAGATCTGAAACATTAAAATAGTCATAATTATGGCATGAGTTTTTGTGGGCCATTGGATGCAGGACTTACTTAGCAATTGAAAGAAATAAATTAGGAGATAGAGGGTTCAAATGTCTATCATGTTTAAGAAGAGTCTATAATAGGGGTAGGGAACGATGGCCCATTTATGACTTCTGGGCCTCAACTCCCAGAATTGGCTCAGGAATTCTGGGAGTAGAAGTCCACAAGTCATAAAGGGGGGCATCATTCTCCCCCTCTGGTCTATGGCAATTCAATGCCTGAGAAAAATGGCCTGTTGTGTTACTGATCTGTCTGGAAAATAATCTCATGTTGACTTTATTCTAAACAGCATTTGTGAATGGGGACCTCACGTTTGCAGCACAATAATGCTTGGAAGGGAAACAGGAAAAGAAAAGATAGGCTTTGGGTTTTTGATGGTGGAGCCATATTTGTTTGTTCTCTAACTTTATGCATAAAGAACCACATTTCAGATCTTTTGAAGAAAGGTCCATTTCAAAATGGCAGCCAGCTTATCTGAACTGAAGAGCCTTGCCATGGCCGGAATGAAGCTTTTCACACTGAGTGCCCCAGCTTAAAATAACTAGTCACCTGAAGTGAATCCTCTTCCTCAGCATAGCAGCACATGATAAGACTGTGCACATACTTAAGTTGCAGCCCACACCTCCTGTCAATATTAACAAATCTTGTGCTAATATTTGAAGCGATAGGTCACCTGAACTAATTCTCAATTGTTGACCCAGTCCTGGCATTAATTTCAGATGTAGCATGCGGGGCAATTCACAAAAAGAACACAAGGAGCTTTGCATTCTCATGCAGCGGCCATTTTGATTCATGGCCAGTTTGCCACCCATCTCCAAGCTGATGCATTCCATGAAGGCCTAGACCAGCAGTTCCCAAACCTTTTCAGTCAGGGAACCCTTTAGAAGAATTTTTTTCCCCCTACAGAACCCTAATTCTATCTCTGATTTTTATTAAGCATTATTATTAAGAACCCACAACTTCTTTCATCTACTCCTATTGCCTGAGCATTTGGCATAATGTAGTAGATTTGAAAATAAAGAGAAAACATTTTAAATATAACCTTTATTTTGGTACAAGAGAGTTGGCCTTGTGTGGTTTTATTTTAAAATCTGTTTTAAATTTGATTTTTGAGATTTTTCACGGAACCCCTAGTATGCTTTTGAGGAACTCAAAGATTCCACGGAACACAATTTGGGAAGCACTGGCCTAGACAATCCCCAATTGGAAACATGTAAAAACCCACAGCATCCATAGACATCTGTGATACACACCTTTAATCTAAAAGAAAAATAAACTAAAGTAACTTCTGAAGGCTGCATGTTTAGGGATGGTACTTTTCCTACAGAATATGGCAGATAGTTCCTGCTCTTCCAAAGCTATTTGCAATCATGAATATTGGAGAGAATACAGGTTGCCCTCGACTTAGTTCATTTAGTGACCGTTTGAAGTTACAACGGCACTGAAAAGTGACTTATGATCATTTTTCACACTTTACCACCATTGCAATATCCCCATGGTCACGTGATCAAAATGTGGATGCTTGGCAAGTGGTTCATATTTATGACTGTTGAAGTGTCTTGGGGTCATGTGATCACCTTTTGCAACTTTCTGACAGGCAAAGTCAATGGGGAAGCCAGATTCATTTAACAACCATACTAGTAACTTAACAACTGCAGTGATTCACTAAACTGTGTCAAGAAAGATCATAACATGGGGCAAAATTCACTTAACAAATGTCTCAGCAACAGAAATTTTGGGCTCAATTGTGATCGTAAGTCGAGGACCACCTGTATATTAGAAGTCATCTAATATATCTGCAGTGTGTTAGTTGGAGATGGCTGCTCTAGGATAAAAATGACTAAGTGCTGGCTTAGCCTTACGTCTGGACAATAATTTTGTTTACCTCCAAACTCCAGAGTGAACGTTAGCTAGATTAATGGAGATAATGGCAGGTCGGCAATAGTGCTTGGATTACATTTGCCAAATTGCTTCAAACCCAGCACCTCAACTGTACCTTTATCTAGACCTCACTAAGGAAAGTTTAAAAAAAGAAGGCACTCCTTCCATACATCCTCCCCAAAAGCATCACCACTAGGGTGGTCCAACTTTCAGCAATTTAGTCAAAAGTTCTACTCTAGACACCACTTTTTAAAAAGTTGACTCTTCTCACTTCTATAGATCCTATGCATTCATTTGATTTGAATTACCCAACCTAGTTCTAGTTGGATTTGTAAAAAAAATGGTTTTCAAATAATGGATCTAACCCATACATGTCAAACTCGCGACATCACGTGACATCGCGCGACGTATCGGAACTTTTTTCCCATTGCCGGCAATGGGGTGGGCGAGGTTTCCTCATGACACATCCAGCTCGCGGGCCAGCAATTTGAAACCCGTCATCTAAGCCAACTGGCTGAATTCAAGACAGAAATCAACAATAGGCTTATTTGCAGCAAACTCTCAAGACAGCCCTAGTAAACAAGCTTAAGAATATTTACTTCTGCTGGGTGTAGTTCAGAGTTGCATAGAATATAATAACCTGTAAATGACCCTCTCAATTTATTAGAACTTCACACAGGCAGCAAGGATTGCTAATTTAGATTACAGTATGTTGAAAAACAAATTTGAGAGCGAAACACTGTCGGGATTTGGATCTCCTGGCAGATGACTTGGTAATCTGAAAAAGATTTAGGAAGATTACCAGCTCTCATGACTGTTTAGCAACAGTTATGAAAGGATTCCATTGCCATCCTGGTCTTCTCTAAATTAGGCTAAAGTTTCTGAAATGAAGAAGGCTCAGGCAAAAAAAAAAAAAAAACCCAGGAGGAGATTTTTGGATGAAACTATTGGAGTCCAAATTCTGGCACTCTTGATCCCACGAAACTCTCTCCTCTCTTTGTGCAACAGCCTCTACCCAGACAGCCCCAGAGCTGAAAGAACTCACGTGCCGAGCACCTCCCGAAAGTCATAGATTTCCCGGATGTCTTCCGCTTTTTTTTTCCAGCTCAGCTCATCGTCTTCCAGGGGCATGGCTCTTCCTGGGCAAAGAGCTGGGTTGTTCAATTCCCAGCTGGCTCGAAGCAGAGGAAACAGGCAGATGTAGTAAGTTCAAGGTCTAGCTAGCCGAATACAGGCAGATGGCATTAGAACAAAGGCATCGGAAGGCTTCGCCCTGAAATTAAGCAGAAGAAAAGAATGGGTGGCAACATGAGGCCGATGAATAACTGCATATTCAGCTCGGTTTTCCCCATACATATGGAGCATTGCATCTGATGAAGTTTGCCATGGCGCCTGACGCTGCTACCTTTTAACAAAATTTGGAAAAGGTTCTCCCAGACATCTGATTTTGTTGCTGTTTGCTACCCTAAACTAACATGGTTCCTACAACATGAAGCAAGAATTTCCTCTTCCCTTCAGTGAAGAGGTTTTCAACTACATCAGTCCTTAAAGTACATCAGCCTTTGTGCTAACTGTCTTGGCTCAAAAGGGTTAGCTTAAAATCAGTACATCACAGTCTCGGTTGATAGTTTGGGAAAGTTCCTCAGCTGAAAAGTCCCTTTGAGAGGCTGCAGCCCAAAAGATCCACCCAGACCTTAAGCCTCCATTGCAAAGGTTTCATGAACTTTTACAAAGGGATCAGCAGGGGCTGGTAGCTCTTACGCCTTCATCTTATCCTTCCTTTCCCCAATTCCTCTTTATCTTTGCACCCTTTAACATATTGCTCTGACTTTATCCTGTTTGGTAACATTACAGCTGTCTCCATGGAAACAGCTGTAGTGCCTGCAAACACTGAAAATTCAGTGCCTTACTCATGGTCTCTTGGGGTCAGATCTGCTCATATTTTCACACACACACACACACGCACACTCGGTTAATGACGAGATGCCATGTCTCCATAGGAGGCACAGCTAACATTTCCACAACTATTAGCCAGCTTCTAGCAAAGGCTACCCAAGACTGGGTTAGTTTGGTCACAAGGGTTATGTTTTTGCATTGTCTGAACTTCTGCCTGTGGCTGGGAAAAAAAAACCCAAGAGGAACATTTAAATATTCTAAACACATTATGCTGCACATGCTGTTCATCAACATTTTAAAAAGTAATGACACAATCTTCTTGCCCTTCTCATCCAACCAAGGTCTTACATGTGAGTGCAATTAAAGTTCCTCTTGGCTCAAATTCCCACAGTGCAAGCTAGGTTGCTTTTTTGGCAAAAGACAGACACACCCCAGCAAGCAGTCGAATAACATTCATTTAGACTAAAGGAATCAGGACGTTCAGCCTCCTGAAAAAAGATTTCTTCCTCAACTCAGTACAGACCAATGGATGTGATTTTAAGGTCTGAGAATGTCCCACCACCTCAAAAAAAAAAATGTTTCTTTGCGGAAAACAAACGTGTTATGGCAGACATGTCAAACACAAGGCCCGGGGGCCGGATGCGGCCCGCAAAGTGGTTTCATGTGGCCCGTGAAGCCATCCTGGAAACAGTGAGGGAACAGCCCTCGCTGCCTTGGCCCAAGCCAGCCGGGAGCCAATGTACAATTTTGTGGTGGCCATCTATCTGAAACGCATTCAGTCTTAGCTCCATAAGCCCCCCCCCCCCCGCATGGCCTGAGAGGAACAGTGAGGCTCCTCCAGTGGACCATGCTTTGGCACTTGCCCTAGTCACACCCCCTTCTGCCAGAGACCCTCAGATCAGAGGAATGCTGTGGACATAATTTACTTGGATTTCAGTAAGGCATTTGATAAAGTAGATCACATAAAGTAGATTACCTGGAAAAGATAATCAAACAACGAATCAAAGAAAAGCTAGAGGCAAATAAAATTACTACTAAAAGCCAACATGGGTTTGTCAAAAACAGATCATGCCAGACAAACCTTATTGCATTCTTTGACCAAGTGACAAAGTTAGTGGATCAGAGGAATACTGTGGATATAATTTACTTGGACTTCAGTAAGGCATTTGATAAAGTAGATCACAACCTACTACTCAATAAAATAGAAAAATGTGGGTTAGACAGTATCACCACCAGATGAATTCATAACTGGCTGACTGGCTGTACTCAGCGTGTGGTCCTCAATGGAACTGCATCTACATGGAGGGAAGTGTTTAGTAGGGTGCCCCAGGGTTCTGTTCTGGGCCCAGTGCTCTTCAACATCATCAATGATTTGTACAAGGGGATAGATGGGGAACTCATCAAATTTGCGGATGACACAAAGCTGGCAGGAATAGCCAACACTCCAGAAGAGAGGCTTAAGATGCAGAAGGGTCTGGACAGTCTTGAACACTGGGAACTATCTAACAAAATGAAATTCAATGGTGAAAAAAGCAAGGTTCTACATTTAGGCAAGAAAAACAAAATGCACAAATACAGCATAGGTGGCACCTTGCTCAATAGTAGTAACTGTGAGAGGGATCTCGGAGTCCTAGTAGACAATCACCTAAATATGAGTCAGCAGTGTGCTGCAGCTGCCAAAAAAGCCAATGCAGTGCTAGGCTGCATTAACAGAGGGATAGAATCAAGATCACTTGAAGTGTTAATACCACGTTACAATGCCTTGGTAAGGCCACACTTGGAATACTGCATCCAGTTTTGGTCACCACGATATAAAAAAGATGTTGAGACTCTAGAAAGAGTACAGAGAAGAGCAACAAAGATGATTAGGGGACTGGAGGCTAAAGCATCTAAGGAATGGCTGCTGGAATTGGGTATGTCTAGTTTAATGAAGAGAAGGACGAGGGGGGACATGATAGCAGTGTTACAATATCTCAGGGGCTGCCACAAAGAAGAGGGAGTCAAGCAATTCTCCAAAACATCTGAAGGCAGGACAAGAAGCAACAGGTGGAAACCAATCAAGGAGAGAAGCAACCTAGAACTAAGGAGAAACTTCCTGACAGTTAGAACAATTAACCAGTGGAACAACCTGCCTCGAGAAGAGGTGAATGCTCCAACGCTGGAAGTTTTTAAGAAGAGACTGGACAGCCATTTGTCCGAAATGGTATAGGGTTTCCTGCCTGAGCAGGGGGTTGGACTAGATGACCTCCAAGATCCCTTCCAACTTTACTACTACTATTATTATTAAAGATCTGTCTTACTCCTGCCCAAGCCCCCATAGGCACCTTTGACGCGAATGATGTAGAACTGGCCATGCCCACCCAGTAGGCCACACCCACTCCATCCACGCCCACCCAGTAGGCTGCGCCCACTCTGGCCACACCCACCCGGGCCCCCCAGGGCAACCGCAGTGCTGATGTGGCCCTCAGTGAAATTGAGTTTGACACCTCTGTGTTATGGGAAATGAACCTTCCTCAGTCCGCCTTTTTCAAGTGATGCTAGCTCTCAATCCCCAGGAAGATCTCGAGGAAAAGGAAAGGAGAGGGACATTTATACATGCATTTTTAAATGGGTCATTTCCCCAAGATGGCTGCACCAGATGCTTTTCATGAATGGAAAGTTCATATGAACATACTCTTGTTAGAGGGTACTAAATACATAATGCTGCATTGAAATGATTATCTATTGTGTGAACAAAAGGAACTGGAATTGTTAATCCCCTAACAAGCTTCGTCACCAGTTATTTCTAACTTTCCATTTCTTTCGAGAGACAGTCTCCCTCAAAACCTCTGTAACACACACATCAGCCAGCATCCATGGTCCAAAGCATTAGCTTGTATCACAAGCCAACAGTGTATGTCTGCATAAAATAGAAAGCTATTCTTTGTTCCACATTGCTGGCGTTTCACCTGAACGTGAATATTTATTTCACAGTCATCATAAAATCTATCAAACATGTTCCCCATCCAGGAGAGAGAAGAGCCGTGCCTTGCAAGAACAAGTAGAGAATATTCAGTCTAGACACGTAGATGTGAAAGTGCCATTCAAAAAAGGAAATAAAAAAATAATGTAATAAAGCAGATTTAAAAGTGAAAGGGCTCCCAGCAGCTTTTTCCAGGGCAAAGCACGATAGTGTCTGAGACTCAAGAGTCAACATTATATAATTTGAGACCTCTGTGGCGAAGCTCTCTGAGGTGTGAATCTCAGATTCTTGATAAGCACCTAATTTTTAATGAAATCCACTTTGATTTGCGCATAGATTGAAGAATTAGCTCTCAGGTCTCTCCGTGTTATTTCACAGACCTGTGTGATACTTCCAGGGTGAGCTTCCACCACCCCATTAAGAAGCAGTAGATGCTCCAACACTGGAAGTTTTTAAGAAGAGACTGGACAGCCATTTGTCCGAAATGGTGTAGGGTTTCCTGCCTGCGCAGGGGGTTGGACTAGATGACCTCCAAGGTCCCTTCCAACTTTACTACTATTACTTTTACTATTGGAATAGAGCAGTGGTAGCAAACCTATGGCACACATGCCGTTGCCCCAGCAGAGTTCGCCAGAGCACGTGGCATTTGGAAGCAACAGGGCAGGAAGTGAGTGAGCAAGTGGCGTTGGCCCCCCAGGGATGCCCCAGAGATGGCGAGGGACTAGCCCCGGCCATTCTCACCCAGTCTGCCAGGAACACTGCAGCCACGCCCATCTAGTGGGCCACGCCCCCCACGGCACAATAATGCTGATGCAGCCCTGGCACTTTATGATAAATAAGTGGGTTTTGGGTTGCTGTTTGGGCACTCGGTCTCTAAAAGGTTCGCCATCACTGGAATAGAGGATTTGGTCCGTGAGAGGGATGCTTACCTCTGTCTCTTCCTCGCTGGTTCCCCAGTTCTCCCTATCTTGGTTTATTCTGTACTCTGGCTCCTTTCTATCTCAATAGAAGTGGAATGAAGTGGAGGCAAAAGAACTTGGGGATGACTATCTTTAACCTGGCGGCTTTTCTCATTTCAGCAGTTAATATACCTTAAGATACTGTATTGATTCTTTTAAAAAAAAGTGAAGGATGGAGCAGGATTGCGCCCAGAATCAGATAGAAGGGAGTCCTCTAGCTCAAGAATGCAAATAGATCTGACAAGGCATTACAGGCTACAATGGGGTGCCTCCTGCCCTGTACCTCCATGCTAGCTTGCTATCCTCAAACATGGAAACAAGTTTGGACTGTCAGTTTCCATGTGTGAAATGGGTCTCTCCGTCACCCATCTGAGGCACAAAATCTAATTGGTCACTGGACTGGCCCTGAACCCACCATATTCATTTATTCTTGCTTTTATATCTCACATTTTCTCC